GTAGGCCAGCAACAAAAGTTCTGAAAATAAATGTCTCATCAATATTTATTATTCATCCTGAACAAAACAATACTGTGCTTTAACCATGTCATACCAAAAGTAGTACAAGAAGCCTAGAAAGTAGTTAGTATTAGTACATCATTCTTTACATCTCCAGAACTGCCTTGGCAGTAAGTCATGAAATCCACTCAGTGTTGATGGTGCTGTCGCCCTCATGTCCTCAGTAAGATGTTCCTATCTCCTGCTGTTCATGTAGCTATTGCCTTAAGCTGTTAACCCGTGGGTGCTAAGAGAAATTTGCAGCATTTCAGTGGAGTTAATTCTAGGCTCTTCAGAGTCTTGGTAGGCTTGATGCTGAAGATGGTGAAATTGCTGAGGTGTGCAGGGCAGCACTGCCGTTCCCAGCCCGCTGGTGCTGGGGCTGAGCTCCTGCCACAGAGCCTCTCAAACAGAAGGCCTTTGGCTCACGGGGCCGTCTTGTGACTCATAAATATTATTCTTGTCAGAGAGCAAAGCAGATCTGATTTTGAGCCCTCAGCAGCAACCGCATGAATAATAACAGCTGACAGCAGTGCCATACACTCCTTTAATTCCAGCTTTTTGGGCCAGCTGAGTTTCTGTGTGCTGCTCCGAGCGCAGGCTACAGCAGCCCTGGCAGCCAGGCTTGTTAGCACTCACTTCTCTCTCAGCCATGGCTTTTCTCCTTGAAGAGGTACCGTGGCTTTTTGCAGGCCACTGATAGGGTAATCTGCTGAGCTTATCTTTTTGCATCAGTTTAGGCTTTAATGTTGTAACACAAAGACATGTATTAGGCTGCTAGGCCCAGCCAAGCTCTATGCCAGCCCAGCCCTTCCCATGTCACTATTTCATTAAGCTAATGAAATAAATACATTAGGACAATCTCTATTTGAAAATCACTTTACTGGTTCGGTTTGTTCTGCAAGGATGTAAAAATTAAATCCAGATGCATCAAGACTCAAAGAAAAAATGTATTCTGAGGTGTAATTTATCACAGAATGGTTTGAGTTGGAAGGGACCCTTAAAGGTCATCTCATCCAACTCCCCTGCAGTGCACAGGGGCACCTACTGCTCCATCAGGCTCTCAGAGCACCGTCCAGCCTGACTTTAGAAGTCCCCAAGGACAGTGTATTCCACCACCTCTCTGGGCGACCTGTGCCTCACCACTTTATTGTAAAAATATAAAAAAATTCTTTCCTATATCCAATCTAAATCTCCCATCTTTTAGTCTGAAACTGTTTCCTCTTGTCCTGTCACAGTAGACTGCTAAAAAGTCTGTCCCCTTCCTTCTTATGGCCTCCCTTTAGGTACTGAAAGGCTGCTATCAGGTCTCCTCAGAACCTTTTCTTCTCCAGGCTGAACAGCCCCAGTTCTCAGCCTGTAGGAGAGGTATTCCATCCCTTCGACAGTTTTTGTGGCCCTACTCTTGCCATGGTCTCACAGGTCCGTGTGTCTCCTGTGCTCCATATCTGGACACAGTGCCCCAGGTGAGGTCTCACCATTGCAGAGCAGAGGGGCAAGGCCACCTTCCTCACCCTTCTTTGGATGCAGCCCAGGATACAGTTGGCTTTCTGCGCAGTGAGGGAGCATTGCTGGCCCTTTGGCACCTTGCTCTGTTATCGTTCCTGTGTATGTTCCTTTTTGCTTCTATTACCTTCATACCGTATTTCACTCTTCCAGATTTTTTACCATTGATATTGTTTATTGTTAGTAAAACTGGCTTGCTCAGTTATCTTGGTTTACTTGTAACTCCTTCAAAGAACGTAAGACAAGGCTAACTATAATTTGATTACATGCAAACTTTTCCTGCCTGGTGTTACATTCCTTAGAATTTTCCATTCCATGAGCAGATCCTTTTCCATTCACTGCCTGTGCTTCTTCATTAGTAAGTGAACAATATCAGCCCTTAGGATTAATTTATGAGGAACAGCAGTCCTTGCCTATTAAGTTCTTCTCCTGGTTTCCTACCTACTCTTTGGCTAAGTCTGCACAGCTTTCTACAAATCCAGCTTACTGTACCGTCATCATTTAAAAATCCTCATTGTGTATGTATATATTACAGTATTATTTGTCTGATTCTGAAAATGATCCTAATTGTATTTTCTCAAAGAACATTTTGTTCAGTTTTGTCTGAGTTATTTGTTGCAAGCATATCAAGTATAATTTTGAGATGGAAAATTTTTCGCATGTGTTAGAATTTTGGGAGGGACATCTAAAGTACGTTTCTATTGTTTGCTTCTTGAACAAGTTCTGAGAATTGAATTGCAGATATTGTAATTTTCAAACCTCTAGGAAAGGTGCAGCACTGGAGAGGCCTGAGGAGTGCCTTTACAACTCCTATGACACGGATTTATTCAGATGGTTTATGATGGGAAGATCTTTTCTATTTCAGAGCAATAGGAGAATGAGGTAACTGTCAGCTGATGATAGTCCCAGTTGGAAGGGCCTGAGGTTGATAAATTTGCATCAGACTCTGTAGCTACCATTCTATGATTTATGGTTGGAAGAGCAAGAACTTGAGGATCGTCGTGTAGGAACAGCACTCTGTTTTGCTACCTGGACTGAGGAGATGCTAGCCACTGCTGCCTGTCCTGCTCTAGGTTCCTGAGAAAAGGCAGGGTGAGGGCAAAGCTTAAACATGTAGGTGAAATTAGTCACTATTAAAGCTTGCATTTATTTCTAGATCTATAGGAGAAATCTAATAATAGTCTGCCAATGGTTTGTCACTTCTCCGTGCATTTTCATGTATGCCTGTGCTTCAAGGAAAAAATAGTCCCAGACTACTGGTAGGAACTTATTTAGTTTAATTCAATATTATTGTGAACTACTTGGTGCTGTAACTGTCAGCTGTCTCCATGCAATATGCTTCGTGGACATTTAGACTGCTGCCTTTTCCATTTGACTGTCTGATACTGTGGTACTTGGATTTGCTGGCAGCTGTTCGTTAAATCAGTGGGTAAGCACAGGGGTGAGCAGCTCTCAAGGTAAGCTGAGTCTTCTGGCACTGCCCCTCTTGCTTTCATTGTTGCATTACTTTTGGAAAGAACCTTCTGGCCCGGTAATGTGTAACTTGCAGTCAGCAGCAGTCACTGACTTCCATAAAGCTTGCTGTTACACAAACTGCGTGCACATTTTCCATACATCCCATGGCTTTGTGAGCTCTGTCCTTTTCTCACTGACCTTGCTGTCTCTGATATCATGCTTCTAATGGGCAGCTTGATTGTTTCCTACAGTCTCCTTTCTTACAAGTTTTCTGTAGTTTACTCCATTTTCCAATACTAAACCACGCTCTGCATAGCTTTATGAAATCTGTCATTCTCTGTGTTTATTTTTATACTATACCTTTTTTTAATCCATGCTGCCTGTCTCTTTTTTCAAGCACAATATCACAAATAGCTGATGAGTGCACTGGAGGAAATTATGTCTTCCTGCTGGACTTCCCTTTACTCAGATAACCTGACATCCAGCTGAGGTTTCAGTCATATGTTTTACAGCAATTTCCAAAAATTAATTGGTTCCTTCATTTACTCAGTGTTTCCAGATCATTGCTTCCATTATGCAAATATGAAATGGACATGTCTTACGTGAACTGAAATGGTTTTAAGATTGTTATTTTATTTAAGCTCATGTAAGGTTATTTGATGTTTAAGAGGACTGATGAGATTGTGTGCTTTCAGGTGTATTTTCCCCTGCTATCCTGTTTTTAAAAGTATTCTTTTCATTATCGATTACAAATACTCTTCAGTGTTGTTAGTGGTGATGGATAGCAGTAGTTAAAGACTTAATAAAAACAGGGGTAAAGCCTAGAAGTCTCCTGTGCTGTCTGCAGTGGGCAAATGAGTCTGTTTTTAGCGCAGGTTAATTTGAGATCAAATCCAGCTGGTCTTATTTACCATCTGTAATTATGCATTATGTTATTCTGCAAAATACGTTATAATAAGTTGCATGTATTCTGATGAGTATGACTTGATCCTGTAAAATGCATCTCACTGTTTGAAATTGTGATGCTAAGAAAGAGGAGGAATATACCAGATGACTGTTTTGTTAACCACTTCTTTCTTGACAGCATGCATGGCAATTTATTAGTGTAAAATGTATTCATTTCAGTATTACTAATTTGAGAATTCAGACTTAAAGTGCAGAAATACAGGAGTGCCGTGAGAATTACCTGTCAGACTCGAGGAATAGTTTTGGGATTAGAGAGCATTTAATCTAGACTGGATTTAATGTGTTTGTGGTTGCATCCATAGAAACGTAACTACAGTTCAAATCAGCTGGAAAAAAAACAGATTTTGATTTCAACTGGTACAAATTGAAATGTCACGAGTTTTCAGTAGCATCCTGAAATAGTAGTCTCTAAGTGTGGGGAGAGATTATCTATTCAGATGTCAGTTATGCACAGTGACTAACAGCTCAGAAGGGGCTGTTCAGGCACACAGCCTGTCAGGCTGTGCAGCATCATCTGCAGAACACCACTGAATGCCTTTGACATCAGTCTCACAGCTCCTATGAGAGTAGCAGCATCATATGTCCAGTTTTGGATTAGAAGACTGGAGAATCCAGGGTATCCCCATTTAATGCAGTTCAGATGGTTAATTATCCTCACGACTAATAGTTGCATTGCAGGAGTCTAATTTTTGCATCCTAAACTTCTAAGGATCTCAGTTGGAAATTCTTTTTTTTCCCCTGCATGTTTTAGAATTGCCTGACGTCTGAGAGCACTTCCACGTGTAGACATTCACAAAACCCTGTGAAATTATTGCTATTTTTGGAGGGCAGTGCAGTGCTTTAATTAATAGTTCAGAGATGTGTAAGGTGACATTATTTGTGTATGCTTTTCAATAGCTGGGTCAAGGGATAGAATTCAGTGTGAGCAATACATTTTGGAAACTGGAATTAGACTGGTTGCTTTCAGATATTTCATGCTAATGAGAAATATTGTAACCTTTTTTTTTTTATATACTTATTGTGTTTTCCTGCAGGGAAGCAAAGGGCACTACAGATATCACTGGCAGAGCCACAATGTCAAGCACAGCGGAGTGGACGATATGGTCCTTCTTTCCAAAATCACAGAAGATTCCATAGTGGAGAACCTAAAGAAGCGATACATGGATGATTATATTTTTGTATCCTTTCTAGTATTGCTGTTAGTTGGGCTCTGTGGGTGTATCATAGCGTCATATCATAGCATCATAGGAAGCCCTGGGTTGAAAAGGACCACAGTGCTCATCTTGTTTCAACCCCCTGCTATGTGCAGGGTCGGCAGCCATCAAACCAGGCTGCCCAGAGCCACATCCAGCCTGGCCTTGAATGCCTCTCTGGGGATGGGGCATCCACAGCCTCCTGGGGCAACCTGTTCCAGTGCTTCACCACTCTCTGAGTGAAGAATTTCCTCCTAATATCTAACTTAAACCTCCCTGAAGGTTGAAATTAAGATGCTGTACAATTCTTTTTTATGTGGTAGTTCTTGTCACCGTTGAAGATAATTTTGTAGCTCCATACGTTCTGACCCCTCAAGCTAATCCAGCATTGCTGATGCTTGATCAAGAGTTAATAGTTTTAAGCCTTACGTACGTGTTTTGAGATGGTGTTATCTTCTTTACCTCCCAGATTCTAATGCTTTCACATTAGCATTTCTCCTATTACATAACCCTGTTTACAACTTGTTCTGAATCATGGGTTGATGAAAACATGTGACCATGTGAACATCTGTAAATCTACGATGCTTGTTCTATAATTTTTTTTTTTATTTACTATGATTAATGAAAATGTGAAAGATTTAAGTAGTCAAATATATAACAGCAAGAAAAACAAATTTCAGCACCAAAAATGTTTTTGTTTTTGGAAATTTCACATGAATAGACTTCTTTGATGTAAAACACAAGCACTGTTTGATTTTTAGCTTCTACAATGTAACACAAGCTACAGTAATCAATTTTGTAACCTGCAGTCAGCGGTGATACTGTTCTTCTGCTTTAACTGGATTTTGGTACCAGCTAGTAGTGTATGGAGAGCAGTTATTTTGAAGAGTTTAATTTCTTTTTAGCAGAATGGGAATAAAATAGAACTTCTCCTATTTCCAAATACTCAGACAGTAAGAGCTTTAGCAAGGACCAGTAGAGGAGAAGTCATGCTATGGCTGTGCTGACGTTTACGTCTCGAACTGTTCAAGTTTTCTGTAAGTTCATGTGTGAGTTGCAAAGAATTTCTCAGACTGATTGTACTGGGGCAATCTACAGCACTCTTCCTGGTAATAGAAGAAACATTTCTGTCAATGGGAAGTCCTGCATCTTCCATGCACAATATTCACAAAGTTTTCAGTGCTCAATGCTTTTTTTTCTTACAAAAGTGAGAGTACCAGATTAACATAGAGATGTTTTATTTTTTCCTTTTACTGAAGCAGCTTGTGTGCTTTCCAAGGGGCCTGGTGGTCACATGGGTTATCAGACTCTTCTTTTAAAAGCATTATAATTCATTTGTGCGGAGAAAAATAATCCTTTTGCAGTTCTGTGCAGGCTTTTTGTTCTAAACTGGAGACTATCTCTTGAATCTTTCAACTGTTCTTATGCTCACCCATGAATGAACATTTCTCTGTGCTACTCTGCGCAGAGATTACTGATTCTTCCCAGAAAATGCTGGTATTGTTACCAACAGAAAACTGTCACTTCAGATGGTTATACGGGCACAACGAGTGCTTGATATTTTGGAGGCCCAGATGTTGTCACTCTTTGAATAAAATTTAAAAATGTATGAAGAAAGCATTGCAAATTAATAATACTGAGATTACGTTCACTGATTTATAGTAGTTCTTTGACTAATGCAATTCTGTCTGGGGCACCAGCATAATGGTTCTTACACAGCCAAACACAGGAGCATAAATTTCTCAGTTTTCCTACTTAGGTATGGAAAGCTTGGATAAGTAAGTTCAGTTGTGAGCAATTCCAGCTTGTTCAGTGAAACCAACAGTACAGTGTTTTGAACTCACTGACATGGGTACACTGCTAACTTCCAACTCAATGAACCAGTCCTGCCTGTAAAGTAGTACCAGTTGTTTCAGTTGCGTATATAACAATTCATTACCTACGCTGTAAGTGTAGGCGGATGTACAGCTGAATGTGGAACTGTGAAACACTGACATTCAGAATGTTGCAAAAAAAATTTCTGGGAGTAATAATAAACTGAAATGTTTTATAGGGTAGCCTGCAGGATATGTCTTCCAGGGAAGTGTCTTCCAATGTAACTGTTAACAGTTACACTCATAAAATATCACCACAGCACTGCATTACCTAACTCCCTTAGCTCCTTGCCTTGTACACACAGCTGAGTAATTGTCCAATTCAGCTCAGTACGGGTGGTTTCCATCTGTCTGCACGCTCAGCACAATCTCTGTGAGATCAGAATGTGTCAGTACAGCTCATTCTGTGAAGGTCAAAACAATCTTTTCAATACTAACAATATGATCTTCTCAGTTACAAAGGAGCAAAGCAGTTCAAATGTACCATTTCCTTTCTGTATTTTTGTTTAGGGAATGTTGGACTTGGGCCTGTAATACATGTTCCTGTGCTTAACTTGTCCTAAAATAAATATTTTGATAATATGAAAGTATCCCACTGAATGATATGTTTATATTCGTGTAAGCCTTCTAATTTCATTTTTATTAAGAATTGTTTTAAGCTTTCTTTTTTCTGTATTGTTTGAAGCTGTATCCTGTTGTGTAATATATGGAAAGGCTGTTGCAGTATCTGGTGGTAAGATACTACTATATAAACTGTGGTTACCTTAACTGCTTTTGAATGCAGACATATATTGGCTCTGTGTTAATCTCTGTGAATCCTTTCAAGCAAATGCCGTATTTCGGGGAAAAGGAAATTGAAATGTACCAGGGAGCCGTAAGTAAAGCAGTTTGCAATGTACTACAGTATTGCCAGGGATGTAAATATTATTCCATGTGGTTAAACTCGTGGAAGCATTTGTTTCTGGGTTTTGGTGGTATTGTATTAACCTGGAAGAACGTGGCTGATACCCTTCACCGTATACTGAGTCCTCAAATTGAATTCCCTGAAACACAGAATTAGCTCTCAAGAAAATACTTGCATTGATTAACTCTAATCCATACCAGATTTTTCCCCTTGACAAGCCTCTCCTCCTGCAAAAACACTTTTTAAGCTACTGTTTGCTTAAACTGTGGCACAGAAACCAAAATGGCTATTGGTGGATTTGAAGAATATGGGTAGAGATGTCACAGACCAGACAAGTAGAGTAAGAAAATTGGGATGCCAAAAATAGATGCTGGTTTTGAAAATAACGCTTGAAGGACATTATGGACTTAAAATTCTGCTTTCTGCTCTGTTTGAGTTAGGCATGTCCATGGGTAGAAGACCAGGGAAACCATCCAGTTTAGGCGGGTGCTGTGGATGAGGATGATCCCATTACAGCATCAGGCTGTAGTGGCTTAGGTAGTTTATTGTTAGCACACGAGCATTGATGGGATAGGCTTAAATTATATCAGTTTGTCTTGAACAAGTAATATATTTCAATTAGGGGCCATTATTAGAATGGTGTGTTTACATACTTCAGAAGAGAATTATGGGTGAGAAAAAGATCAGTAACAAACCAGGCATTGGTTTGTTTTAACTAAACAAACAAAAATTCCTGTAAGTGGATTTGAAAGTTGTTTTTTTTCCAGGAATATAGTTCTTCCAATTGAAATAAATTTATTTTTCTCTTTCTGCATCGTTTAAAGTTATGTTATGTTGAAAAATGTATGTTCTATTTCCCTTTCTAGGCACAATATGAAAACCCACCACATATTTATGCTCTTGCAGACAGTATGTACAGAAACATGATCATTGACAGAGAAAATCAATGTGTCATTATTAGGTAAGGAAAAGATCTGTAAGAAAATATTTTTGTCTTGTTCCTGTTGTAACTTCAAGAAAGGGAAAAGCTAATTTTTTATTATACTAATAAGAACCTTCTGAGTTCACGACCAGTGAATATTTTGGGGTTTTCTATGTTGGTTGTTTATGTTCTGACCCTCCCTTTTGTTTTCCGGTGGAATCCTGATAGCTTAACAACAAATCTCTCTCTCATAGCCAGCCTCGTGCCCATCACCTAATAGCAATAGCTCAAGTGACCACGTGAGAATGAACAACTCTAGCAGCCGCAGACACTGCTAGCTAAATCTGATACTCACATTGACTACATTGACTGCATTAGCATGTTCATTTTAGGTTTTTTTTTTCCCAGTTAAAAGTAAATGAACTTTTGTTCATTTCAGAATTTAACTTGCTTTCAGTCAGAGGCAAAAGGACGAGGCAGATACTAACAATTATTCCTTATTATTCCATCTGAATTAGTAGGCTGAGAGAATCCACTGTAAAATTACTGAACTTGTTTAATGATAGGCATTACTTAAGTAACAGTGAAAGTGAATGTTGGGTGCAGAAGGTACTCTTTGGCCCTGTCTGTGAACTTATAAATGGTTTATGATAAAAGAAAGCATACAGAAATACAGGATATTTGAGCTGGCCTGTTATCCATCCTTTGACTTTCCTTCTTACATAGAACACTTAGGAAATTCCCTGTGGTGCTCCTGGAATTGCAGTTTGCCTTTGGCACTGGTGCTCAGAGTGGAGTGCGTGCCCTGTAAGGTTTACAGTGCAATCCACTGGGGGGGTCTAGGATGAAAGTATTAGAACATTGGTAGTACATGTACATAATCTATAAGCAACCAAATTATAAGCATATATTGGGAGCCTGTGTTCAGTAATGTCTTGCTGGTTGGTTACATGATCAAAGGAGTTTGGAGAACACTGGTCTGTGGGAATGGATCAGTCAAGAACTAGAGAAAAGTAAGAGGAAGAAAGTTATTTGAAGTTAAACAGCCAATATTCCATTAATAACAGTCTTTCTGAGCTTTCAGTTGTTTTTCTTTGGAGCACTCAGGCATCACTATGAATTTAACTGCTATTGAATTTAAGAAAAGAGGTTGCAGCTCTCACTGATGAGCTGCTTTGGATCCTTGTTGAGGAATATTTGTTTGTAAGTTAGATTCATTGTCTTATTTCACGTGATCAGTGCCTGGGGTTCATCCAGGCCGTGCTTTACTTGGTGATGGCATACAGTGGAAAAGCAGACAGTTGTCGCCCTCAACATTAGCAGAAATGTATGTATGTATGTATGTGGAAATTGTTGGTTTTGCACATAGGAAGGTCAGCCGAACATTAATGGTTTGCTAAAAGCTGAGCTGTACTGTATTGGCCTTCCTATTATGGGCAGCTATCTATAGCATAGTCTTGTGTCTCAAAAATCCCAAATTCATTTTCTCTTATTCTTGTTTCTCATACTTCTGAATTGTTCCTTGAGCTGCCATCTGGTTTGGAAAATTGATGCCTGTTGCCATGTGAAGTTACCAGTCCCATTTGGTCAAATTCAGATCTGTTAGGCATGGGTAAAATTGAGATTTATTTTGATTTTTTGAACAAAATCACATTCCAGAGCCTGGAGTGTTTCTTATGAAGCTGAATTTATAGTGAAAATTCTTGAAGTGTTGTGGGTGGTTAATATAAAGCACAATTCTTGATACGTTGCTACTGCCTCAAAGGTTTTTAATGCAGTGGAATTGCATTTTCAGAGAGCTGAGATGCAGGCTTTTTTGAATTTACAGGTTAAAATTCTTAGGAGAATTCTTGGGTTTAAGTGATGGATTATGTGTTTTAGGAGCTCCTGCACTGCATATGTGCAGAGTGAATTCTTTCTCAGTCTGTGCACAAAAGATGCAAATTCTGCTGGAATTAATTAAAATATACTACAAAACCAGAAAATGTTTGCCAGGGACATTTCAAAGAGTTCCTCTTCCTTTCCAGTGTTTATTTGTTGTATGATTTGTCTTATTGCAAACTGGAAAAACTGCAGTACTTTCGGATAGTTTTCATGATAGTATTCATTTTTCTAGGACGCCATGAAGTTATTTCTCTGAAATCAGGTGACTTAGCTGTTCTTAAAATTAATTCTGTTTCATTTGATATTTTAATACTTTGCCCACATTTAGATACATCTCATATTTTGTGATTAGAATGACGTCACAATTTCTAATGACTAGATATGGCTTAAAACTGAAGTATCATTAAATTCACCATTTTGTTTCCTTACATTTTACTTAATTTCATAGAGCAGAAAGCACTGAAATTGATGGCTGACCGGAGATTCCTGAGATCCTGCAGCTCTGGTGTGAAATGGATGTTTGAGCTGCTCTTCTACCACTCTGTTAATAGCTGCCAAGGACTGTAGCATTACAGCCCCTAAGCTGCTGATTGTCAGAAAATTGAGATACAGCTCTGTTTGTTTTCAGTTCCACAGAAGTCTGCTGAATGTGAGCAGCTTCAAATGGACCTTGCATTTCAGTGAACCATAATTTTTTTCCATAAAACTTTGGCATTTGGGAGAGGAGTGATGATGACAGTGTGGCTATTAAGAGGTGCTGGTTTGCTTATCTTCTTCACAGCTAGCCTAAGTTTGGAATTGCTTCACTGAAAATTTGTGTTGGAACAGAAGAAACAGAGCAAGCTAGTACAGAAACAAACCCAATTTTTCCTTCTTTTCTCTCTTCGTATTGTCAGTCAATTTTATTTGTTTTTTTAAAGAGAGCTTTGCAGAGAGGGAAAGGGAGAAATCCTGCGTAGCCTGGGCTAGTTCAGTCACATCTGGTCTCATGGTGCATTTAGAGACAAAGGAATGGTGGGGAAGGGGGTTGCTGCACACCCGTCTTCCCACTGCATGTGATTGTGCACCTGCGGCTTCTACTTCCAGCCCTGGGAAGGGATGTGTGTTCAAATTGTGGGGAGCAGATTTCCAGGCAGGTGAAGGAAGGCTCCAGAGGTGTTATGCTGTAGTCAGGAACCTTTGTCAGAGGTGGGGCCACGCAACCTTTGGCCAGGATGTTTAGTTCCTGGATTGTAGGTGATGCATTTAAACATTGATGGAAAAAGTTCTTCAGAAAGTTAGGGAATTAACGAGGAAAGTAGATCTGAAAGAAAATACAGTTCTCTGAAAGACTGAATAGATTGTAACACTGGTATATATTTGTTTGTTTGTAGATTTATTTATTAATGCAGTAACACTCACTTTGAAAATCAAAATCTCACCAGCCAACTTTTCCAGAGCCAGAGAAGATTATTTCATTAGTGGAATAATTGCATATATGCTAAGAAAATAAAAAAAATAAGCTGAGAAAATTATATGTACATATCTAATTATTGCTGAGGAGCCGTGAGCTGTTCTGAATGGGTATTAGCAGTGTATGCAGTGATGTTATTCCTGGGCTGGCTTGTGGCTGGGCTGTGTGCAGGTGCAGAATGTGTGCTTCTGTGGGAGGAGGGAGCACTACTTGTGGCTTTCTTCCCTCGTTTGTATGCATCAGGCAGAATTAACAAGGGAGTTTATTCATCTGAGCAAAGCAGCTTTGCTGGAGTTTGATTTCTTATTGACTTCATGGTACTGAGCATAATACTTCATTGGGAACTCTACTGAACCAAGCTCATAAACTTGTGTCTGCTGCATCAGGCTGTTTTTATTTCTTCCTCACTGGGAGTGGCAGCACTTGCAAGCATCAGCAATGACTTGTCCCTCAAGATTGTAGTTACCAAGGGTTTTCTTTTAAGATTTTTAATTCCTTCTAGACTACCATTTTCTTTTAATTAAAAGCATGGTGGTTATGATTATTATTTTTCAATTGTGTCGCTATGAATGTTTCTCCAGATTGTTCTTAAGGTGTTGCCTTCCTTTAAATTTGAAGACTTTGCTTTTTGTGACTTCTGCCAGGAGATGCTGCAGTTGCCTTAAAGCAGTTTCCCAGACCTCCTTGTTTGTAATTTTAGTTTACATTTTAACTCTGTGTGGTAATGTTCGGATGCAGTGAAACCATATGTGACAACGGTGTGCCTGAAAAGACAATACAGCATCTTAAATGTTAGGGAGGTACATTAATGGAAGATCACTTATAAGCCTGACTTCTTAGCAAACAACTAGTATATATCTTAAGCCTATAAAGATTGAAATTTAATTGAGATTTTTAGTTAACTTCTATATCTTGGCTTTCCATAAAACTCAAATGACAGTTGTAAAACTCCTATAGGTAAACTAACTGGAAATATGGCTGGATTTTAATGAGGGAGTGGTAGAAATGTAAGTCTAATGTAGTAAGAAAAATTAGTTAACAGCTTTCAGTTGCAGAAGGGAAATTATGTCTCTGAAATTATGTTACTGAGGTCTCTGAACATAATTGGAGAAAGGGGATTTTGTATGTAAACAATCTAAAAAGCTTATTCAGACAAGACAGAATACTTTACACGCAGCGTTCTTTATATATATTTATTATTAAAATGTTCACCTTGTGCTGATTATGTAGGTAACTATTATATTGTCTTCTATTGTTCTGCAGCCAGGGAGATTACATTATATGTCACTCAGCAGGTTAGTTTTAGAGAGAAGAATGAGGCTCTGTATTGGATCTTGCTTGTATACTCTAATCAAAGGATTATATGTAGGTTGCTCTGGAAGTAATGTCTCCTATTTATTTCCATGGAAAATACAGCAGATATGAAGAGTATGATATCATTATTGATAGAGCAAGTTCTTAGGTATGAAGCACTCTTTCTCAATGCCATTAGCTATGCATGTCACTAGTGATGAACAAGAGCCTGTGTGCCACGCTTACAAAAATCTGTACCAGCAGAGGTTCCCCACTGTCACTGTTGCTGCTGCTGAAACTTGCTGCCCACCACCTTGCTGTGCTCACATCTACAGTTCAGTCACCATAAATGTTCAGCAAGCATTGATGAATGTCAGTAGGTGCCATTTTTTCTGCATGAAAAAATTCAATTCCACCCCATTGCTTCATGCACTTCCGTGTAAGACACCATTTTGTCAGACTGCCCCTCTGCTGCATCTGTCACACAGCAACAACATGGAATGGAATGGAATATTGGTGGGAAGGTTCAACCTCTGCTGCCTTACCACCAACATCCAACACTGATGCTGTTGGCCAATAAAATAGAATAGGAGGCATTACAGAATCACAGAATTGCAGGGGTTGGAAGGGATCTCCAGAGATCATCGTGTCCAACCCCCTGCCAAAGCAGGTTCCCTACAGCAGGTCGCACAGGTCGGCGTCCAGGCAGGTCTTGAACATCTCCAGAGAAGGAGACTCCACCACCTCCCTGGGCAGCCTGTTCCAGTGCTCCGTCACCTCACTGTAAAGAAGTTCTTGCGCATGTTTGTGCGGAACTTCCTATGCTGCAGTTTCCAGCCGTTTCCCCTTGTCCTGTTTCCATTCACCACTGAAAACAGTCTGGCCTCGCCATTCTGCCCCCCACACCTTAGATACTTATACACCTGGATCAGGTCCCCTCTCAGTCTTTTCTTCTCAAGGCTGAACAGACCCAGCTCACTCAGCCTTTCCTCATAGGAGAGATGCTCCAGGCCCTTCACCATCTTTGTGGCCCTCCGCTGGACTCTTTCCAAGAGATCCCTGTCTTTTTTGTACTGGGGAGCCCAGAACTGGACGCAGTACTTTCAGAGCTGCCCTCATAATTCCTCTGGAAGGGGAGGAAGGAAAGAAAGGAGGAGCTAAAAATTTCCTGCTGCTCATAGTCTTATTCTCATTGCAGCTAATTATTAATTAACTTCACTGAACAAAACTTTGCTTTTCTGACATTGCAAATAGTTCTAGAAAAACAATGTGTCTTTCAAAGCATTCTTTTTTTGTTAGTGATTGAGAGCATATGGTGTTCGAAAAATCTCCAAGAAAGTTGCAGCTTAATCTGCTTCTTACTGTCAGCCATTATTGTCATTTTTTTCTGCCTTTAAAAATCTCTCTACTTCTAGCTAAAAAAATATTCTTGAATCATCGTAATAGCAGCAGAGCAGTAAGGTGCATGTGAAAAAGCTTCACAAAGTATGAGAATCATTTCCCTGTAAGAGCTGAGTACCTGATCTTAGTGGTGGCAGAAGACATCAGCTAAAATTACTTGAGTTCATAAATAATGTATCATCCTGTTCAGCAGTAATTTAGTTGGAGCTATTTACTGGTCTCTGACGAATAAACTTTTAATACTGAAAATGTAAGTGTATGGATGCATATGTGTGAATCAAACTGAAAAAAAACAGTCTTTTAGGCAAATTCATTTACTGTGAAGGAGAACTTACATTGAAATAGAGACTAACAATAAAATGGAACTATGTGCCTCCATATAATTTTCCAAGACAAACACTACAGAATCATGAATGTAAACCATGCTTAATTTGAGCAAAGAGGAGAAGGATAATGAGAAAATCTTAATGAAATGTGCTATATTTTTACCTCTTGATAAATAATATCTACTCACATTCATTGAGTATTTGGCTCCAGATCCTTTTTAACATCCAGCAGAGAATGCATGTATCAATTTAAGAATACGTTTTCGGTTAGATGGGCTTGTCTGTCTTGTTCTACAGGATGAGCAAATTTACTGTGAGTAAATTTTGGTTTGAAGAAGTTATTATTTTTCTACTAATCAAACTGTAGCTGTTTTTAACAATGATTTGCCATTTAGAAAACTCAGTCTGTGCCTCAGAATGTCATAGATATGAATTATACAGGCTTTCTTGTCTTCGATTGTTAGGAAGAGATGACTGAATAATAAAAGTTGATACAGTTGAGATAATCAAGAAGTATTTTTTCACTTTTTTGATCTGTGAAGCTGCAGGCAGGAAAAGATGCATCGAAACATTTCTGACAAAATCATTTCAGTATTTCTGTACTGTTTGGAAACTTTAAAGATGTAAAATGATACTTGAAGCTTGACAGCGTGGGGAGCTTCTTCAGAATTAAAACCTTTGGAAATGTCTCCATTAGTCATGTTGATAAGGAGCTGTGTGTTGACATTCTCAGCAAGTCCTTTTCCTGTGCAGGACATGCTGATGTTTCTCTGGCAAACGTAGCTAAAATTTGTACAGGAAAAGATGCGTGCTTGATCCATATCCAGGAACAAGTAGGCATAAGATAGAAGAGCCAACATTCACAGAAATTATTCAGGAACATAAGGACAGCACAGATTTTCACACAAAGATATCTGAAATATTTTTTCTTAATGACACTAAACCAACACTTACGTAAGCCTGCAGGAATTCTCCTCAAATACAGGTTAGCTGTAAGGTATGAAATAAAGCATTGAGGTTGCATTGCCTGGTATGCCAGTCATCTTTTCATCTTGAGAAGCTCTTACTAATTCTGAGAAAATGAAACTACTGATGTTCTAAACTGTATTCACAATTGAAGTGAAATATTGTAACGGAAGGAAGGAATTGTGAAAGCTAGTATGGAGTATTAAAACTTCTTGTACCCTGTGTCAAGAGGTATAGGAACAGGAAGGTGGTTCTTCCGTCATTCAGGATGTGATTAATAACGTCTCATTATTTCATTCAGGATTGCCAAAAAAAAAAAAAAGAACTGAAGTAGGCATCTGGCATGGCATTCAAGGCTTGGAGTTTCAAATGAGTTTGTATGTTAAGATCTGAAATCCCACTTAATTTAATTGGGAATTGATATATTTTGAGCGTATTTATTTCTCAATTTACATTATTGCTGACTTTGAATTCCCACAGATATTCTGGGATCCATGCAGGATGATTTATTCAGAATTATTTATTCATAAACAAATCTGTACTGCAATATTGTATGACAGTCTGTTATCAACTTACCCAATGTAAAACTTGAATTACTTCTTATTCATTATTATAGTATTGTTACTAACAGCAAGGTTGTACAAGATATACCCTGATTAACTCAATTGTTAGTTATTTAAAAACTAACAGGTATATTTTGTGTCTCACTTTCTCACAGTGGGGAAAGTGGTGCTGGGAAGACTGTGGCTGCTAAGTATATCATGAGTTACATCTCCAAAATTTCAGGAGGTGGCCCTAAAGTACAGGTGAGTTGACACAGCATAATACTAAAATATAAGCACCAATGTCATTTATGTGGACTACTGATGTAATTTATGTGGACTTGAGCAAGGCCTTTGACATGGTCCCCCACCACATTCTTATTTCCAAATTGGAGGAATGTGGATTTGGTGGGTGGACCACTTGATGGATAAGGAATTGGTTAAAAGGCCGCAGACAGAGGGTGGTCATCAATGACTCTGTGTCCAGGTGGAGACTGGTAACAAGCGGTAACAGGGGTCTGTCTTGGGACTGGTGCTCTTTAACATCGTTATCAATGGCATCAATGGTGGAATCGAGTGCACCCTCAGCATGTTTGCTGACAACATCAAGCTGAGTGCTGCGGTTGACACAGAGGAAGGAAGGGATGCCATGCAGAGGGACCTCAACAGGCTGGAAAGGTGGGCCCGGGTGAACCTGATGAGGTTCAACACGGCGAAGTGTAGAGTTTTGCACTTGGGCCGGAGGAATCCCAGGCATCCATATAGACTGGAAGGAGTGGTGCTTGAGAGCAGCCCTGTGGAGAAGGACCTGGGGGTCTTGATGGATGAAAAGTTTAACATGAGCCAGCAGTGTGCCCTTGCAGCTCGGAAGGCAAATGGTATCCTGGGCTCCATCAGAAGAGCGGTGGCCAGAAGGGACAGGGAGGTGATTGTCCCCCTCTACTCTGCTCTTGTGAGGCCCCATCTGGAGTACTGCGTCCAGGTCTGTAGACCCCACTACAAGAAAGACAGGGAGCTGTTGGAGAGGGTCCAGAGGAGAGCCACAAAGATGATCAGGGGACTGGAGCAGCTCCCCTGTGAGGACAGGCTGAGGGAGCTGGGCTTGTTCAGCCTGGAGAAAAGAAGGCTGCGGGGTAACCTCATTGCAGCCTTCCAGTACCTAAAGGGAGCCTGCAAACAGGAGAGGAGTCAACTCTTTGAAAGGGTTGACAACTGCAGGACAAGGGGAAATGGTTTTAATTTGAGGGAGGGGAGATTTAGGTTGGATGTCAGGGGGAAATTCTTTACAGAGAGAGTGGTGAGGTGCTGGAACAGGCTGCCCAGAGAGGCTGTGGATGCCCCGTTCCTGGAGGTGTTCAAGGCCAGGTTGGATGGAGCCCTGGGCAGCCTGGTCTAGCGTTGAGTGTGGAGGTTGGTGGCCCTGCACGTGGCAGGAGATTCATTATCCTTGAGGTCCCTTACAACCTGGGCCATTCTGTGAGCACAGTCTGAAACTTGAGTTTAGAGGCAGAATGGCAAAGGTCTGCCATGGCAGGCAGTGGCAGCCAGTAGGCACTCTACTAGAGAAGCTTGTGAGCAGCTGTAAATATGTGCCTGTCCTCAACTGCCGAAACAGCTGAAGAGCATAATGAACTGCATACCTGAAGATCACCTGTGTGATGAGAGCCCTTATGGGGTAAATCCACAGACCTGGAATGATCTCTGATCTCTGTTAAAAGAATTATGTCTACAAGTTTGATTTTTTTTTTTTTTTTTTTTTTTTTGAAGTTAGTGTAAGAAAGATACTTTAATTACTGTTCTGTTCTGAAGGTTGAGAACAGCAATCTCCTGTTAGGAGATGTTTTGTTTTTTTTTTCCTTCTGGCTTGATACTTTATTGAAAACTGAGCTGGCTTTTCGTGTTTTTATTAATTCTATTAAATCTGATTTGTATGCATACATTTGAGAGCCAACAATGTAAATATCATCTTTTTTTTATGAGGTTAGCTAGTATCTGTGAAAGCTACTTAAAACAATAAATAGTTCTTGTTCTTAATAGGTATGCTACTGGTGTCTGTCTGTAGAGGAAGACCACGAACTGTAAAGCCAGTTGCCTTGAGCAATTTCTTTTGAAGTAAAATGTAGTCATCTTTACACAGCCAAGCATACATTAGGTTTCTTCTGAAGCTAATAGCTAGATCAATTTCTATTTCCAACTTCTAGGATCAAATACAAAAGTGATAGTAATAGGCTGCTTGTGGCTGTCTCTGAATGTGAGGTAGCAATACCACTGGCCCCCACACAGTCGGCTCAAGCACTTGCAGAATCCTGAATTTCTTGCTGCTCAGAATTCCATCGGTTGTAGTTTCAGACCCTGCAAAAGATTTAAGTGTTTGTGTGGAGGAAGGAAGTTATTTAAAAACAAGAAAGAAAACCACATCAATTTACTGGCTGTGTTGCTTTGCCCAACAGTGAATGGAAGGACCAGTTGTTTGCAGCCTCAGGCATTTTGTTAAATTTTCTTCAAAACAGAGGGACATAAAAACTCTGATAAAAGGTTCTGTACCTTATCCATCCAAAAGGATCTTTTCCACACTTGCACCTACGTGCTTTTTTATAAATATTTTAGATTGTCGTGGTTTTCTGGAAAATTCCTATGAACTTAAAAAAAAAAAAATCTAAAAAAAAAAGTGTTTTTTAAATCTCTTTTTATTTTGTTTCCTAATATTTTAGCATGTGAAAGATATAATTCTGCAGTCCAACCCTTTACTGGAGGCCTTTGGGAATGCAAAAACTGTGCGGAACAACAACTCGAGCAGATTTGTAAGTCTGTCTCCATTAGAAATTATTTTTCTAACTTCTATGCTGTTACAGACACATTATTCAGGAGTATAATATAGATTGACTACAAATTAAGGACATGTATATAAAATACAATGTGTTTTAAAATATACGGTATGTGTTGATAGGCCTCTATTCATTCTGTATTGGTTGTTACTCTTGCTGGTCAAAAATTATGAAATGTTCAGTCTGTAAGCAAATAACAGTAACAAAACATCCAGGTCAGTAAAACACATGCAACGATATAATTTAAAAGCATGTTTTTTAACAAATGAAACCATTCTTAGAATTCTTTAATGGGAAATACCTTTTTTTTTTACATACAGAAAATAGGTAGCAACAATCTTTTGTCTGTCCTCATAAGATACTCAAGTTAATATTGAGAGCAAGTGTTCAGTAGCTAGCTTGCTATAGGTTACACTGCAGAAAAGTTACACATAAGCTTTACAAATTTGATACTTGTTCCTAAGCCAGTGTGAATGTTAACATGATAAATGCATCACGGAAAGGTAAAAATAATTGCTTTACGTTGCTTTCAAGCACAACACTGTTTTTCATTGGTCATAAATCTGCTAAATTGACTTCCATTACAAGTGGTCATTATGGCTACCTCTATGCTAAGCAAGGATCTCAGCAATGGGAAGAAGCCCCTCATTGCTTCTCTGCGTTGGCATTACCGTGTGGCACATTGTCTCTAGTCTAACTGTATAAACAAAGAAAGAAGGAAGATGTGATAGTTCAAGAATCTAAGCTTACGTAATTCTTGAGCCAGCTAAGTCACTGTGTTCAGAAAGATGAATATCATACTAATGGTCCTTGAGATGCAGTACAAGCAGTACATGATCTGATATTTACTAATTATTCAACAGCTTTAATTATTTATTGCAGGGGAAATATTTTGAAATCCAGTTTAGCCCAGGTGGAGAGCCAGATGGAGGGAAAATCTCCAACTTCCTACTGGAAAAATCTCGAGTTGTAATGAGGAATCCTGGAGAGAGGAGTTTTCACATTTTTTACCAGGTCAGAAGTCTACAGCTCTTTTATGAGTTATTTAAAATAACTTGTGCCAGTTTTTCCTTTTGAATTAAAAAGTCATTCACAACACAGTGAGGTTATTGAAAGCATATTTAAAAAGATAATGTGGATATCACTGGAAAACTTCATAGCATGTTAAGGCACCATCTAACATAGGCCTGTCTGCATTTCATCTAAAGAATGTACTTCAAATGATCAGCTTGGAAATTCACTGATAACTCTCTTATGGGGAAATCCTATAGAACGTAATGGAAAATGAGAACTTTCCAACAATTCTCTCTATAAACTTATCTATACAATCATACTTTCTGCTCTAGAACTCTGTACGACAGCTCTGAAATAGAGATTTAATTACGTTTTATGGGATGTATAAGATAACAGCTTTTGAATCCTCCAAACATCCCCAGGTTTTTATGTTCCAAAAAGCTTTTCTGGCCTTTTCTTGTCTTTGACATGAGAGTTTCTTATCAGCTGAAGTCAAGCTCTACAAAACTAGAGTAAATGCAGTGCAGTGTAAGTGAGCAACTGTATGCAGCTTCACATACATTTGAAGTGTTTTATGAAGATGGAAAGCTGAGTTGGAGCTAGACTTGCTCCAGAAGCTGTGCACTCTCCTCTTCTGAGGTGTATAAACAACTTGCAGTTCCCTTCTGAATTTCTTCTGTGGCTGAGAGAGGCTTTTTGATGCAGAGAATTAGAAAACCACAGGGTTTTGAATATTCTGTTTGGAGATTAGTTCATTCCTTCCTATCACTGCTGTACGTCTGGGCAACTGTGCTTGTCTTTCAGCAAGCATGGAAAATATGTTGCTTTTGAGGATTTAGGTAAAATGTTGAAGACTGAAAAAGCAGCTTTGCCTTATCTTTGTGGTAAAGAGACTAGATGTTTACTAAACCATTTATGAGAATGGAAATAAGCATCTGATCTTTCAGGTCAAGCTAGTGAAAGAATAAGAAGGTTACTAGCCTGGCACAGCACTATCCTTGTCTTCTCCAGTAATTTCAGGCTCAGTCACCAGTTTCTGACCCACTTTATCTGTGCTGAAAGTTTTTTCCCAGTGACTAACGTGAAGATTTTTATTTTCTAGTTAATTGAAGGGGCTTCTTCTGAACAAAAAAGCAGTCTTGGCATTACCAGTATGGATTATTATTACTATCTCAGTCTCTCTGGGTCTTACAAAGTAGATGACATCAATGACAAATCTGATTTCCAAGAAACACTGGTGAGTTCTTGACACCAATTTGTGTAGCAGTGGGTGTTCATCTCACTGTCCATTCGTAGCAAAGACATTGGTTTGGGAATGACAAATTCATGTGCAGGCAATGTACATAAATTATGTTTACTTGCAGAGATTGTATGTTACCCTGTGGAGAACCTTTGTTACAGTCTAAGAATCCTGAGAAGATGGCTACAATTCCATCTTTGTATAGAAATACATTTTGTTTTCTGCTTGTCCTTTTTCATAATGGTGCAAATTCTTGGATTGTATGCAGACAAACTTCTATTAGGAATCTACAGTATGGAGAATGTGAAAATGGTGAGGAACTTCCATTAAGGAACATGTAGAAGAAGACTGTTTCACCTTGATTCTTGAGAGCGCCTAATCTTTTCTTCCTGTTAAAAACAGCACAGCTGGGAGGCTGCATAAAGGGACTGAGAAGGCATGGGTCAGAGATTTCAGCCAAAAAAAAAAAGAAAAAATTACTTGTACATTCTAGCTACTTTGGTATTTTGGGAAAAGTTATGTTGAGAAGACATCCTGTATGTTGTCATGTACTCAGAGCCCAATGAGGCAGTCAGTCATTTTCTAGTCAGTGGCTGAAATAGCCTGAACCAGACAGATTGTGCTGCTTTTGAGTTTCACAGTTGTTCATCTCAGCAGATAAACTGTCTGTATAGAGGGAACAAAACTGTTCTTTGTTTCGCATTTTGCAGTGAAATTGATTTCAGTGTGAAGCTTAAGGGCAGGTGCTTGTTGTTCTGCAAGTTTAATTCTTCAAGAATTTATGTAGCTAACTCGTCTTTAAGTGGTGTATGTAAATGCTTCTGTAGTTAATGGTTAAAAAGGAAGAACAGAAATGCTCAAGTAGGATATCAGGTTTTCTATCACCTTGAAATTTCTGGCGATAATGAAATTTCTTTGCCTTAAGTGTTTGAATTCATTTGAAAAACTTGAATTTTTAAGGTAAAAAATTTGAAATGACTTTAATGGAGAGAGTCATTGAAAAGATTCTTTGCTTAAAAATTCTTTTCTTCCTAGCATGCAATGAGTGTGATTGGGATCTTTGCAGAGGAACAGACGTTGGTGCTACAGATCGTGGCTGGAATATTGCACTTGGGAAACATTAGCTTCAAAGAAGTTGGCAACTATGCAGCAGTGGAGAGTGAGGAGTGTAAGTACCTCTGGAAATTCTGACAAGAATGGGCTGAAACCCAGGTGGCATGAGCTGAACTTCCATCTTGAGCTACTTATCCAAACATAGTGCATCATTTCTTTAAGTGTAAGGCTGCTAATTCAGATTTTTCCAAAACCAGCAATGGTACCAAGGCCCTCTTTGTCTAGTACAGCACTGTAGGCTTTAATAGGAGTGCAGTTTTGAATTTAAGAAATCCTTTTCCAGCTGTCGAGCATGAAAAAAGAAACTGTTTCTTACATGTTGTTTGAGCCCACAGTGAATAAGCAAAAATCTGCAGTAGCTTATAGATACCTATTTGTTCTCTTATTTCAGTATGATCCGTAGTGGTTTGTGTTTAGGAAAGCTGCATCTGTTACTCTATTTTTAGGAAAATTAAATATGAATGAAGTATCCTGTGCAGTCAGCTCCCCACTCAACTGTGTTATTGCTCTCCTGCTAGTTATTTTAACAAATTGAGAAATAAAAATTACTAAAAATTTCTTCATTTGGGAGAATATTAATAGAGAAATACGAAGGGAAGCATTTATTTCAGACTGAAATAATCAAAATTCAACAGTTTTGCTCGATGGAGTTATTATATAGCCAGTTGCATAGAAACTGATGCAAAAGATGTTCTTCAGGAAGCCAGATCTCTTACTCTGAGTCAGACTCAACTGTACAGAGACTATTCTCAACATTTAAACAAATACTTTTTTAAAACTGACAGTGATTTCTGTCTGTTATAGTGCTTGATTAACAATAATCTCTCATTATTTGTCTTCCTTACAAATCATGCTAAATACTACGTACTCTCTTTGCATATTGAAAACAATTTGAAACTGTCCCTCTTTACACTTTGTTTGTACTGGGAGATATATTTTACACTTCCTGAAAACTGATGAAGCAATCCTCATCTTTTACAACTTCTTTGAAGACAGTGCATTAAGCTATTTCACAGAACACCATTCATTACTCTTTGAGGATTGTTTCTTCAATTACCTGCATATCCCACTTTAAAGTAATTTCTAGACCTAAAAATGGAAAAAAATCAGGCATGTTAGGAGTGTGAAGTCTATCAGGTCATGTTCAGTTATTCCTCCTTTCCAGTGAATTATTATCACTGTGAAGGAAAAGTTTCAGAGCTCTGCGTGGTGGTTCTTATCATTATACCATCTTCATAAATTCTGACAGTTAATATTGGCTAAATAATTCATTCCAGCATCTTTCCAGTATGTGTGAGCCTATTTGGTCTACAATACCCTGCAGTTTCTTCCTTTTCACAATATGTGATGGCTAGCCATGTCATGTTCTCAGTGAGTTACCAGAGCTGTTGCTAGCAACTCAGTTTTGATTAGTCCCCTGGTTCCTGCTCCCCTAAGGGTAAATTTAATCACCTTGCTGATTGTAAGAAATCAGGTTCATAAAGCTGGCAGTTATTTACAATTAAAAAAACAGTTTTGGATTAAAATAGTAAGGGGTTTAAAGAATCATCGTGCTGTTCTGTTACGGATTTGTAAAGCTCAAGTGGCTGCTGCATTAATGATTGTTTTGTGTCCTCCTCACATGAGCAGGGTGGATCTGAAAGCAAAGGAACATGGAAGAAACGTCACTAGAGGATTATTGTGGTTTAGTGGAAGTGCAATAGTACCTGCAAGAGCTACCATTGGGAGCTATTTCCATATGCTTTCAAGCAGTTTCTCTTTTCCTGTTCCACCTGCAGCTGTCACCTGTGCCATGTGCTAAAGATGCAGAGAACGTTAGATTTGTTGTTGCTTTGTGCAGATACCTGTTTTTCTGCTTTGCTTTTTTTAGAAAGGGCAGCCAGACTTTGCAAAGTAGCTTCAGAATAAGGTATTAAAAAAAGTAAAAAGAAATAAAGAGCAAGGGAATTGAAGGTTGGTTGTTTTTTGTTTGGTTGGTTTTTTGCAATATCCTTAGAGGAAGAAGGGGAAAGGATTTTAGAAAGCAGCACTATTTTCTTCATTATTTTTTAAACCTTTCATAGTTTACAAACCACTTTCATTAGCTTCAATTTTAAGTGTGAGCTTTGTGTTTTCTTTTCATCTCCTCCAACCATGCCATCTCTGTGATTGTTTTAACCACACAGTTTGTATATATATGTATTTTTTTTTTCTTTTATTCTGCATTGGTTTAGTGTAAATCATAATCCAGCAACTCCGATCTTTCTTGCAGTTTTGGCTTTCCCTGCTTTCCTCCTGGGAATTAACCAGGACCGCCTAAAGGAAAAACTGACCAGCAGACAGATGGACAGCAAGTGGGGAGGCAAATCCGAGTCCATTAATGTAACACTAAACGTGGAACAGGCTTGCTACACTAGGGATGCACTGGCCAAGGCCCTTCATGCCCGCGTTTTTGATTACTTGGTGGATGTAAGTTGGATTTCCTTCTGTTGAAGTACTGATACGAGTACACTGGGATTGTATCTTGCAGAGCTCCTCTTGTCCATCTGTTTTTCAGCACGTGTATGTTTCTTTGCCTAAACCTTAGCGGTAGTACTGAGCAGTGCTGAGGGAACATGACCACAGCTCGCATACAAGGCACGGATTTTATTACAGATGCTGCACAATGAGCTGTGCTTTCAGCACTGTATTTGTTCAGTTTCTTGCCACTACTGTCCTGTCCTGGTATCTCCTTCCTGTCGGCATCCATACTTCTCTGGAACAGGTCTCACTTTCTCCTATATAGTTGAGCATTTTCAAATGAGCAGAACTAGTGCGTTATGTTACTGGCCTCCTGTTATCCTGTCCCAGTCTCTGCAGCATCCTGATGTTGTGGCATTTGAGCAAAAGCTTGAATTCTGTTCTCCATGCTGGAGTACTCTCTGACCAAGTGACTCTGGTGGTTGGATTGGTGGGGGATAAGCCTTTCCTTTGGCCACAGATGTTAGCTAGATGAAGTAAAGTCTGCTGCTTGGTGGCACTGCTAGTGTATCACAAGTGTGCCTCATCGTGACAGCTCTGAAATTTCTGCTGTATAAAATAATTGAATGTGGAAATTGGTAAAAAGTTTCATGTTGCTATCTGCAAAATGCATCAACTATCAGATTTAAAGCTGGTCTGTTTTTCTGTTCACTGTTTTGTTTTTTTTTTTCTTCAACTGAGCTCATTGCTGCAAAGGAGAAAGACTTACAAAGAAAGTCCAGAGGCTTACTGACTGAAAAACAAGACAGTATATTGTTCATTATCAAGCTATTAAAAACACTTTATTAAAAAGGAAAGTAGTATACCCTATTTTTATATATATATATATATATATATTCAATTCAAATATGTTACTTATGCAGAAACCCTTTTATATAAAGGGTTATATAATTTAAATAAGGGCATATAATTTAAATATATAAAATTTACTTTGTTTTCCATTGTGGTTTTTTTTTTTTAGTCCATTAATAAAGCTATGGAGAAAGACCATGAGGAATACAACATTGGTGTCCTTGATATTTATGGTTTTGAAATATTCCAGGTAAGCCAATGCACTGCTCAGGGTTTGAGCTGGTCTGACCTGAGAGAGGTTTTTTTTTTTTGTTATTTACAGGGGAAATACTCTAGAACATGAAAGACAAACTTATGGCCAGAGTAAAAGGAAAAAAAAATAAGCCAGCTTCCAGGGCATTAAGTTCTCCCTGCTAATGTCTCACTTAGTAAGCAAGAAATACTGATGGAAATTGAAAGAGATTAATTCATTGATCTTGAAAGATCTGAGATTACACAGCATGCCTATAAAATCAGAAACCCATCTGTCACTGGCAGTATTTCCTTACAGCTTCTCCTGATATTGCCAACATAAAAATTAAGAGTTACTACATGATTCTAAGTTTCTATTGTTTCCTTTTTCTGTAGAAAAATGGATTTGAACAGTTCTGCATCAACTTTGTTAATGAAAAGCTGCAGCAGATTTTTATTGAACTGACACTGAAGGCGGAACAGGTAACCAGACATTCATTATTTTTGTCTTCATAGAACAGGCTATCATTTTCTCAGCTGGTGGAAAAAGTGAGGTTTCATCATCTGTTAACAATAAAATTTGCCTTGGTAAGCTAGAGGGAGAGAGAGAGAGAGACAAAAAAACAACCCAAACCTTAGCTGTTGGCTAACCCTGAGAATGTAAACCGACTGAGTCCGTTATGCAGTGCACTAATGAAGTCATATGACTCTGCCTAGACTTGCTGCATACTGACTCACAGAAATGGAAAACTTCAGCTTGATTCCATCCCTGTGCTTTCATTGGACACGGCACAGAGTTAAATGGGAATACTTCTCTTAGTTTCCTCCACGCTCTTTTTTTAATGTATATGAACTAGATCACTGAGGCAAATGCACAAATACTTCTGAAGTTATTTGCATTTCTCTGCTCAAACTCTCACTGTAAAAACCACTCTTTATGTGAATGTGAGCTTTGGCATGGGAGGGCAGACAGTGCAGCTGGGACGTTGTTGCATACAGTATGAGCTCGGGCCTGGCACCAACTTCAGGACAGGGATTTCAGGAATGCACACAGAATTGCCTTTGTGTAAATGTAACTGATCAGTGCAGTTGAGCATGGGAGTGACCTACCTGCTAAGTGTTTAGCTGCACTCTTATGTCTGTAGCTAAGTAGATTAATTTAGTCAAATTTCAGTATGATTTTTTTCAATCCATATCTAGATACGGTTACAGTAATAGTGTACAGAAATAAGAAGAGTTGTCTCCACTTTATGTCCGTTTCTGAATGTGGCATTTTGAAGACCTGATCTGTGATACACGGTCACAATCTTCATATTTTTTAAAATAGTTTGGATATGGATGCTAACTGAATTGTCAGGAGAACATAAAGCTCATTTTGTTTCAGTTTGCAAAATGCTTTGACAGTGAGCGCATGGGAAAAAATAGTCCTGCTCTTTTTGGTGACTACTCAAGAGCTGTGAATAGCAAGAGTGGGGAGAACAGGGGAATTTTAGGTCAGCTCTTAGATGGTAGAGAGCTGGGTTTAATCATCATGTGGGTCATTGCTGCCCCTACCCAATAACAGAGTGGACAGGTCTTTCTAAACACGAGTGGAGTTTGTATGGATGTTGTGTATTGGGCAAGACAATATTTGCATCTTTCCTCTTAACAGGAAGAATACGTGCAAGAAGGAATTAGATGGACTCCAATAGATTACTTTAACAACAAAATAGTGTGTGACCTCATAGAGAACAAAGTGGTAAGTATTTGGCATAAACAAATGGAAAAAACAGCAAGATTTTTCTGTAAAATATCTGGGCAACTGCTTTGCTGTCAAGAGAAAAATGCAAATACTGTTGTTAGTATGGCTGAGTCATACTAAGCCTATATATAAGTCTTACATAAGATATTTTATGAGATCTTACAAGAGATCTAAGATGTATATTATTTAAGATAGTAGGCAAAAAGAGAACCATAAGATAGCATGATTGACAAATGGTGTCTTGAAAGTTCCATGTTTGCAAATTATAACTTTAGTCACCTAAATTTGTTATGAATTTCATGATGTATTCTTTTGTATGTGTTAGATAAGGCTCTCTCTGTCCCTGGGATGTGTGTTTCACTTTGGGAAAGCTGCAGTAGCAGCTTCTGTTGAGGTCCTGTTGCAAATGAAGCAGGAACAAGTGAAGAGGAAGTATTAGAAATTGTTGTAGCTAGAAGAAATCTATATATCTTTGCTCCAGGGAACTTTCTGCAGCATAAATTCCTTTCTGTCTTGGGATGACAACAGATGTTGTTATCCAGTTGTTCTTTAGAATACAGATAGTTCTCATATAAGACAATAAATTTTAATGGTAGTTCACAGAATACTTTGCATTGTACTTTAAAGAACTTCAGATTTCACCTGGCTTCTATCTGCATCGTGATAACTAGGAAAAGGATTGGATCTCTGTCACAATCTTAGATCTGTTTGTCTATAAGTGTGCCACATGCAGCATGTGAATTTAATTATTTATTTCAAACATGGCTTTATGTTTTTGGTAGAATGACAACAACAAAAAAATTTACATTGCAAAGTAATTAAAACAAATTTATTTATTCTGAACTACAGGCATCATTTCCCCCTTCATTTCCCACTCTGTCACTGGCTTTACACGTACTTGCATCTGTACTTAAACTATCTGTGTGCCAGTGGACAAATTAATTTGTACTATGAACTCTGCAGACTGATCTGATGGTGAATTTTTTCTGCTGTGTTTTTGTAGTAAGTAACATTCTTTGGGGAGGATCTTGGGGAAAAAAAAAGTCTTTTTTTATCCCCCCTCACTTTTTGTTGTTTTTCTCAAATGTGTTAGAATCCCCCAGGAATTATGAGCATTTTAGATGATGTATGTGCCACAATGCATGCGGTGGGGGAAGGAGCTGACCAAACACTGCTTCAAAAACTCCAGATGCAGATTGGAACTCATGAACATTTCAATAGCTGGAACCAAGGATTTATCATTCATCATTATGCTGGAAAGGTAATGTGGAAAATCATCACTGAACTCTGCATAACATATTTATAAAGAAAAAGCAAAGGGAAAGAAGTAGCTCTAGAAAGTTATTCTGATTTTAAATAGCCAAATTATCTCAGGAGATATTGTCTTCCTTTCACAACACAGGGATCTTGTGCCCTAATGTACATTCCTTACTTAGGAGAGCTGAGCCTTGCTGCTGTCAACCATAGTAACCAAAACTTACTATTAAATATAATAAATTGGTGCTTTAAAATCCTCCTTGCATAACAGCAGTAAGTTTAAAGCATTCAGGCATTTAAAAATGATCCTTAAGAGATAATATACCAGTCAAATTAGAAGTATTATGCACATTTCTGTCTTACTTGGGTATATTTCTCAGACTACTCATCATTTCCTGCTATTATATTTAATAACAGTACATCATTGTTATGCTTTTTTTCTGTAAAGTTCAGTATTAAATTCACTTGTATTGCATTCTGCTGACTTGTTCATAGGTCCTTTTGTTGTTGTTGTTGAGCTTAAACCTATGGATGTAATTCCTTTGTTTTGAAAGAGTCAAGTAATGTATGCAAGGATTTAGTCATCACTATACTGTCCTTAAATGGTATCAGACTAACCAAAACTTCAGAACAGCTACTGATGAGGACAGGATATAAATTTTCTGTAATTATTGGGTTCTCAACTTACCACAAACAATCAATTTCCACCTTGGCCAGGTCTCTTATGATATGGATGGATTCTGCGAGAGAAATCGGGATGTTCTTTTCACGGACTTGATTGAACTCATGCAGAGCAGTGATTTGTACGTAAGCAAAGTTTGCTAAAGCTAGGAATAATATGCTAGTTTAGATGGATGCAGAGGGCCTAACTTCTCAACTACTTCACAACTTGTGAAGTAATTCGCATAGAAATGGAAATGAAGCATCACTACAGTAAAACAGTATAGATTCTGTTATGCTTGATCTTCATTTCCTGCAAATATGAGTAAGTAGGGCACTAAAATGTCCAGCTCAAATGCTCTACTGATAAATATTTTTCTGCCTTGAAGAAGGCTGTCAGTATTATAGCATTATTGTAAAATAGGCACTGTTTTAACATATGAAGTAACTTTTTTCTGTTATGGTATTTTAATTGAGGCTTTTTAGGAAGCACTTTGTGTCTGGAAGACTGGTATCACATGTCTCCCAAAGCTCACTAAAATAGAGATCTCTGTGAGGAATGAAGCTCATGGAAAATACCAAGATTAAAATAGATTTGATAGCACTCTGGATTAATGTAAAAAGCTATTTATATTCTGCTCAACTATCAACTTCTACATCATATTTTTTTACATTTCTGCATCAAATTGTCTTTTACCAACATTATTTTCTTTATTCTTTTCTAGGCCTTTTATAAAGGCTCTGTTTCCTGAAAATCTTCAGGTAGACAAAAAGGGTCGTCCTACCACTGCGGGCAGTAAAATCAAGGTATGGCTATTTTCGTATGTGCATATATGAATGTGGCTGTGTTTGTGCAAGCATACCTAAACTAAAAAGAGGGTAGTCTTTGTTTTTATTATCCAGACCTTTATTAAAGATAGACATAGGAGTGTTCTGATCACAAAGCAGTGCGTTGTTTTAGTTGTTAGAATCATGTTTTGCCCGGCATCGCTATTTATTAAACCTTTTGTTCAGCTGCATTTTATGGTGCTGAATTTTCAAAATGAGCGATTGATGGTAGTGGTAATAGTACTTGCATGTGCATGATGAATGAGCCCCTTCACTCAGCCACTTGATGTCCTACAATTAACTACAGATAACTGGTCTCTTTATAGTGCAGAAATGCAGCAGGGCCTGATCCTACACCCACTGAAGTCAACAGAAGTCTTTCTATTGACCATAACGTGGGCTGAATAAGGCAGTAAGTGTTAGAAGGCAAGCATCTTTTTTTTTTTTTTTTGAGGCTGGGTGTAAAATATACATTTAGATAATGTACTTGAAAACTTTGGAAATTCAGTATTTTTTCAGCATCTTTCCTCATATTTCAACCTTACAGTTAAGACCACTTGATGCATTCCCCATACTCACCACTGTATTTTTATATAGTAGTTAAAATATATTACATAGCTGGAGATAATGGGGACTTCTGTTTACTGATTGTGTTTTCATGAGAGCCTGGTAGAAGGTGTTGAGTTTCTGTTAGGATGAGTTTTCCATGTTTTACAGATGCGTTCATAGGCACCAATGTGGGTAAGTTTTAAATAGAAAGAATAACAGGATGTGATAGAGGAAAATGATTTGTGAAAGAATTTGAGAAGAACCAGAGCCACGTAGATCATCAGCAGATGGCTGATATCCTTAGCACTCTCTCAGAGGTTTTACCCTGTTCACCTCTGTTTCTATAATTTCTTCCCTCAATTTTACAGAAACAAGCCAACGATCTTGTTAGCACCCTCATGAAGTGCACACCCCACTACATCCGCTGCATCAAACCCAATGAAACAAAGAAACCTCGAGACTGGGAGGAGAGCAGGTATGAAGCGAGAGCGCGTGATAGGAACAAGCACTGAGTCAAAAAAAAAAACCAAAAAAACCCTACAAAAATTCATGTTTTTTAATCATATAAGCCACAGACAAACAGAACTAGAAACTCTAAAAGCCTTCAGAAATGAGATCTCAATCTAAATAATTCTGAATTAATTCTGACTTTTGCTTCATGCTTTGAAAACAGCTTTTATTGGGTAGCAGAAAACCAGCAGGATGTTTGAATTTACTTTCATGGATCAAAAAAATCACACACACACAAACACCAGGAAAAACCAACATTTTTATGTATAAATACGTATATATAAAATCAAAGAATATAGTTTTTGTTATTGATTTTTACTTTCTGAACTTGAAGTTATTATCTATCTAAGTCATTATCTATCTCTTTAAAGGGTGATTGATAGAATATGATCTCAGGTGGTTGTACAGATACTGGATTTATGTCTAAATCTTTGGTTGGTTGCATCTGCTCTAAGGCATCTTTAAGCGTATGGTACTTTTTAGTATCTTCTTATAGTTAAGAAAGAGATGCTCTTCTTTTTCATACTGAGGTAGGGTACAAAAAAAACTTAAAACTTAACGTTTTTAATCATACTTAAGTACTTTTTGTATTGGTAAAAGTGCTGATGTTTGCAATGTGGGTTTTTTTTTTTAATCACAGCGAAACAATTTGTGAAGTCTGATAAAGAACACTCTTGACCACATCAACAGCACACCAAAATTCACTTCCTGCCATTTGGCACACAGACTAGCACAATTACATGCAGATGTAGAGCATTTACAGAAGCCACAATCATGACTGCCCCTTGAAAGTGTCATTTAGATCTTGGCAGAAAATGCAGATCCTTTCTCTAACTTTTCCTTCCCTTCCCACCCCTTAAAATCCTGCTATGCACCACTTAATTTCACTTTGACGCTGGGAAAAAAGAAAAATTACTCTAGTGAAAGTGTGCCTAAACTTATACTGAAGTAATAACCATGTACATTGGAGGGCTTTTGAAATCAATCATTTACATATTGGAAAATAGGCCTTTTATTGTGGAAAGTGTTGCTAGGAAACCAATGAAACAAACAAACAAAAACGGAGTCCAACAAGAGGCCGGCTTTCAGGAAGCCCATTCTGAAGTAAAAATAGGCAAGATTTCTGTTTTTTATTTGGTGTGGCAGCTACTGATGCTAAAATAATAAATTAAATACAAGGATTGTGTGGTATCAAACTCGACTACAAACGGAATGAATTCTTGGGATAATGGTAATTTTTAATCCCAATTAAAAATACTAACGTTCTCTCCACTTTCAAGCCCTTTCTCAAATATTAACACATCACATAGTGACAATAGTGTCATATCCAAGGAAAAGAGATGTAAGAATATGCAAATTTCAACTCAAATTTCAGCTTGTTTAGTTTTATATTTTCACAGTTTTGCTGTGAAAAAGACAAAATGCAGCTGAATGCACGTATGGGGTACTTTGCTGTGTTGGGTTAGTGGCCTTGGTTTTCTTCTGCAGTCATTTAATGAATGTGAATGAAATGAAAGTGTTTCTGAATGAGGAAAAGCTTCACAGAGCCCATCCTTGTGCCACATAATTCCAGCTTTCTACTACTGCTGAATAATTTCAGAATATTTTGCACTTTAAGGTAGACCTTGTGTAGTACCTAAACCTGGTACAACACCTTAGTTACTCCGAAAATCAGGGTGTTCCTTGAAATGTGTTTTTGTTCAGCTCCTGGCATAGTTGCTTGGACTTGTATTCAAAATTGCTGCATCAGCTGAATTCCCAGACCCCGACCTGCTTAAGGCTGATGCCTGGAGGGAGATTTTCAGTATGCCTTTTCTCAGAAAGAAAAGGAAAAACAGAAAAATGTCTCAAATTCTCTGTTGCTAGACACTAATACTGGCAGGACATTAAGAAAAAGGGAGTAATAGTGTTGGTGCAGTGCATTATTCCAGATGTGAATAGGAGGGAAAAGCTATAAACAGGAAAATGTATTTTTGTCTGTAAATTTTCTACTGTAACAGAATTCTTGGAGTTGGTACAAAATACACTTTATTCCTTGAGCACAGCAAGATTAAGATGTGCTGTATTTTGGTTATTAGATAAAAGAGCAGCATCTCATTAAATAACTGATCAGTGCTCCTTAAAATAAGAAATAACCAAAGGGCCTTTGTCACTTGTGGCATGGGACTTCAGAAGTATTTTCCCTTGATACTGAGTCATGTGAAAAGAATTTGTCTACCAAAAAAAGAAAAATCAACAGGCTGTACACATTATATTGAAATTCAACATTTCAAAATAGCTAGAGAAATAACACTGAATTAACCTAGAGGGTTTTCAAGGCTGGAAAAATCTTCAGTAAACAGAGAAACAGTATTTAAACTGGACTAAGGTTACATGGTTCCTTACAGCCTCGTTTTTTAAAAATTGTTTGTGAATTCTTTGCTATCTACTGTGTTCCATATTATTCTTTGTTCTGTACTCTAGAATGTACAGGACTAAGATCTTAACTGCTCCTATTTCTGACTGACAGCTAAAGTTTCCAGAATCTGCCTCAGATAAAAAAAACAAAACACCACCACAAAACCGATGGCGGTGGAGCCCCTGAACACAGCATTCAGAACTCAGAATTAAAAGCTGACGTTGCCTCTTCCAGCCGTGTGACTTAGAAGAGATAATTAATGCAAAGCAAAACAGCAAGTGTTGTACACTGTGAGCAAAGTTAACTGAAATTCTTCAAATGAAATTTCCATGCATTAAAAAGTAGACTAGGAGGATATGTAAGAAGGAAGAGAAAATACGTTCCATGGCTCCAGAAAGTGGAAAAGGTGCCAAAAGGAAGTTCTTTAGCTGCTTTTCTGCCTTGAGATTTATGGGGAAATACTTGTTCCCTGTTTTAAAACCCAAAAGAAAGGATCTTGCAAGAGGGAGCTGTAATGGTTTGGGGATAGTGATGTTTCAGTTGTCCACCACCGTTAACACTTTCAGTGGGACCAACTCACTGTTTGTTTCAGAATAAAGCATGCCATGAGCAGGCTTACCAGGAACTCCTGCAGGTCTTGTGCCTATCCTCACAGCCTCCCTTTGCCTTGTGGTAAGGTCTGCAACAGTGCTAACTTTTCATGAATACACTGTTCAGAGTTTCTTACATCTGATTCTTTGTGTGATAAAGGTTTGGCGTCTGGGGCTTTCTCCAGTCCTCAGATGTGGTCCTTCAGAATAGCCGAAAATGAGCTGTGAGCAGCTGTCCCTGTTTGGGGCATGTAAAACACACACAAACTACATTAAGGATCATCATTTCCCACTGCCTTGGATATCATTGTGTAGGTAGTTACTTGATCTTTTATGGGTATTAGTGAAGAAATTTGTACATAAATTACTTAGGAGACAGGAAGTTTGACTACTGAAAAGAATGCCAAAGAAAGTTGCTGTATATTTCAGTAACGTGGTTTTGCCACACAGCGTGCAAGAATAAATAGATTTCATGTACCTGTGCATTAATTTTAGAGTTAGTCTTTAAGCAGATGTGATTTTAATAAGAATACTTCAATCCACAAATATGCTGAAATAAAATGGATTGTAAATCTTGCTTTGTTTTTGTCCACAGGGTAAAACATCAAGTAGAATACTTAGGTCTGAAAGAAAATATTCGAGTAAGAAGGGCTGGCTATGCCTACAGGCGGGTTTTCAAGAAGTTTTTGCAGAGGTAAGGTAATGCTAATTTGGAAGTATTAGAGAATGTTTGCTTGCATCATGAGTATAAAAAAGTTGTGAGTTTTGAAAGCTTCTAATTTCCCACTTTTCCTTGTTAGTATTTACCTTGTTAAAGATCTAGGCTATGCAGATGTTTTGAAAAACAGTCTCTTTGTGTCTTTAAAATCTTTCCACTTTCCACCAAACGTGCCTAAGGCCACAGTTCTTCTTGGAGGGTTCTTCTAGGAGCTCTATATCTGTGGAATCCAAGGCTCTGGGAACTAAATTCTGTTTAAAATGTTACTGTCACTCTCCAGTCACTCTTTCCTAGTGACAGAGGGTAGGCAAAGAAACAGATGCCTGCCATTCAACAGTCTCAGTGAAAAGAGTAACCTATTAGCTGAAATTGGTGGTGTTAAAACAGCTGGGAATGGTAACAAACAAATGCTGCAGCTGCTCACAGAATGAAAGCCATGAGATAAATCCTCATTTCAGTGTCTTAAGACCAGCTGTTGAAATGAATTAGCTACCTTCACCAGCTACTGAATCCTATTAAATGGAAGCAATTTCCTTATTTAGGCAACATTCAGTCTCTTTTTTATTACAGAAAATTGAGACATGCACTTAATTAGTGCCCAAACCAGGGTGTTGTATGACAATTCACCTCCGTTAGAAATCCTTGTGTTGCATTTTGAAATAGAACGTAAAAAAAATAAATAAATCAGTTGTTCCAAGGAATGGAGTATGATTCAGCAACTGACCCAGAACAAAGCCACTGATAATACTTTGTATACTTTATGATAATACAGAGGGTTCTAATTATCTAGTAATAAACAGTTCTAAAATACCTTAAGATATAGACTCCATTTTAATCATGGGATAATTTTTAATCATTTTATTCCCCACTATCTTCGAGCCCAGACATTAAACATGAATGGTCTTCAGATTACAGAACCTTACTTGAAGGTTACTGCAAAGACAGACTAACAGATTAATAATGAATACCAGGGTTCTAGTCTAGCCTAACGATTGTTGAAAACTAATTGTGAGAGCTGTGCAAGTCTAGAAAGGTCTGCACGGAGGAAAGCCACATGGTGCTTCTGGAGGGTGAAAAGCTCACTGCACTTTGTGTGCAGAGATCTACAATGAGCTGAAACCAATTTGTTTGTTTCAAATCAGTATTGTTAAATTTTACATTTTGTTACAAGTAAAACCTTTCCTGCAACCTTTCAATTTACAGTTCCCTAACATCCAGAGAACAAACTCTTTTCTGACACCATGGGTCAGTGTGAGTAGAAGCGGGCTGAGGCATGGGATGGTTAGGAAATGCATGCTTGTACACTTGTTTTCATTGGGAGCTCATTGGCAGCTCAATGTAAGTGGAGATTTCAGGATTGAATAGACTTATGTATGAAATTTATGTTTGCATGCAAAAAGCCAAAGGCACTGAAAAGGCTCGTGTGTTTCAAAGCATAACCAGAAAGCTGAACTCCATGCTCCTGTAATTAAAAGTAGAAACTAACTGCTTACTCTGAATTTATAATATTTTTTTTTCAGTGATCATGATTTTGGAATTGTTTCAGAAGCATTTTAAGAGCACAGTATGCTGAAATCCTCCATAAGCTTAAATTACATGTAAATTTGAAAAACTTAGATAAATGGATATTGATATGAGCCATTTAATGGGAAGGTTGCAGAAACACCCTGGAGAAAAATGTTATTCATTCCTAAATGGCAGTGGACAGTGAGAGAGTTGATGCAGATGAAATGTTAAATTCTAGGACTTATGCTTAATTGGTGCATATTATGCTCTTTTTTTCTGCCTTGTAGACTTGTCCTAACCATAAATTATATGAAGTTAGCTTGCATTAATGAAAAAGGAGAATTTCAAATCTATTCTTATACCCAAGAACTTTACTATAGAAGTCTTCAGTCTTACTTTTCCCAATGCCCTCCTTCCAAGCTCACAAGATAGGATAGGAAAGAATTTACAGCATGCTGAAATGTAGCATCAACTTCTGTTGTGTGAAAGGTTCCACAGTTTTGATTGCCTTTATTAACTGAAGCTCTTTTAAATTCAGACTTGGTTGTACAACTGTATTGTTGGAGATACTTGATGAACCTGCAGAAGAGTTCCTTAAATAAGCGGGGAGTTAGTTTATATACAACTCCTGCTTACTACTGTGCATCTGTCTATCCCATAAATACTGATAAATAACTTACATGATCTGTAAACAGATTATGTGCAATGTACATTTATATTTAAGATGTCATAAGAGCCACTTCTCTTACACCATCATGCTAGTATCTGAGCGTTTGATAATTAATAGAGTTGAACAAGATAGCATACTAGACTATTTGAATCCTACTGAATTGTATATATAAACCTTTTCTTTTCATGTACACGGTATCCAGGGTTTGTTTGTTTGTAGTATGTTCCTTTTTAACAGTTTGCTGTATGTCTTTATGTGGCATTGCTATTTAAGTTGCACGACACTACGTCTTGGTTTTGAGTAGATAACATTTTAGGTATGGTAAGAATAAGAAATGAACATTTCCTGAATTAATTTCCTTTCAATTCCTTCTGTGATTTTTCTGAACATTTTACTAGAAGCTGCCTACTTCTTTCTACCTGAGAATTACAACAAACTAAACTCCATACTCTACCTTATTTAACTGAATAGTTGCACTAATAAGCATGATTTAGTCTATATAGCTCAAATACTCTTACTGCAATATGAAGAAAAGAGTCAAGGCTGAAGAACAGAAGATCTGTGGGGGAAAATGTGTTAGAACACATTTAGGTGTTCTCCAGTCTCTTCCCGAGGAGTTTAAATAGCTTCTGCTAGAGGAGTTAGTTATCCCCAGGCATGCTGATGCAGCTGAAGCCCATTAGCTCTTCTCAGTGTGCAGAATAACAAGAAATCTGTCAGTTCCACAAGAGCCAGTTAAGCACGAAAAAGTGGACAGTTTAGAAGGAGCTGTAACCTGGCGTCTACCTCATTTCTAAGGCTTAAAGAGAGTACCATGAGATAGAAGGCTACTCGCTTATCAAATGCATGGCATTACAGCACTTCCCCACCTCATTCCATAGCTCTTTTTTATGGTCAGTTCACCTCAGCATTCCCTCCAGACAGCACCAACATCACAGGATCTTCCCTCCTGTAGCAGATGCTAAGCCAAAGGCTTTATGGGTTAAAGCCAAGAATGCCTCCTTGCTACATGCAGACCAGCTGTTATTAACAGGTGGGTTAGAAGAATGAGCTTGTCTAGTTGCTTAGAAACACAAAAAGCCTTTGTAAGAGTAAGGGAGACAGAAAAGCTTAAGGGGGAAGTTGGTCACATGCTTGGGAAGGAGTCCATTGTACCAAGGGTAAGGAAGTACTTTAACCTGCACCATAAGTCATTGCTAGTAAATAACCTCACCCTGGATTTAAGATTAGAGCAAAACTTTTTGTAATTAACCACTTACTTAGAATCTGGAAATGGGAGATTCCTGGACACTGTTGCCCTTCTCATTACAGCTGTTTGGTCTTACTAAGCAAATAATATAGTTTTGCATCTTCCTACGCTCTAAGCTTCTATAAATGCTGCCAAGGGAGCAAACATTTTCCTAGTGTGGTCTGACTAGGAGTCAGTGGTATTCTGCTGATGTTTGATGTCAGATTTTGATGTTTTTTTCTCCTTGCTGATTAAGGTATGCCATTCTGACCAAAGCAACTTGGCCTTCCTGGAAAGGAGATGAGAAGCAAGGAGTTCTCCACCTACTTCAATCAGTCAACATGGATCCTGATCAATACCAACTTGGGAAATCCAAAGTCTTCATCAAAGCTCCAGAGTCTGTAAGTATGGCAGGACACAAGTCTATAAATACGAAGCTTTTGCTAAAATACATGGCCTTCCTGCTCCAATGATGCATAGCTTATGTGCTAGGACAGGAGAAGCATCAAAATGTAAGTCAACCTGAGCAGGGCTGTCACAGATGCCTTGAGGCAGTGGGTGCAGTAGACACTAGAATCTCACTTCTGCGATGGGTACAGTATGTCCTTGTACATCAATTTGACGCTTACACAAGGAGCATCAGGAAGAAGAGATGGGACACACAAAGATGCTTTGGTGTCAGGTTGCACATGGTGACGTTCCATCAGAATCTGTCATATGAAGGAATATCATGGCATGAGAACACATGTATGGCTGTTTGCCCAAGCTAACAGGTCTTTTTCAAAGGATAAGAGGATAAGAACTGATGAAAATAAGAGAAAAATTCCCTAATATGTCTGAGTAAACCAATGTCACAGAATAGCTAACTATAAATCCCATTTCAAAACATCAGGTAGGCAAATTAAGGCTGCTTTTATCCTGTGGCTTCTGAACTGCATGGAACATTGGAACAGTTTTGTTATCTCATTATTCAGGAAAGTTGTCAAGGAAGGAAAGTATGCTCTATTTACAATCATGTATTCCTTATCTATCAGAAGCAATCAGGCTTACTTAGTGAAACACCTTCTGCTTGTCAGATGGCTTCTTAGTACTTTGCCTTAAATTACACATCAAAATAAAAGCAGAACACTTCTATTTCTGTCATTTTCCTTTTGAGGAATACTTCTTTGCACTACCCAATCACACAACAAGATCCCAGAGGGAAAATAATACTTCCTCAGAGTTGTAACCAAAATTGATTCTGCAATGAATAGAGTCAGAAAGATAGTCTCAGTTGTTAAGGAAAAGCAGTGCTTTAGCATCCCTGTCATTTGAGAAAGACATGTTTATAATAATAATTAGTGTTCAAGGTGTATAGGGTGCTTGGATGCATGTTGGCCAAACAGGAAATTCTAGTATAGGATTAATCCTAGGTAGTCATTGCAATCAATGCACCTTAGTTACCAACTACAAAGAAGTGTGAGCTCTGCTTGCCTTCCAGCATAGCACAGGTCATGATTTGTTTCCTAAGTTTTCAGAGAATTTTTGCTTACCTGTGCCTTGTTATGACCTTGAACATGAGTGGATGTGTGTCTTTGATATCTCTTCTTGTGACAACAGCTGGGACATGTAGTCCTTTGCCGATTACCTCAGGTTTATGACAGGGTGGTGGCAAGTACACACTCTGGTCAAGTAGCTCTTTGGCTTACTGAGTTGCTCATAAGGACAGGGGAACAGAATTAGTAACTTAAACAGCATCTGCCAGTTGGCTATCTTACACTGCTGCAAACCTGGCTTTACTGTTTTCACTACGAAACTATTTATATCCATAACAAAATAACTTGTATAATAGCTGTTTTCTTGATCTTACTCTTATGGAGAAATCAATCCAGTTTTTAATTATTTTTCTTTTTAGTTATATAATGGGTCATAAGGAAATAACTTCCCTGACTCCTGAAAAGGCTGTAAGCTTTGGTATATTTACCACTTACGAGAGCACAGATTTTCAGCAGCCTTATTTTCACAAGTGGGCTGGGACTTACTCCTGTTTGTTTTATTCTCTTTTTTTTTTCTCTTCTCCTTCCTTCTCTCTCCTTCCTTCTCTCTCCAGAGAAAGGACTTAAAATGTTTACTGTTACTCATGTACTCATCCTCTATTTAATAGTAGATTTAATTGAGAATACTAGGAATAGTTATGTCACAGAATCACAGAATCGTAGGGGTTGGAAGGGACCTCCAGAGATCATCGAGTCCAACCCCCTGCCAAAGCAGGTTCCCTACAGCAGGTCGCACAGGTCGGTGTCCAGGCAGGTCTTGAACATCTCCAGAGAAGGAGACTCCACCACCTCCCTGGGCAGCCTGTTCCAGTGCTCCGTCACCTCACTGTAAAGAAGTTCTTTTTCATTTTGAGTTGAAAAACATGATATGAATATTCTAAAGCTTAATTTATATCTTTTAGTATCAAAGAGAAATCTCTCATGTCACTAAAACATTGACTTGAAACAGTAGTCAAGAGTCATATCACTTGAAATAGGAAGTGAAAAAAATTGTCTTCCATCAGTAAAGAAAGAAAGCACCTGGAGGAAAAAAAACTTGATGTGCTCAGGAGTATAAGGGGAAGGGGGATTATTTTATATCTATCTATGTATCTACACATACACATGTATAGTGTGTAAGGAAAGAATTTTTACTTCAGTATTTCATAGCCTGCATTTTACTGAACCATGTTAATTTGATGTTTTCATGGAACTTCCTTAATTGGGACTCTGACGTTCAACCCCAAGTGACAGACTGTTTTGCATTGATAATTTGCAACTAGCAATATTGTTAGAGAAATCAATTACATGATCACAGGTAAGCTGAATTAGACAAGGCTTGATCATGCCATGGCTCAAACTTAAGAACTTTTTGCATCAGGATCAGTCATGCCTCTGCGGAAACACTTTCCAGTGCTTGTGTGTTGGTGAAGTTTGGTTGTTTTTTTTTTGTTGTTGTTGATTTGTTTTTTTTTTTAAGTTTCTGTGGATGGAGATTTTCCAGCTGTAAAATAAGGTTTTATGGGTGGCAGAAATGAGGCTTCATTATTTACATTTCCATCAAACACCTGAATAAATAACTTAGTACAAAAACAAGCAAAGCCCTGCGGAAATAGTTTGCACAAGATCAAGTTTTCTTTCTAAGATCAGTATGAACAGTGTTTTTTCTAGATTAGCATGGTTTAGCAGCAGCGTGAGCAAAGGATCCTGAAGCCCAGGTTCATTTCTTGATATACCTGCTTTTACTAATGTTCTCTTTTGAGAGCTAAGTAGGTTGCACCAAAAGTAATGCCTCCTATTTATTTCCATATAAATTGCAAGCAAATACAAAGAGTACACAATATCTTTGATAGAGCAAATTCTCAGCTACAAAACACTCTTCTTCAACACAGTCACCACCACTAGCTGTGCTTCTTTGCCAGTGATGAACAAGCTGTGCTCATAAAAATCTGCACCAGTGCAGGTGACCCACTGTTTCGCAGCTGCTATGATGGTGTTATTGCTAGGAAGATGTTGCCCATGCAGTCCACCTTTCATTGTCCCAAACATTGGAGTCAGAAGATACCAGATCCACACTGTGCTGCGGGTGTGGCAGGATAATTGAGCCAATGTTGGCAGTTTGCTTCATGGCCTTCAAACTGGTGTGGGGCCTGATGTTATCACCTTACTGGAGAAAGGTTGTCGTCTTCTCTGGCCTGACTCTGGAAGTTCAAGCCTTCAGCTTAGCGTGATGTAGCAGCCACAGCTGATGGTTTGTCCAGGTTCCAGGAAATTCAGAAGGCTCACTCTTATCTCAAGAGGCAACATGCATCACTTTACCCACTGAGGGTTGTATCTTGAACTTTTCTTCAGTGAGGGATTCACGTCACCATTCCATGAACTGCTTTTTTGACTCCAGTTCATAGTGGTGACACCACATCTATCACCAGTGTAAAAATAGAGAATCGTAGAATGGCCTGGGTTGAAAAGGACCACAGTGATCACCTAGTTTCAACCCTCTGCTGTGTGCAGGGTCAGTTTAAGGCACAGTAGAGAGAAATAATTAGCAAATCAAGCCAGTGGACTGATTTAATATTGTAACTGTTATCCAAATGCTCATATTTCCAGTAAGATAAGAAAAAGTAAGTTTACAATATGTAAAAAGGCTATAATGAAATATGCCATATCCTGCAATAATTTTGAATTTTTTTCTTATGCATTATATTTACATATTTTTTAGTGGGAACTAAAAAGGTGGATCTTCAGTTTTGATAAATCATTTCCTCATGAATGTTAACAGTGTAGGCTAAATCATATATGTTATGTGATCATGTAGCATATATGATCGTGATTATATATTCCACAGCCAGCCTACAACCTCACTGCTAAGGAAAAATGTTGCCAATGGACTCAACAGTATTAAATACAGACGAGTAAGAAAGTTGCAAGTGAATGTGAGAACACATTGTATTTCACCTTGCACAGATAGTTTCTTATTCAAGACCTCTGGGTTGTAGTAGGACTGGCTTGGATCTGGAGTGCAATACATGTGAAAGTTGAATGTAAAGCGTTTCTTCCAAAAAAATTTTCTTGTAAAATTTGTGACCCACCTTGCTGTCTTCTTGTGCAGCTTTTTTTGTTAGAAGAGATGAGGGAGAGAAAGTATGATGGATATGCCAGGGCGATCCAGAAGGCATGGAGGAAATATGCAGCCAGGAAAAAATACGTACAAATGAGAGAAGAAGGTAAGTCCTAAGTTTTGATCATAGAATCATAGAATTGCTCGGGTTGGAAAAGACGTTCAAGATCATCGAGTCCGACCACAGCCTAACCATACTACCCCAACTCTGCTAAATGGTGTCCCTGAGCACCACATCCAAATGGTTTTAAACACATTCAGGGATGGTGACTCAAATACCTCCCTGGGGAGCCTGTATTGATGACTTATTTCCCATGACTCCAGAAGTAGAAAGTATGCTGCTATAGATGAAGCAGATATATTCCTTTGTGTAGAGAAAACCACTGCTTTGCAGACGGGGAGTGACTGGAAACTGTTGGAAACCTAAGGTACCATTGATGAGGTTGGCTGTTCAGCATGCACAACTTTCTTGGACTATCTGGTGCTTTGATCTCAAAGTCAGACTGAGCAGGATAGATTTTCCATTGTTTCAGAAGAACTCTTGATTCATCAAAGCTGCCAAGCTTGCCATCAGTATATTTTAGTAAGAATGAATTCAGTAATCATGTGGATCCTTAACGCAGGGTTTTATAGCAGCATCTCAGTTCTTTCCATTGTATAAACCATTTGGTTATCACTTGTTCCCCAAGTTCTGTTTGAAACCGCTCGCTATTTCAAATGATGAATTTTCTGATTTCAGCAAGTACTACTAGTCAGTGTTTATTTTTTGTATTTAAGCATCAGATCTGCTGCTGAACAAGAAAGAGAGAAGGCGGAACAGCATTAACAGGAATTTTGTGGGAGATTACATAGGCATGGAGGACCACCCAGAGCTACGCCAGTTTGTGGGCAAACGGGAGAAGATTGATTTTGCAGACACTGTGACTAAATATGATAGGCGGTTTAAGGTAGGTTGTAGAACAGTATCCACTATTGATGAGATCTGCTGGGGTGCTGTACTGATGCCTTTACCACCATTTAACAGAAACTCTGCATGTGCCAAAGACTTCTTGGATACCAGTTTGAAAAACAAGTCTTTGACCTAAGAAGACACTGGGAAGCAGTCTGTGCTCTTGATCTGAGCACACTGCTGTTTTCTCCTAGGACAAGAGCTTTGAGGGACCTGCTGGGCAGACAGCTGTTAGGAAATATTAGGAATTTCTCTATAAGGAAATAGAGGAAAAAAACTGTTGGGTTTTTTTTTTGGTTTTGTTTTGTTTTTTGTTTTTAAAATACAATGCAGTCTGACTCCAGAGTTATGCGAGTCAGTAAATCAAGTGTTTCCTTCTCACCCCACAACTCAAACCAGAGACTTGGCCCAAATCACGCTATTTATATCTTTGGAACAGCATCATGACATTAAAGCATCAGTCTCTGCATAGCTTTGTATTTTCAAATAATTTTGTGTTTCAGAGTGTGAAGAGAGATCTTGTCCTCACTCCAAAATGTATATACCTTATTGGGCGTGAAAAAGTAAAGCAGGGCCCAGAGAAAGGCCAAGTGAAGGAAGTCTTAAAGAGAAGGATGGAGGTGGAGAGAATTCTTTCTGTTTCTCTGAGGTCAGTACCTTGAACATGTCTTTCTTCTGACAGAGAAATCTGTGTAAAGTAGCATGAAATATATTGATTGATGAAGAGTGTGTTTCATAAGCTGTACTTATTGACTCTTGTAAACAGAAAGCTGGACTTATTTTCACTCCCAGCCTTAATGCTGCAGTAATAGATGTTAATGTTAAACTTCTGACTACTTATTAAAGTAGTCCACTTAGTTTAAGTGTAATCCAAAATGTATTATGTGAAGCGTGTGTTCACCATGATATGTTCAACGATGTTCTAGTGAGTTTTGTCTTAATTTTGTGTCCCCTACGCAAGTACACCTTGTGCATGTCCCCTGCTTTCTGAATAGTGGTTCTCCAGTGGGCTTATTACAATCCTTTAATCCTAAAACTTTATTCCTAGTTGGATTTCACATCACTTCTTAAGACAGTGTCAAACCAGTCCCAGCTTGCAGGAAATAGCTGTGGTGTACACAGGGAACTAAGAAGCCTGGTTAGTTGAGTGAGTAAAACCAAGGGGAAACAGCCCACAAGACTAAAGTTCATGCCTGTGTCACTTCATCCCTTTGAAGGCTGATAAACAAAGTTTCTGGATACTTCAGCAGTTGTTATTGTAGTTTATCAGAGCTGGTACCTAACTAATTTAATACAAAAGAATACAGATCCAGCCTAATATGGCAACAAGCATTCTTCAAATACTAAAATTTCATGTTTTAATAGAATTCAAGTCTACCCTTGACTGCTGTATATTGCCTGTTACTGCAAAGTTTTTATTTATATGCTTATAGAACGTTGTTTCTCTTAGCATAGCCAGAACTCTTCTCACAGACATACTTCAGTACTTAGAACAAAGAAAAAGCAGATGGCACAATTCTGCAGAGTTCTAAACAGCTCTTCCAAGATTAGGGTAAGGTCTGCAAAACAATCCTGCATACAATACCATTTTCAAAACTTGTGGTTTATTTTACCATATATTTTTCAATTTAGAACAACTTTGGTAGATCGAGGTTAGAGTAGAGTCTGCCTGTTTAGTGCTCCAGGTTTGGACTGTGTTCCATGCAACTGCTAACCAGATTGTAGCCAGACACCCAAGCTGGGCTTTCAGCATTCCAAAGGCAGAGCTGCATTGAGTCAGCTAAAAAGCACAGCTTGCCAGCCAAGTTAGTGAAGACTGTTGCACTTTTCTCACATGTAAGTAAATTCTACAGAACATTTTGAAGCAAAACCAAATTTGCATACTTTGGAAGAAACGTGCATATTACATTATGTCTAATCATGTTTTAACCTTACTTCTTGTATTTCATTTTGTTGCATAAGCCTTCTTTATACATGCTAAAAGTAGAAGCAGAATTACAGACTGTCAAGCTGCTCACGTATTTGCTCACTCCCCTCTCCCACAAAAAAAACAACAATGGGAACAAGGGGCAGTCTTCATATGAGGATGGGCTGACTTCAAAATGGATCTCACTGGAGGAATATTTTAATACAGCTGAGCAGTTACTCAGTGCTCTGGCTACAGAGGCTACAGAAGTCGCTGCTCCACTAGAATCTGAGGTACCTTGTGTCAGTGACAAGAGTTACAGCTCACAGTGCTTAAAAGATTTCAGTGGATAAAACCAGAACAAAACTTTCAAGTAGTACAAGTGTGACCAAATCCGTATTTTTGAAAAAAATATTTTTTGGGAGGCCAGGTTCAAAACAAGTTGCATTATTTCATTCTCAAAACTTCAGATCTTTGTACAATTTTTTTCCAGCAACGCTATGTTTTAATTGAAGTAATACATGGAATATCTTTTAAACAGAAGGGGGCAGGGGATAACTGGATTCTTGCATTGTTATCTAAATTTATTTCAAGAAACTCATGCACAGTACACTGAGGTAAGCTTGGGTAGATACACCTCTACACAAGAAAGGCAGAATATTCAGCAGTATTGATGGGTGTTTAAAGCAAGTAACACCACGTCACAGTTTAAATTACTGAAGGAATTGCACTTTAATTTGCAGTTACCAAATTTAGAATTTGTTCAGCATATTGAGTATTCATGGAAATTTGCTGATGTTTTTAGTAACAGTGCATTACTGAGCTTTACAGTTATCTGATAAGCAGTGGCACAGGATATCCCAACAGCATTATAAAGTCAGGCTCATTGCCAAGTGAGCAGAAACAGGACAATTGGCTGGGTGGTACTATAGGGCTTGGGTTTTTCTTACACATCTCCTTCAGAACATTTTGAAGCTCTAGATTTGCTTGGTGGTAGTGAAGGTCACGATTTTACTTTATTTTCTTATGTTTCTCATTGCTATTTTGAATAGTAAATAGGTACCTGCCTTAAAGTAATTCATTTGTAGTTTCATACACTTTTTCCTGTGCAATTGTAAAGATTTCAGAGTATGAAGTTGGGTGAACTTCAAGTTGGTACAATAAAAATGGGAAGTGGTATAACACAGCATTCATCTCAGAACTGTATTTTCATACCTAACAGTCTGGAGCATTTGTAGCAGTAATACGAAATTGTTTTTCAATTCTGAATAAAGTAAACAGGTACTCACAATATCTAGAGGGATTTGTAGGCTTCACAGTAGCTACACAAAAAATGATGGTCAGAAAAAAAACTGTCTTATTTCACCACCTTCATATTTAAAGAGTCAGCAGTGAAGCAAACCAGCCGTGAGTGGAAAGGAGGAGAGCATGCTCAAAGTGTTAATTGCTAGGTAATTAGGATTGGAAATCAGTGACAAGGGCAGATAGACTGTGATGGAAAACTGAAGCTTCTTTTCTGAGCTTAAATTTCCTTTAATTCCTTATGTGTGAGGTTTAATTTACTTTCTGGCAAGTTTGTAGTGTACTGCTTTAAGGGGGAGAAAAAAAGTGAAAACTGCGAAGGAATGTCAAGTCTGGATCTAACTAAACCTTTCAGATCTCTGGAAAGAAATGCACACAGATGGTTCTTTTTTCCACTTAGTAGGTGACACCTAATGTATTGAAATAAATCACTGTGATAAAACCGTATTTTCCAATATTACCAACTGCAGGTGAAGATGAGATGGAAGCAAATATGTAGCACAAAATAACACGGTAAAGTTAAAATTCACATGAGATGACCTTTGGAGTGTGCTGTGATAGGGAGGTTGGCTGCTTGCAGTAAATATCTGCAGTAATAGCATCCTTGCTGTAAATAGCTTTTCAGTGTAGCAATTGTAGGTTTGGGGTTTTTTTGAATCAGCAGCTGTGAATAATGCTGCTAGAAGTTGTATTGGCAACTTCTTCCTCAGCTTGCTGGCCATATTTGTAACTTGCTTTCTTTTTCCTGTTTTCAGCTTTCTTCTCTTAAAAAAAAATAATCCTGTAATCATCTCAGAAATGATTTTATGTCCGCAGGAGTGGACAATAAATAAATAGATTTAGTCCAGTCTTAGAACAAGAGTTGACTAACCCTGATGAAGCAGCAGAGAAGCTTTGACTTCAGACACTGTGCAGTGGTTTAATAAACCGTGAAAAGGAGCTGTAAATTTTCTATCCCAAATAATTTTTTTTTTTTAATTAGATATTGTTAAATGTTTGTACTACTTTTGGTGAAAGTATTACGTCTGTGACAACTGTTTTGTGACAAGGTTAAGCAATTCTCAGCTCTGTACAGCTGTGAAAAAAGCTCTGTGCCATCTCCTGCCTGGTGCACGTGTTTCTGGCACCAGTGCTTGGGTGGCTGCATGGGGATTGAAGCTCAGATCTTGAAAAGCAAGGAAGTCAGCAATGAATCTGCCAGAAAGGGGTGGGAGGAAGGGAAGGGCAGTCATGAAGCTGTCCCCATTGTCTTGTCACCCATGCAGTGACCTGATTCCATGGGTGCCTCCTATGGGACACTAGCCAGCTTCAGAGTACAGGTAGTTTACTGAGGAGTCAGCAAACAGAACCATCTTATGGTTCCTGATGTGCTGTTCAAGTCATGGGGTAAGGAGGTAAGGGAGAGGTGGGCATGGTCACACAAATGGAACTTTGTTTTGATGAGACATGTAGGTTAAAAACCGCACCAAACCTCAGAACTATTTAAAAAACAAAAACAAACCAACCCTCCATTTCCAAGTTTTGGTTTTATTTGGAAAGCTTTGTTTATACCTCTTTCAGAGAGGGTGCAGAAATGGACAGGCATCTATGTAGTTACAGCTAGGAACTGTGGAAAATTGATACATGTACAGACAAATTACAAGCATGCCAGAATAACAATGATCTTGGCTAAAACACAAAGGAACTGTGAGGACGGGGAGGACAGAAATGTTTTGCAGCTTTTTCTGTATGAGTTGATCCAGTGATGGCAATGGATGCCAACATGTATGATTTTTATGCTGTTTAACTGCTTCAAGCAAAAGACAATGGAGACTTCAGAGCATTCATTCAGAAGTTGCTTGCTTTGGATTTCAGTCTTACGTTATGGTTAGTGACTTTCCAGTTCATCTCTAATCCCAAGTTTTGCCATTATTGAAGAGATGGACTTTCACTGTGACTTTAATGTGACATGTTCTTAGGATACAGCAATTATTGTAAAATAACCAAGTAGCTTTCCCGTGTCACAGAAGGGATTGCTTCAGATTCTCAGTTACCAGCTGATCAAAAAAAGGTGTTCTCAGAAAGCAAGACTCTACAGTTAATGCTGTTTGGACTTTCTTATGTTGTTAAAAGTTAACCATCTGTACTTTGCAAATTTCATTATAATACTGGCTGTAATTGCTGCTAAAGTTTTATTCTGAATGGTAAATGTTCCAATTTCTTTTCAGCACGATGCAGGATGACATTTTCATTCTACATGAACAGGAATATGATAGCTTGCTTGAATCAGTCTTCAAAACTGAGTTTTTAAGCCTCTTATCAAAACGATATGAAGAGAAAACACAAGGAAAACTACCTCTGAAATTCAGCAATACGTGAGTTTAGTTTTTTCAATAATCTTTGCTCTTTCTAACAAGATGAATGAATGCTGCAGAGCTCCTGACACTATGCTTTGATTTAGAAGGGGCAGCAGGCTGTAAAAAGGCAAGTGAGCTGGACTTTGTTTTAGCACATCATAGTGTAATAGGTTAGGATCGCACCTGGGCCCTCTGCCATTTTCCACAGTCTGTGTGCATAGATAAGTTGCTTTCATTCTATTGAACACACATCAGGCTCAGGGGTCTGCAACTTCAGCCTGCCACAGAGCACCTCTGTGCTGGCAGAGCTGTTAATGCTCCTGCCCATGAAGCAAATCAGCAGCAGAAGGATTTGGATTTGTAAGCAAGAATTATAAAATTTGGGAGGATTATCGTAGTTTGAAAGGGCAGAGGAGGACAGATGAAGTTTGGAACATTCCTGTAGCATACAGTTCTATGCTGTGGGAGTCCTAAGCCAGTACCTGACATTTTTTTGTTCATGTAAAATATAATTTATTTCTGAGGTCTTGCCCAAAACTAAACCAAGATTTTCCTAGCTTGTTGTAGAATCACAGGATGGCTTGGGTTGGAAGGGACGTTAAAGCCCACCAAGTTCCATGTCCCTGCTGTGGGCAAGGCTGGACCTACTGGATTGGGTTGCCTGGGGTCAGCCTGGCCTTGAACACCTCTAGGGATCTGGCATCCCCAGCTTCTCTGGGCAACCTGCAAATTGTATCATTATAGTTACAATTACGTATTTTATCTGATTGCATTACAGAGCACAGTGTGGAAGTATTGGGAAATAAATGCGTGTGCATACATACAGATGTGTGACTGCAAAACAGGTCACTCCCCAAATATGTACACAAAGCATGTATTAGTCACCTGATTGCATATACAGAAGAACAGAGGCAGTGCTAAATCTGTTTTATGGTAGACGTGTCTGTTGCTCAGTGCCTTACACCTTAGTGCTCATATTCTCTGTCTTCTCCTAAATATCTTCCTTCCTTTACCAGGAAAGCTAAAACATTATTTAAGTCAAACACGAGGGGAGAAGGAAAAAAAGAAGCTTAATTAGGTATTTTATGTCAGTTTATTCATTCATTGAATATAGTTCTTAGTCTGAACTTCTTATTTTTATATCTCTTAAGTTATTTACTGCCAAGCATCATTGTCCTGCTTAGACGCACAGATGCTTTGTGTTATTTTGTTGTTTAGTTTATTTCCTTCTCTTGTTTTCATGTGCTTATTCTAGGCTAGAAGTGAAGCTGAAAAAGGAGAGCTGGGGGCCATGGAGCAGTGGTGGTTCTCGACAAGTGCAGTTTATTCAAGGCCAAGGTGATATAGCCATTCTCAAACCAAGCAATAAAGTGCTGCAGATCAGCATTGGACCAGGGCTACCAAAGAATTCCCGTATGTATGATTTTCTGTTGGAGATTAGTGATGATTTAGAAATTTAGAGAATGGTTGAGTCTAGCTTTCTCTCCTTGCTTGCCTCTTGACTCAGCATTTTCTTTATTGGTTCTCTTTAACATTGGAAATAAGATCCAAGTTACAGATCATAATGATACAACAAATTTCCCTACTGCTCTACAGTTTTTTTGGAACTTATTACTTTCCATATATAACAACTGCTTCTGAAATGCCTAAAACTCTTTTCCCTGTGTCAAAATAAATCTGGGTTTTTACTCATGACACTGTACAGAGAGCACACTAGCCAAGCACTTTGCAGATGAGTCTTTCTCACTGCTCTGGGCTCCTGCCATTCCTCCAGTGGTGCTGATGCAGAAAGGCAGTAACTTCTGTGCATCACCAAAGACTGAACTGCACATACACTGGTGTCTGTTTTGTGTTTTACCTTTTTCTCATACTGATTGTGCACCATTAGCTCCCAGCACTTAGAGGATTCTGTAAGGAGAATGAGGAAGGCTTTTGTTGTACAGTATTCTTGGGGAATTAAAAAAGCAAAAAAAAAAAAAGTCTCCTTTCAATATAAAGCACCAAACTTTTAACCAGACCTGGGAGCATTTTGCTATTTTCCTATCAAACTAGGGAGTGCAATTAGACAAGTTAAGATTGATTTTTTTTTTTTTGTCCCGGGGAAATTTCTTGGTGTCGTAGAACTGGGAAAAGTGTACTTCTGTGTGCAGAGAAATTGCTGATCAGAAGTGTTACAGATTGCTGTGCCAGCTATCAGTAGTTCCTAAAATAAGTCCTAAAGCTAATGGTTTTTGGAGTCCCATTTTCAGTAGTCTCAAGACACCTTTACTTTATATCCTATGGCTGAACTGGATCGCAAAAGGGAGAGTATGCCTAAAAGCCATCCTTGTTGCACCTAAAGCTTTAGCACATTGTGGATGACACTGTAGATATTGGGTTCATTATTCCTGAAGATCAGCCTCTCTGACCATAGAGGAGGAGCCTTGCAGCCAGAAGACCTTACCTAATTATGTTAACGTGAAACAGTACCAAACTGTTGCTGTCTCTTTCAGGTCCTACTAGACGTAACCTTTCCCAAAGCAGAGGGTATTCTAGCAGGTCTCAAGCTCAGTCTTACCCTATGAGAGCTGCACCTCCTCCTCCTGGTAAGTTTGTTTAGCCTCATGTCTAAAGCAAAGTTCAAAATTCAGACTTATGCTTTTATTCTTGCCATCTAGTAAACTGGTTCTCCACTAAAAATGCATAGTGAAGTTTTTACTATTAACTGAAACATATACTGCAGGCCTTTTACGATGACTGTTGGGAGTCTGGTGCCAATTGAACTGGTATTTCACCAGAAGTAAATACATGGTGGATAGCAGCTGGCTAGGGATGCTGCTACGTTCGGCCACTGAGCGTATGACCTCATAGCCTTTCCCCTTTCCATTTTAGGGCAAAGTGTATACATTCATAAAGACACAACACATGAAAATGCTTTCAGGGCCATGAACAGCAGAATGCAGTTTATAGCTCATTGTTCTACTCTGTTACACAATAACTTCCATGTAACCCAAGTGCTGAGCCCTATCAGTTGTGTCAGTAAGTCAGGGCGCGTGGCTTTTCTGCATGGGATTGATGTAATGAGGGTGTTTCACTTCTGCCCTTGAGTGATATGATTAATTTAGCCAGTGAACTCAGAGGAAAGAACAATGTCCCATTGACCCACCATTTCCCAAGCGTTTTTTTTTTTCTATTTACATTTCTAGTGTTTGTTGGGTCAGGGTTTGTTTTTTTTTTCCCAAACAAAAGATTCTCTTTAAGTCACCTGGTCTTTATGGAGAAGCACAATGGTAAGAAAGAGAGTTGAAGTTCAGTACTCAACCCATCCTGGTCACCAAGTGAACTAGCCAGCTCCTGATGCTCGTAAAAACCTCAGCCATGAGTCAAACAATGACAAATGAGTGCATGATTTGCAGTAATTGCAGCTTTTCTAAAGTAGAAAATCACTGTGGTTAAAGAAGTTAAAAAGCCTGCAAACATGGGCAGTAAATACTCATTGAGGATGAATCAAATAAAGCAAGAGAAGGCTTTTTTCATTTGCATTTTCAAAAACTCATCAATTCTAGAGTTACAGGAAAAACAGACAAAAAGAAACACTGGTTGAAGATGTAACTTTAGACCAAGCTCAAATTTGCATTTCCTTAAGGTAGTTTGGGTGCAGATTTGTATTCATGTCCAAAGTACAGTTGAAGTATGCTTGCAGCTTAGTCTTTTGTCAGCATATATCCCCAGTCCTTGTGACAGCTGCTGGGCAGGTGTGTCAGTCCCATTTAAAAGAACCTACTTCTGTGTCCAGCAAGACAGAGGCCTAACTTTCCAGTGGAGCTGAACTAGATGATCGTGGCACAGTTAAAAATCATGGTGTGGTATGCAGGAGGGATAATTTGATGACAGAACTTAAATGCTGTATTGACCACTGTTCATGTGTTATGTTTAAAAGGTAAGTACAGTTCTCATGAACACCTCAAATCAATCGTACTGTATTATCATATTGTCTTGGAAATAGAAAACTCAAAACCATTTTGTAAAATAGCCAATAATAGATTAAAAACAACTGTTACAAAGGAGCTGTATGTAGGGTGTTGGGACTTTGCAGGAGTCTGAAGCAATTGTATGATTTGGTCACATTCCTCATTGAAAGCTAGTGTGAGAAATTAATGCCAGGGCCTCATCCTTGCTCCTTCAGAATGTATTCTGCCATAGTCACGGCTGGTTTGAAATTAATGGTCCAGTTTGTATATACATGTGTCTGTACATGTGTCCATTTACATGCATGCACATGCATTTGTTCGTGTCAGTGTGTGCTTGTCTGTATGTCAGTGCATATGGGTCTGTATGTTTGTATCTGGATGTGTATTGTGTACATGTGCTCATGATGCACATGAATACACACACACGTATACACAAATACATACACACACACGTACTGTGTATAAATGTGCACATGCACTTATGCTTGGTAGTTTTCACCTTTGTGTCTATGTGGTTACACACATTTGTGCACATATAAAGGCACAAGTCCAGACAGTACACAGACTTATATACAGACACGTGCATACACTCCAGCTTCTCACAGATAGATGTGTGCAGGTCTGCACACATACACACACACACGTACTTACCTGAGCAGAACAGGTGGTGAGGATAACCTTCCTCAACATGCTGGCCACACTCTTTAGTGCACCCCAGCATACCATTGGCCTTCTTATCCACAAGGGCACACTGCTGGCTCACAACCTCTTAATATCAGTGTACTTTCGTGTCCCTGACTTAAGGAGATTCTTCTGTCTTGAACTCTCCCTTTCCCAGCTATTAATGTGTATACTTTTGCATGTGTGCTTAAGTTCATGCGGTGCCCATAGGTACGTGTATATGTACACACACACATACATATAAATTTAATGTGCAAACATGTGAACATACAGGTGCAAATAGGAGTATATACATGTGTAACCATGTGTACAAATGTACACGTGTATGTATTTATGTCTGTACTTGCTCACACACACATGCACACATTCGGACTCAAGGTATTCTGATATGTCCAGGTCTGCATGTGCCTATAGAGGTAAGTACAGCTGTATACATTTGTATTTATGTACATAGTGTTAAACACGCATAAGCAGAGGAAAAGAGAGAACTAACCCACATCATTTTAACCAACTCAATTTTTGAGCACAGCTCTCACTTCCCTCAGTAGGGTTTTAGGAATGTAAAGGATCAAGATCCTTATACTGAGAACCTGCAAGTAGCTCAAACGTAGGTGGAACTGTTTTCAAACTCAAGATATTTACCCATGTCATCAACTAGAAACCAAGAAAAGGGCTACTAGTGTAGAGCCATTACTTGGACTGGATGTGTTCATGCTTTATTTACTTCCAGATCATCAGCAAAACGGAGTAACAAATGCTCCACTACGTCCTCAAATCCCCGGAAATCAGCAGGCCAGTCAAAGGACCCTGTATACCAGCATGACACGACCAACTTTACCACGGCAGCTATCAGGAGGATCAGGCAAGATCTCACAGCAACCGGAAAGCCTGGATTTTCTTAAAGTACCTGACCAAGGAGCAGCTGGGTAAGATTTACCTTACATCTAAGACAGAAAAGTAGATTTCTGTAAATAGCTCCATGTGCTCAAGCTTCACTGCTGATAACATCCCTGTAGATGCCCAGATTAAGCTACGGAGCTGCACTGAAAGGACTCCTCTTCCATCAGATCTAAAAAACACATCCATCACAACTTTAGGACGTAAAGTTTTAGTAAAACTTTAGGAATGAAGGTGAACCAGTTGCAGTTTAATTTCTTAAATTTGCACAGTCCTTTCTACTCAACACCATTAAAAACACTTGTAGAATTTTAATAGGCCTTCTTTATTATCTGTAATCCAGAAGGGAAAGATCAGACATGGTATTTCACGGCAACTCTCAACAGCCTGCTAGCTATAAAAGCTTGCAAGCACATTTACAGCATTTGACTGATCTTAATTTTTTTCTCATTTAAAGACCAAAATAGCAACTATTAATTTTATCAATTTCAAAACTCTCAGCAGATGCTAGCACTTTCAAATGTTTCCATCTTGTAAACTAATAACCTCCTGGCATTAAAGTTCTCACTGCACGTCAATTCACTGTAAAGCTGTTTTGATAACATTTGATTTTTACTTTGTCTTGAGAAAATGGTTCCTGCACTAGCACCAAAATCTATAAGCTACAGCTAGGGTAAAGCTATGTGATTTTTACCAGACAATTGTGAATAGACATTAATCAGGTATGTAATGAAGGTTATTCACTCTTAACAGGATTAAAAACATGTTATACCAGGTAGTTCCCAATGCTTTGGTAAACACCAACAACTCTATTTCAGTCATTTGTTTTTTAAGTTTATAAGAATGATAAAGCTCTCAGTTCATGTAATTGCCATTTAAAACAGTTGTCAAACTAGAGGAGATAGTGAAGATACAACAGTGTTTCTCCCTTCCCCCCCCAAGGTAGCTGTATGCTCAAAGCTGGTGGGAGGAAAAAAGTAAAATACAAAAAAAAAGTAATAAAATCCACAAAAGCTACAGCAGTAACTACTTGTAGAACCTGTTGGGATCAGCTGTCTGCTTATCCCCTTCAAATGGCTTTTGTAGAGGTCAGTTTCTCTAAGAAGCTGTTTTTGTTCCAAAGCAACCTGGCACAGTCATTTCTGTGACTTTAACATCCCAACACATGGGGTACTGGGTATTTAGCAATCTCTACAGCTTTACCAAATCGTTTCAGTTTTTATAGTGTAAAATACTACTTGGAAGGAATTATTTTGGTCAGAAACAGTGGGACATGCCCACCCTGAGGAGCACACAACTCAGTAAGGAAAACTTGAGGTAGGCATTAGAAAAAAATAGTGGTTCTTTTTTTTTAATCTTTGTGACAATAAATGCGTTGGGAAGTCTGGGAATCAGAGTGGATATATGATGGTAAAGCCTAGAGGAAGATGACAGGTTTATTTTGATAGCATGCATTCAATGCTTTGCTAATGCTAATACTACCAAATTCTGAGCACAGAGTAGAAAGTTGAATTTGTAACTGAAGACTGCCATAACATCAATACAGCCTTGTTCTCCCGACCAGTATTATCACTCCCAAGACATTTCAGTAGATCTTCCCAGGGCCACTTTCTAGTTTCCAAGCAGAAAAAAGCACTCAATCTTACAGTATTCCTAAGAAGTTCCATTTCTTTAGGGTAAACAGCAAAGGAAGTTAAAGCCGCAGCTCTGTGCACGCAGCCCTATCTTCAGCACAGAGGCCAGGCCCCTCTCCACCAGTCTCATACAGGCAGAGGCATGGGCCAGCTGTGCCCCACCACCAGGGCAGCACTTATGCTTGAGGCATGCACACCCTGCTGGCAGCACAAGGCAGCTGCAGCCCTGTGCATGGATGTGAGCTGTGAGGACATGGGCATTTATTTCCATTCTGCTCTGAGTGCTGCTTTCTCCTATGCATTTGACCTGCTGTTTCCAAGTGCTTAACTAAATTTAACACTCAGAAGAGTGGTCCTAGTGTTATGTGCTTATTTTTAATTGGTGTGACAATTAACAAGTGCATTCAATCTCTGAAGGATGTTAACATTCTTTACCCCTAACCCCCCAGTGTTCGCAGGCAGTCAACAAACCGGCCCCCACCAGCTGGAGGAAGGCCTAAACCACAGCCAAAACCTAAACCTCAGGTACCACAGTGCAAGGCACTGTACGCATATGATGCTCAGGACACAGATGAACTTAGCTTTAATGCCAACGATGTGATTGACATCATCAAAGAAGGTATGTAAATGTATAAAAGCACTCATCTTGAAGGTACATTTTCACAAGGAGTGAAAAAAAGGCATAACTTTTGGAACTAACCTGCAGCTGTCTTCCACGACTAGGCTTGCAAATTTCTATGCAAAGATATCTTCCACAGTCGCTTTAACGCAAGAGTGAACACTTGAAAGAGATGCACAGTATTTGCTACTGTCAGTTTAGTTGACTGTAACTGTTAAAGAGTTTCTGGCTGAAAATTAGCCTATGTCATAAGAAAAACAAGTAACAAAGCATCTTCTCTTTGCCTACAAAGAAACCTAAAGCACAGTCATGTAGCCAAGAGATTAGCCAATTCAGTTTTCCAAGTCATTTATTATCAATCCTCTATAAGAAGGCCAACAGGAAGGCAAGAAGTTTTTAAGTCTGCCTCAGAAAACAAACAAAAAGGTTTTACAAAGCCTCACTTCACTTTGCTTTCTTTGTTATAGATCCTTCTGGTTGGTGGACAGGAAGACTACGAGGGAAACAAGGTCTTTTCCCCAACAATTATGTCACCAAGATATAAAAGACTTTCAGAAAAAAGAAAAAATGGCATGAGGTTACCAGTGTTGAGGATATTTCCCCTTGCCTTCAGGACACTGATCTCCCAAGATCTGCCATTCTCAGCAGTACCTTTCACCAGTAAAGTTGCATACAAGAAAGAAGAATATTATTCACAGCAGACTTAGATCCTCTGTCTCAGAACCATACAGCAATGGACGTACTGACAAATTATTTATTCTATTTAAAACCTGGTTTTCACACTTCACAAGTGAAGAATACCCAAACCTACCATCATCCTGGAACAGAAAGGTGCTTTATAATCTGGGACCACACTTGGAAATGGGAATATTAAGTGCCTCTAGCTGATAGTAGTCTTTTTAATTGTCTAACAAAGATCATGTTAAAAGCACGTTTTTTCTAATGCACATGATGCTGGGGAACATATTAAGTATGCTGCTACGTGTTCAAAAGATTTAGGGTGATTTGGGGTATTCACCATCTAAAAACCTAACATGATGGAGTGTATTTAAGTAATTTTCTAGAGGTGTAATGGAACTGGGTGCACTTGTGTCTAGGGTCTCCAGCAGGCACTACAAGAAGTTTAAACAGAAAAATGCATAGTAATGCTAAACAACGTTGCCTTCAAGACTTATATTAGAATATGGCTGGCCCATGTTGGATTTATGTTTGATGCTCCACCTGTTATGTTTATGCAAAGCTGTACATTTATGGAAACAAATCCTATACTGTATATAAAAACTGAATATATTAGAAACATGTATGAATGTATAATGCTGTATTCCACTGTTCTTACTCATAGAAGTTCTACTATGGTTTTTATGCCAGGTACTTACTGATAATCCTCCTGATTTCTAAAAGCAGAAATGTTACTGTTTAAGTTTGATTGCCTCCCACACCATTTAGAATTGCTGCTGTCTGCCATAGTTACAAGCATTCATTGCTTTGCCTTTCAAACCTCCATGAAACAAAACAAGCAGGTAGCTTAACAAGTCTGTTCACTGTGCACTTTGCTTTCAGATATTATACATGCTAACATGTCTTAACCACCACCTGTTTGATTTTACTGTCATGATTTTAAATAAAAAATAGCCCTTCCTGTGCTCTAATTCAGGTTGTTTTTGCTATTGCCCAGCTAAGCCTTACATGCTGCATTTTTTGTTAACTGCTCTTAAGATGCCAAATCCTGAATCCTGTCCCTCCAAAGCCATTTGCCCAGGCTTAATTTAGGCACACAAACATCTCCATTAATAGATAACAGAATGCACAATGCATTTTTTTGTATTGGGACTAGCAGCTAGAAACTAGTCTCAGTCCAGGACAGAACTGCATAGACTTAAGTGATCAAACACTCTTCCTCCCTGAAACGCTTGCAGTAAGTGCTAGACTCAAATTACCTGTCTTATCCTAGAGAAAAGACACCTGCCTGTGAAGATTAACACTTGCAGCTCCAACATTATTCCACAGATGAGCATGGATGTCTAGGTAGTTTCACAGTTCTGCGGTTTTGCTCCTACATCAGAGCCAGCACATCCATACTGGAGACAGTGAAGGGAGGTAATGACTACAGCAGGATTTACAGAATATCTTAAGGTTGCAATTTACCATTAAAATATATTTTAAGTACTACATCAATAGAAAGGCATAAATAAAGCAAGGCAAAAGAACTGAGGTACTTACAATGCTTGTACTCCTTTGAGCATACCACTAGTTGTGATCACAGGGGTTGTTTTCTGCCTCTGCTCTTTCGTTAGGCATATGTAGATACAAAAATGAGTTGTCCATCCCTCTACTATCTAAACCACAAGGCTGTATCTGTTACAGCCTATTTCTTTCCCAAGCTTGAAGTCAAACTACTTCTTGAATGCTTCTCTGGGACAACACACTGCAAGAAACTACACAACAAACATCCCTTAAGGTGTATCAAGGAACGATTAACAGTCTGCCTACTCTTTAAGAGGGAGAACAAATTACTAAATATAACCCACTATGAATCCAGATAATCACTGGAAACAACCACAAAGAGTATCACCAATCTCTGTGCAAATTGCATCAGCCACTCAGTTTGTCAAGTGTTCTACTAGGACATCAAATGGCAGGCATAACTTTTTTTGTTTTATTTTTTTTTTTGAAAGAGAGGAGCTTTATTTCTAGGTATACAGTTGTAGTACAAAGCAAATTTAAAACTTCAGAGTGAATCTGAAATGTTGGTGGTAGGACTGGAATACTATTTACACAGGGCAGTAGTTTTTCCTCAGTAGGCAAATGAGGATGACACAAAGTGCATATATCATCAGAATACATCTGCCTAGGGTTGTAAGAGTGGTGCAGCTAGGTCCTTGATAGTCTTACAGTTCAGTTGAGGGATTGTGCTGATCCTCAGGAGTTTGCTACTTGCATACTTGTTCCTTACAGCCTGCAGAGGAATAGTGTTACAGGAAGTTTACACACACGCACAGTACTTCAATCCAGACAGACAATTTTGAGTTAGTCTGACTGTTTTGAAAACAAACAAAAGTAAGGGTTAGAAGTGAACCAGCAGGCAGAGTACCAAGAGTAGTTTAGATAAAGAGTTTTGATGTTAGTACTGATGAACACCCTCTCAGAGGCTTGTCAAAACAGCGTATGCAGTAAGGTAACATACAAAATGTTCATCTGTGAAATCACAACATGCAGCAAAGGTGGCTTTCTAAAGCATCAGAAGACTTACTTAAGTAGATATACTTACAGTGTATTTTGTTAAGTTTTCATTTACTCTGACGACGTTCTTGGCCATATGCTTCATAGTCATTGCAAGGCTGTCTTCTGCATACCCAGTATAGTACTGCTGCTTTGTACCCTGCAGCACAACATTAAGAAATTTAGAATCTATAAAAGGGGGGGAATTCTGCTCAAGACACAATCACTTCAGTTCACTAAAGTCCCAGGTATCAACTACTAGCCTTGAGTGCTAGGAGTTGTAGGACTGCCAGTTGAAAAGGCAGATTCGCAATAATTTTAGTATGCAGTGGAAGACTAAACACATCAATGCTGAGTCACATTTCTGCACCCTACAGAACAACAAAAACAAACCTTGCAAGAGTAACTAATAGCTGAATTACAATTTATATTCACACTCCATGATTTAATCTAGCTTACTTGCAAGCTACATAATCAAGATCTACTTTAAAAAAGAAAACAAACAAAAAACCCAAACCAACAAAATATACAATATGTTCTCCTATAACTCACTTTCATAATCAAATCATGGTACTCATAGAAGAGAGTAAGTTATATTTTCAGTGGTATAATCATTTTTCTATCAGCCTCTCCGTCATTTAATCTCCAGCATTACTTCTAAACGAGTTCCAAAAGTACTTTTTTAGATGGTCCAATTGTATGGAGGAAAACCCCCTTGATTTTGACTGCAACCCTTACCCACTTATCATGGCCCAGAACCTTCTGCGACAAGCACAGCGCAGCAGCTGCGATCTCTGAGGGGTGACAGTGCACCATGTCGTAGTCTATCAGTGTCAGTTCCATGAGGTATTTTGCCAGCGTGTGCTGCTCAGCGTCCGCCTACCGGAATGAGAGTTTATTAGTCCACATTATAATACCTTGTACCTTACCTTATCATAATAGAATTAACAACCCTGAAGTATCAACTTAGAAATAACTCGGCAAAACAACAGTCAACAACATTAACGAGCAATTGCCTCTAAATTCTAAACCTGTTCCGTCTAGCAGCCTTTGCAATTCAGACACAGTCAGAGGAGCACTCAACAGAAGATGGCAGTACCGAGCACTGGGGTGCCCAACGACAGCTACAAGTGCTCCCTCCACAGCAGGCAAATCCAACCCACGGCCCAGCACAGACAGCAGCGCAGCCATCCTCTGCCCCATGCTGTAAAGGCAGCAGCCCTTCACCACAGAGCTGCCCCATGCACACACCCATTGCTCAGCAACAACCAAACCATTAGCGCTCTATTAATACTGTGACTGAAAGCAGGGCACAGGAAAGGCAGAGCAGTGCAGTGCTGATTCAAGTGATGGCAGAGAATCGTATGCATTTTGACTGCTGTTCGGAGCAGTGTTTAGCCAAAGAATGCGCAGCTGTGCTTTCCGTTTTGATAAAGGTGTTTGAGAATAGGTTTCAAGAGTGCCAAAAGCTCACCCATTTGTTCTCATGACACCATTTTCAGTTGATATAAATAAATTGTGTTCACATTTTCAAATGGAATGTGTGGAGTTACAGATTTCAACTCAAGGAATCTGATCCTCCCTCTTTACCAGACTTTTGTAGGACTTCTTATGAGAGAAAAATAATCCTTCACTTCACAACCACACCTTAATCATGTCATTGCTTTTTGGCAGTACATACATTTGTGAACAATTATCAAAGTATGACGTACAGTAAGATTTAAATCTGATCAACACCTTGAGAACTCACTGAGAATTACAGCCATATCCACTGAACAAGACTGATGCATTTGTTTCACAAAAACACAGTCAAATATCCCCCTAATTTTGTGTTTTTAAACATTTTAATATTAAAAACTACAATGCCTTATTACTTATATATTGATGATATTGAATATGTTATGAGGACTACTCCAAAAGTAACGCCTCCTATTTTATTATATTGGCCCGTGATATCAAAGTTGGATGTTGGTGGCATGGCAATGAAGGTTGAACCTTCCCACCAACTTCCCATTATATTTTGTTGCTGTCTGACAGAATGGCTGATTTTTATGAGTGTGGCATGCAGGCTCTAGTTCACCACTGGTGCAAATGCATAGCTAATGGTGATTAGAGTGAAGACTGTTTTCTAGCTGAGAATCCGCCCTACCAAATAGTGTCACCGTGCTCTTTGTACCTGCTGTAGTTTCCATGGAAATAAATAGGAGGCATTATTTTTGGAGCAACTTTATGCAGCCCAAGACAATACCCCTTTACTCAACACAGACCAGGCAAGCCAAAAGGTTGGACACCCATGCTCTAGGGGGTGGGGGAAGAGTATAAAATGTGTTAAATAGATTTTCATTAGCAATTCAGCTAGCTTCAGGAATTACGCAGTGATCTACTAAATAAACATACGAGCCCAACTTAAGTGCTCATACACCAACGCATGCAGAAATGGGAACAAGCAGGAGGAACAGCAGGGCTGTGATGTCAATGGCATCACTGAGATGTGGTGGGGTGCCTCTCACAACTGCTATGGAGGAATAGATGGGTAAACTCTTCAGGAAAGAGAGGCAGGGGAGAAAGGGGGGCTGCTGCCTTCTCATCAATGACCACCTGTTGTTCATGGAGCTCCACCTCCATGATAAACAAGGAGCTGACAGAGAGCTTATAGGTTTGGGTTAAAGGGAAGGAGACATCATAGTGGGGGGTCTGCTACAGGCCAACTGATCAGGAAGACCTAGTGGAGGAGGCCCTCTATAAACAGATAGGAGCAGCTTCACATTCACAACCTTAAACCACCTCGATATCTGTTGGAAGGACAACACAACAGTGCACCATAAATCGAAGAGGTTCCTGAAATGTGTTGTGATAGCTTTCTCTCCCAGGTAGCACAGGAACCCACGAGAAAAGGTGCTACACCAGACCTTGTCCTCATCAATGAAGAAGGACTGGAGAGTAATGTGGAGCTCAGAGGCAGCCTTGGCTATAGTGACCGACCACAAAATGGTGTTCAAAATCTTCAGGGTGTCAAAGAGGGTGTGCAGCAAGCTTGCTACTCTGGACTTCAGGAGAGCAGACTATGAACTGTAAATTCTAAAAGAACTGCTTAGCAGGGTGACATGGGAGAAAGGAATCCCCTGGAGGGAAGAGGGGATGCCAACAAAGCTGATCAGTATTCCAGGACCATCTCTCCTCCAAGCCCTGAAGCAGTGTATCCTGAAAAAAAGGAGGCAGGAAAGAAGGCCAGGAGGCCTCCGTGGATCAAGAATGAGCTCCTGGACTTATGTAAGCTCGAAAAGAAAGTCTATAGGGAGTGGAAGCAGGAACAGGTCACCTGGGAGGACTACAAAGAAGTTGCCTGAGCAGCCAGACATTAGGTTAGGAAAGCTAAAACCCAGACAGAACTATACCCAGCCAGTGATATCAAGAGGAACAAGAAGAAATCCTATATATACATATTCTATATAAACACTTTTTTTTCCTTTTTTTTTTTTTTTTTTAACCCAGAGAGCAATGGAGCACTGGAAGACGTCATACAACTAAGTTGCAGAGTCACCCTTGTTAGGGATATTTAAAAGCCACCTGCACATGATACAGGCAAGCAGCTTCCAATGCCTTTAACTGAGTAAGTCAAGAATCCAGACCCAATGGCTCCCATGGTCCCTTTCAACTTGAGCCATTCTGCAATTCTGTGACACATGAAGAGTCTAGATAGTGAGGACAAGTACCCACCTCCCCAGCTTTTGATGCTCTTCTTAAGAAGTGAAGTGGAAGAGGCCGTCCCAAATCAAAGTTCAATTCTTTCAGAATCGTGATCTCCATTTCTCTAACTTCAGCACTGTTGTAGGCATTGTCAGTAATATAAACGAAGTCTGCTATATCAGGAGAGTACATCTCTTCGTATTTTGAGGCCAGAAGCAGCGCTGTTACACCCACCAACTGAAGCCTCTTACGAGGTACCGGATGGCTCTGCAACACAGGAATTGGAAAAGCACATCTCAAAATTTAAGCTCTAGACAAACATTATAATTCATCAGCTTAAAATGCCATTTTTTTCTGTGATTATTAAAAACATAATTGAGATTTTCTGAGTCAAAAGCATTCCCATAATAAGTTCAAAGAATCACTGCTTTAGACTTAAGATGCTATGTTACAGAACTCTCAGACAAACTGTAGAGTTCCTGGGAGAAATCCTAAACGCCTTTAAAACCACAGTTATGGACCAAATCTCCCGGTCTAAACACACGTTGACAAACACCTTTGTGACTTACTTGTAAGAAGCGGTCCATAACTGCAACACACATATACAGCGTTTCCTGAAGAAGCTGGAATCTTGAGTGGACCTGGACAAGCCAGTCAACTAAAATTGCACGCATACGTCCATTGATCGTCTTCCCATCGAGGTAATGTGGGCGCACAGATTGCTGCAGCTGTTAAGAGAAAGAGCTGCGTGAGCAACAAAATTAACACTCCACTGCAGCAGCACAGACTCAGTATGTCATACCTCAAGCTGTCTCAGATACAGGTAGATATCTTTTACATAGTCACTACATAGCTGGGGGTTCCCCGAGTCATCCGCATCGATGTCTTCTACGTTGTGGAGCAACACATCAGAGAAGGCTTGACACAAATCCTCCTCTTGCATAGATACATCCATAGGGACAGGGGACAGAACCTAAGAAGCAGACCACAGCGCTTTCATGTCTACTGACGAAGCATCGTTGTTTCTTTATTCCCACATTTTTGTAGTGTAACAACTTATCAAGATTAGAAGCTGAAAGAGTGTGCATCCCAACGTAGCAAGCTTTCACCAAGATGCCACACATTAAACCAAACCTTCAAGACAAAAGCTCTGCTTTTCCAACATGGAAACAAAATACGCCTACAAATAAAATTTGATGTTAGGGCTCTGGCTAAGCCCTAAGAAGCAGATTAGTATTGTTACTGCCTACCTTTGATGCAGTAGTAGTGTCTTTGACTGCTTGATTCACAGCAGCTGGAGGTTTAGGTGGTACAGCTGTATTTGTCATCTTGCCAGGTCCCTTTGTAGCCCTTACTGATGGTTTGATGTAGTCCGTTTTCTGCAGTGAAAACAACAGCTATTAGTACAGAGCTAGTTAAGCACCCTTTCCCTACTGTTAGATTTCGAGTGTACTTTACCTTAGGTACATTGGATCCTCTTGTAACTTTGTTACCTATTTCTTCCAAAACAGCCCTTTTGCCAGTCACCTGAGCTTTGGCTTTGCTGTTATGTCCCATCACAGCATTCTCCATCCCTCTCATGACCTAAAACAATAAAACCTCAGTGAGTGAAGTTTGTCCAACTTCTGATTTTTTTTATGTTTAACTACATTACAGCACATACCACCCTACTGGCACACCTCTACACATACTGAGTACTACTTAACCAGGCTTCATTTCCTAAACGTGCACACAGGCTCAAAAGAAGAAGCCAAACGATTTACAGAGAGCACCATGGAATGGAGCTGAATGTTCCAAACAGCAAACAAATCCTAATTCCTCCTCAAATCCTTTTAACTCCAAGTTAGGTAGCAAGCAAGCACCTGTTTATTGCATTTATCCACTTCAGGACTACAGCAAAAATTCCACTTGGTCGGGGAAAACGCTCTTTTTATTATAGATGAAGAAATTATCTTACATGGATGTAAGCACACCCTGTTTTTCACTGCAAAGAATCACAGAACGGCTACGGTTGGAGGGGACCTTGAAGCTCTGACCCCCTGCCGTGGGCAGGGCTGCCAGCCAGGAGTTTCCAAATATGGAAAGCAGCCTTCAGTTTAAACTACCGTAAAGCTCACTTTAAAAGCGTTCTTTTTCCCCTCCTTCTCCCCCCACACGTGTCCCCTCCCCCACCCTCGTCCCTCGCTCGGCGGGGGAGCGGCCAAGGCCAGCTGCGGCCCGACGGCATCACAGGTGTTTGTTCCACTCAGGGGCCCCGCCCCTTCGAGGGCCGCCGCACTCCCGGCGCAGCCCCGATCTCCTCGCACTCTCCGCCGCACCCCCGCCGCTCCGGCCGCTACCCGAGGCAGCGAACGTGCCGCACGGCAGCATCCCACCGCTTTCTGACCGCCATTACTCCCGTCCCGCAAGGGATCGAAGCCCTCCCGACGCTCTCAGCCGGCTGGGGACGCCCAGCTCAGCTCCTCGCTAATCGGGCCCGCCCGCTCCATCGGCTGCGGGGGACTCGCTCGACTTCCCGCCCCCCATCTCCTCAGTCCCGGCCGCCTTCCACACGAGCAACACTCACGGCTGCGCGGCGCGTTAACGCCATCGGTCCGGAAAGCAGAGTAGGCCGCAGCCGCTCGCGCCGCTCCACACAAACACGCTCCGGCCGCGAGAAAGACCACCAACTGCTGCCTCGCGCCGCGCGGTTCCTTTTAAACACTCTTCCGCGCTCCTATTGGGCAGCTTCGTACGATGCACGCACTCGATTGGCCCACGGCTTGAAGCCCCACCCAAAGAGGGAAACGATCCCATCATTTCCGCCGAGCCGGGGTCTGGGGGCGGGGCGGCGCATGCGCCCCAGGGACAGGCTCGCGCCGTGGGTTCCGCGCGGCTCTGCGGTCGCGCCCTTTCAGCCACGTGAGAGCGGCTCGCGGGAAGCGGCCTCGCGCCGCCGAACAGCTGCGCAGGGTGTGCCCGGGGCCTGAGGCGTTCACCTGAGAAAAAGCAAAGCAAGGAAGAAAAGTCGATCGAACCCCCTTTCGTCCCCACCTTTCAGTGTTCGTAACCTGTGCGAGAGGCATGAGGGAGCCCGTGCCACAGCGCATCACCGCTTCCCGGGGGAGCTGAGGAAGCAGTGCCCGGCTCTGCAGTAACGCACGGCGCTCCTCACTGCAGCCCCTCCTTCAGGGTGCCCAGCTGCTGCCACCTCCCTGCCTTACCTTCTCCATTTCTAAGTCCTCGTGCTTTTAATCTTGTAATATCTGCATTCCCTGCTTACCAAGGATGGTCTCAAGTTCCAGTGGGCAGTGTTTGAACACAACCCAGGAAAAGGCTGCCAGCTCCAAGCCTGGAGTTGGTACCTGGTAAAGGCTTCACCAGCACAATCCACCTCAAGTGCAAAGAGCAGAAATATTTCTTCTTGCATTCAAGTGTTCAGTTCTCAGAAATACATATTGCACCACGATTGCAAAATGCAGGAATCTGACAGAAGTGCCTAATGACAATTGCTTTGCAGCCTCCCAGAATTGGCTTCATATGCGTGCTCACATATGCACAAGTTATTTTGATAGCCTTCAGGAGCACAGTTTTCCTGAATTCCCAAGTTTGGATAAACAAGGCCCTGCTTATCAAACACATTTAACAGCAGCTGGTGTTGATCCCTCACCGTGAGAAATTTCCACTCAGTGGTGCTCGTAAGGTAGGATTGTACATAAAATTTTTGCAAACCAGTACTTACAAAGCAAAGTAAGGAAGGCAGAAGGAAACAGACCTTGAATGATACCGGTCTAACATTTTATTTATTGCATACAAAAGGATTTCTTTTGACAATGGAAATTTATATGAAAAGTAATCTGATGCATACTGGTGAGAATCATACCTTCAAAGATGCTGCAGAAAACTTAAGGCAATGCATCTAAGCATGTAAAGCACAGTAAGTGGTGGAAATTTTCCAAATCAAAAGCCTATTCATTTTCCTTCTTAAGTTATTGTCAAGTCACAACTTTTTGGAATAGAAATAGGCTGCAGCTTTATTAGCTCCTGCAATAGCATATAAGATCAGAACACTGTGATTCCTGCCAAATACCTAAGTGTTCAACATCACATTACAATGTTAGGCATACATTTAAAAGCAAGACAATATCAGTAGCAGTTATAAAACAAGTCAATGCACGGGCCACTAAAATACCTCCAGTACCAGGCACCCTCATCAGGTGCGTAAAAGAATCCCAAAGAAAATCCTCAAACCTGTGCTTGTCTTTTAAGGAAGCCAAGAGATTCCATCGTATACCCAGGGTCTCAATTATTTCACAGGTCCTGTTTTTTTTTTGCCCCATGCCTCTCATGTACCTTCTTGGAAACTTCTTAAAAAGTTATTATTGTCAGACTTTGAGCATCAGTGTTCAAAAGTAACTTCACTCCTTTTCAATAGCCACTGAAGAAAAGGAACCATCTTCTGCTCAGTCCTTCCAGTCAGTTTACTTAATTTTTTAATCAATGCAGCTTCAATTTCCAACAGCTTCCTACAGTCACAAAGTTCAAGAAGTTTTAGCATAGAACCATGCCAGGTTTTGAAGCACTCAAATCATGTGTTGCCTCTCTCCCATATCCCCCATATACAAAGTGGTTTAAAGTTCAGTTTTAGCAATGCAGTTAAATTTGACAATGTCCATTTATCACCCATTCTGGAATAAAATTTCTTCCCACTTAATGCCTCAGTGCCAGAGGTGTTAATTTTGTTGCCAGCAATAAACACTATACTGGGAAATGCTACTCCTAACAGATGAGAGTTAAAAAAAAAAAAAAAAAGGGGGGGGGGGGGGGGGAAGACAGAGGGGAAGCAGCCTTAACCAGACAAAAAACAAGCATCAAATTAGATAAGGTAATATTTATAAATGGATCACTTTTTTAGTGTAAACATAACATTTTCCAGGTTACTGTAAACTGTATTACACTTAATCTGATTATGAAAGACAAAGACAAGAGAAACTGAAGGTATTTATTATTCAATCCACTTACAAAGCAGGTAGCTTAATGCAAGCTTATTGACATGTTCATCATATATGATCCCCTAAGAACATCCTCTCTAATGTGACAGCAATACTGTCTCAATGTTTTTGCAATTTTCAGCATCTGTTGAGCACATTTAAATAAACTATAATCTATTATACGTGTAAGAACGTTGATGACCAACTTGAGACCTGATGTGGATTAAAACCTCCTCCAAAGGCAAAATGTTAGTACATTATAACTTAATTCTATATACTATATTATGCAGCAAATCTTAACTATAGAAAATATTTTAATCAGTGATGGACTGTTGGTAATTTATAGAGGGAATCTATAATCAAGGTAAAACTAGGTAACCACGTAAGTTTTGTCTACAGAAATTTACAGGATTTCACTTTTCTAATGAAAAAAAGACCAAGAGTCAGCTGAATTTAGCTAATTTTATTAACCTTAAAACTAATAAAAATCCCAAGACAAGCCTGGAATCTTCAAAAGTTCTATCAATGCACATATATCTAACCCCCCCCAAATAAAACCAACCAAAAAAAAGAGAAACAAAAAAAACCCTGCAGCTCTAAGTCCTGACTGGTTTTATATTTAAAACAAACAAAAAACCCTCAGTGTGTACAGACACCTCAACTTAAGTTAGCAGAAAGAGACCAAAGATTCTAAGCTTTTTCCATACCCCTAAGAATTTTTTTTTATTATTTTTTTATTTTTTCAATCTGCAAGTATCTACAATCCAGCTAACTGAAATCAACATTTAGTGTTCACTAGAGCTGTTTCACAGCAGCAAATATTAAGTTAGGGACTCAAATTTCTAGACATAGGAAGAAAATGATAAATACAATCTGAACAGCAGTCTAAATGTTCAATATTGACATTCAAATATATCTGCATTGTGCTGAAATTTTAGAACAAATCTGATCAGACAAAAACTCTGGTGATGAGTATGCATGTGTATCAAACTGAATATAGTTCATATTCTGTTCCCACTGTTACAGATGTTATTTGACTCAGAACTGATATTGTAAATATACAGCAGCCATTTTTTCCTAGTGAAGGAATGTCTCAATACATAATATTATCCTTTTCTAGATGATCTTTATACATTAAACTAAAATACGTGACTGATTAAATTAAGGAATCTGAGGTTAGTAATGAGTGAAATCAGACTTTCAAAGCTTGAAACTATGTAAAACAAACCAAAAAAGAGACCACACACTTCTACTTACTAAAGCAGCTATTCTTGCCTGCAAGTTTGGGGTCACAAAGCCCATAATATGTGCAAACAAATGCAATACAAGGAACCATGCAAAAATACAGTAACGAAAGAAAAAAAGTAAAACCTAAAAAAAAGTTTTTATAAATACACTGAAACTCAACGGTCTTCTACACAAACTGTAGGTCTAGCATTAGTTGTACCATATAGCAGAGCCAGCACTCTTAGGTTCAATGCTTCCAAATCTGCGCAGGTAAGTCATGCCATCTTTGGTTGACTGCAGTACCAGGAAGGATGAGAGGGAGCAAGAAGGAGGACAAGAGTTCTGGAAAATGGTGTCAGCTTTCACTAGGCAGTTGGGCCTCAATGTCCACTCTGCAAATTGGGCACTTCTTATTAGTAATCAACCACTGATCTACACACACTTGGTGGAAAAGGTGCATACATGGAAGTCGCCTGTCAGAAAAACAGAAAAAACAGTGTTAATAAAAGACTTCCATATCAATATATCCACCAGAGAAAAGGTGATGTGGATTTTGCTACTGAAGCACCTTTTGTTTTTGTTTTTTTGTATGTCTATGTTTTTCCCACAAGCTTCGCTAGCTTTTCTACCTGACTTACATTCTGTCTACCTAAAAGAAGCAACAGACATAGGCAATGAAGCCAAGTATCAGGTAGCTTCTGTTGAGTTACAGCAATTTAACACTGCTATAGCTTAAAGAGCATTATTAGTTCAGAAAAGTTAAACTTGACAATCTGGAATTAAACCAATTATTTTCTGCCCAAGGTACAAAAGCTGACAGCACAGCATGATTTTAATTAAAAACATGAGTACTACCTTCCACACTGTAACATTTAAAAAAATGGTATCAGTTTGGGCTTGTGGTGAAAGACAGACAGTGAATTTTTGGGAGACTGTAAGAGAGGAACTCACATTTTACTCAAAGACAATACAAACAGGGTAACCAGTGCTTCAAATTAAAACATATTCATTAGTTGCTAAGACAGACAGTGTTTAATTTTGACACAAATCAGGAAGTGTTGCAAGGAGTAGTGTGCCATATCCAAGTATGGTCTCAAAGCCAGAATTTTAACACTATATTATGATACTCAGAGGTATTATTTACCTCACATCTTCACCTTCCTCCAATATAGACAAGCAGATGGTGCATTTTTCCTCTGTGTCTTCTTCTGTTCCTTCCTCCCCATCTTGTTTGCAGTGCAGTTTCCTCTGTGAGAACCAATCAGTTGTTACCTTATTAGTAGAGATGACATTATTGACAAACTGAGTAAAATCTGCTTTTAGTACATGTTCAAAATATGCTTATTTTTAAATATGTCAGAAATTATTTTACATTTCAGTTATCACTTCTTCAAATGCATATGAACCAAATTGAATCAGGAACTAGTGCTTGGAGCAAAATCACTGCATATTTCACTTTTAATTAATTCTTGTGACTGGACTGTTAATATATTTAGTATTGTTGCAATCAGTCCCTTTATTTGTTACTTATATCTTCATTTCATTCATGAGGAGGGAAAAAAAATCCTTTCAAACATAATATTTTAAAACCACTATTTATCAAGTGTGAAAGAACACTACATAAACGTGGATGGGATTCAGTATTACAGTGTAATAATCTCCAATTCAGAGACCGTAAGCTGCAAAAATTCTGTACCAGATTAAAAATTTGACAGTCTTTCTAATGTGATCACAAGGAAGGTTAAGATAACCAAGATGATAGATGCCATGCACAGTTTATTACAAGTCAACTTCAAATAAAGCCTTACTGTACTTAACAAGGTATCATTAAAGCCTGTTGACAATTAAGCTATAACCAGTAGTTATTTCATTTCTCACACGACTATTAATAACTGCCAGACAAGTTATTAATTGCTGGGGGTGAAGATGGATCTGAATGCCACTACTGTGATATGCAGGAAAAAGCAAAATTCAAACCCACTATTTCCTTTCTTACCCAAAAAGATGCTTTTAGGAGAGAATGCACATTTCTACTCTTAAATACTTATTCTGAATACTGAAGAAGCCATCCTGAAAGCTTCAGCTTTCATCCATCCTCATCTACATCCTTTCATCCATCCTCATCTACATTTAGCACTCCCACTTCCCTGTCCCCCCCCTCCCCCCCCCTGCTTGAGGTATTCTACCAAATACAGTTTTCAACATAAAATGCACAGTGTGAAAGCACAGAAAAGTTACATCACCTGACAAGGGAAAGGAGTATTATACTGACAGGAGAAGTGCAGCTTACTCTGTACAGTAGGTTTAAGATGCTAATGAAAAAGAATCGGAGCTTTCAAGGATCCCAAGCAAACTACTGGGTATGAATTTAGCTATCAATCTTGTGGAAGTTACACATTCAAACTTTTAGGCCCATTAAGCTTACAGAGCGTAGCTTGTTTTCGATTTTCCCCTTTATCTCTCGAAGAAGAGATTTTCTCACTCCTAGCTTTCAGTTTCTGAAGAACACAATTACTCCCTGTTATGTTGTTTTTGACAGTCTCTCCACCCTCCTCCTCTACCTCTCCTTCCTCTTTCTTTGTTTCTTCTTTCCTCTAAGCAAGATGACCTTCACGGCCACTTTCTTCCTTCTACAGGGCAACTGATGCAGGTTTTTATCTGATTGAGCCTACATTGCAGGTTTGGAGGCACTCTCTTTCCCTTGAACAGTACTGAACAAGACTCAGCAGATGTAAGCCAGGCCCTGAATAATTTGTGCTTCCTTAGATCTGCTGGAGCTGCAATATTCCTCTCTTATATAACTGACTAAACTCTCAGAGTAAAGCAGGTGTTTGGGAGTGAAGCTCCATGACACCAGAGGTGCCTCCTTCTCTAAGCTTTGTCCCAAATTCCTCCACACCCCCTCCCACTCAATATTATTCAACTCTGGCACAGATCCCCACATGATACTCGTAATGAGAAGCACATTCAGGAAACATAACAATATGATTATGCCATTTTGAACATTCTAGAAGCATGCAAAAAATTTCAAGGGGAAAAAAAGGAAAATCTGGGAGGAGGAAAAATTGAAAACCTGTTTAAACATCTCGTCCTGTTAACAGATTCCCTGGGAAGGCAGTGTAGGAAGTCAAATCATAACACCCTCTAGAGTGTAATTTTTAATGCTTAAGTTGTGCTACAATGTATACAAGCACCAGATGCATATCCCCATCAGTGAGTTTTAAGCATTATGGCCACGCAGATCTGTTATCTCAGTCACTGTCAGTGCCCCATGTTGGTGCCAATTTCTGTTGCAGGTTGACTTTTTTTTTTTCAGCACAGCAGGGCCTAGTGCCCACCCCAGCCCTTTCCCCATGAGAAGCCAGTGGAGAAGTGAGAAGGAGACTGAGAAACTATTGACGAGGAATGGTAAAAAGAATATGATTTAGTGAAATATAAAAGTAATTGAGAGTAATAAATCAAACTGATGGGAAAAGAAGCATCTCCTAACAGTGCTGTGAGGTTTAGTGGCACAGAGGAAAAAGGGATGCCTTTACATCACTCCGTCATCCTCCCAGAAACCACATGGGAAGTACTGAAACATTTTGGAAACTAGTTCTTCCATAGCAGCTGTCCCAATTTCACTGCATGATGTCATGATACAGAATACTTATGGAAAACCATGACACTCCTCATCATTCTTATTTTAAGGTGAAATCTGCATGTACAAGCCCCAACTTGAAAACAAAACAAAACAAAACCCAACATGCCATGCTTTGACCTGTTTGTATTTTAGAAACATAGTATTAATGCCAATACATTATTTAACACATTACAGCAGCTCTTCATTTGGAATCGCATTTTTTATTTCCTTGAAGGAAGTGGCATTGTACACTTTGCTTACAATCCCTGAAACTGCAAGATAAAGGAAACGTGTGCTCTTTGAAGTTGACATTCCTGCAGATCTAAGCTAAATGTGTGTTAACTCCTTCTTGAGAAAATATCACAGCCCACAGTTTGAGAAATTCTCACCTTTTTGTATTTATGTGGATATGTGCATCTTTCTATAGTTCCCTGTGTCGCTCCACGATTCACATTGCCTAATCGTTCCTCCAAGTGAATCAGCTCCTAAAAAGTTAAAGGAACAAACAATGTAAGAACTGATATTTCTAATGTTTTGAATAAATATTAATTTTATTCTAACTAATTTGCAGAACTGATAGACAACTCTCCACGTCCTAATTATTCAAATACAAGCCAAAAAAAGGGTATGTTGTAGTGGAAAAGCGAAGGGTTTTCATAAAAAAAAAAAACAACAACAAAACAACAAAAAATCCCACCTAATACTGCCTAGTATTTTAAGTCACAGGGAAACACTTTATAATAGTGAAAGGATCAAAAACTATTTGTCTGCTAGTAACATTTGAGTATGTTTACTTTTACTTGTGTGTCAAGTGAGGAAAACACAAGCAAACCACACTAGTCTAACAGTTTTTAGAGCTTAAAATGGGGGGAAAAAAGGTTGCTTAAGCTGAAATACAATAACTTATTTTTCTCCAGTAATGAGTTTACTAGAAGCATGACATGTCACTGAAGATGTTTTCAGTGGACTAGCTCATTAACTCTCTGCATCTGATACTTTTTAAAACAGAAAAAAAAACACCAAAAACAAACAAACAAGAAAACAGATTAACCTCCTGCACTACATAAAAAAAAGACACAATTGTCGAAGTTGCAAAGTTTCACCCTCACTAGGAGGATTTTGGCACAGTCATTCAGTGACACCAGTACTTATTACCAACATATTATGTGAGTCTTGAGCAGGATGATGAGGGAGGAGACCAAGATGTACAGTCAGTTCATAACCACCTAAACCTACACTGACCAGGACATCTTTTGTTGCCTGATTTTTCAAGATGTTTTTGTCATCTGTTCATAGTCCAAGACAGTGAGGTCATTCTTTGAATTAAGAATATTTTCTTTATTCTTTTAAATCTACATATAGCACTGGCACACACCCTCCCCATATTCCATCACGACACATTTTGGAACGTATCTAGTTTTGTTCTATTACAAACCTCAAAATTGCCCCTGAAAGGGCCTCTGAATGATGTTCCATCCAATCCCGATGAAATGTAACGGATGTGAGGGTAGCCCGCCATGTCTGGTACCTATTCAAACAGCACATGTTAAGTTAAACCTATTCAGAACAGTTCCAGAATTTTACTGTTCACTTTGTAAAATTTAAGATCCTTTTGCTTTTATTGAATCACTCATTTTACTCCTCAGCTTGAGCATACAGTTTCAACTGACAGCATAGCATCGCATCACTCCAAGCTCTCTGAATATAACCAGAAATAAAACATAAGTGAGACTAGATCCTCTACTGCAAACTGTCCATATCTGCCTTACATATTTCTTGGCGTCGTGCCAGCTTGGAAAAAATCTCTACCTGCTTTGTATACACACACCATGAATATCTACCTGTATTTGTAAACAAACACCCTACAAACTTTGCTTGAAGTTATCAGAAATACTTGCTACAGATTTTCTAATGTAAGTTTTTGATACCATGGAAGAAACAAGGCTAACATCTCCCCTTGAAAAACAGCCAGTCTCTTTACCTTACCCTAAACAACCAAACATTCTTTGACACTTCAAATTTATAGGCAGATAAAAGTAACTCCTGAAAACTACATAAATCTGATAATCTACAGTCATAGGCTTTTCTACATACACTACATTCAAGCATCTACTGCCTTCCTTGCATAATCAGAGATACAAAAGCAGTGAACAAAATACTGGCATTCAGCAATAAACCTACAGGCACTTCAAACACTAGTACTTTTCATAGAGAAAAGCAGAAAGGTACTCAAAATAACAAGGAACACCTTCACAGCAAGGCTTCTTCCTTCCATTTTGGCCCTCACATGACAGATGAGTAACGGTACTGACAGTTTATCAGAAACATACCAGAGGCAATTTTTAATAAGAAAGTTAAAAAACCAAAATGATCAGTAGAATTTCCTTAACATGTATGCATATATGTGTAAGAATTTCCTTAAATATATAGAGTGCACAGATATGAGGACCACAAGAAGCAGTTCAGACAGGATTCTGCAACTACAGAATTTTACATCAAAAAAGCCCCATATTTATCCACATACCTAAACATTTCTTGCAAATATAATGTCTGTTACATAGGTCTTACTGTTTGACAATACAAAATGTTAATTTGGGAGACTGCATTAATACAACCATTTGTAAAAACTACACTCTCTTCAGATTAGCAGTGACTTATGATCCATTATCTATTTCAGCACATAACCCTTCTTTGTTTTCTGTCTACAGAAAAAGCATTTAAAAAACTAGTTCACTCATCCACACTACAACTCCTGCTTTTTTTTCTTTCCTATTAGGCTTGAACCTGCTTGGCATCAATTGCAGGTTTAAACTATCTTTACTACGCTGTAAATAAGCTTCCTCCACTTCAAGGAAAGAAAATCCTGAAAAAACTAATCCATATCTCGAGATTGCTTTTTGCGCCTTGTTTTCATGATGCACCAGGATTTGAAAAGTTTGTGAGAAGAAAAAAAAAAGTATTTTACACACAGATACAGCATCATTACAGGCACTGCAAAGTGCGAGGTGTCACAGTGCTGTAGCACAATACGGCCATCTGCAGTAACCCTACAGAACTGTGTAAACAAACCATCAGCTGCTTGGGGTAGGAACTGAGCCTCTCAAGCTACCTCTGTCATCGCTCTGTTTCTGGTTCCTAGCAGAAACACTTAATGACAATAAGTAGAAGTTCACACATTAGACTGAATCAGTGGGGTGAGAGATCCTGTCCGAAATAGTTTTTAACAAAGCCAAACACACTGCACAAAGGCCTTGGTTATCGCACATATGATAGTTACAGCTCCGATTGCCTCAAAGGTCAGAGCTTACCAACTGCAGTGATGTGTACCTCCCCAGGTCTCCCAGCTGGGAGGAGTTCTGCTGCTGGAGACTCTTTGAGAAATCTACTCATGTTAATTTTAACACCACCAAACCGAGTAAGAATTTCACAGAGCGCATACTGCAACACACAACTCAATTAGTGGAAGTGCTGGGTAGGACACAATGTACTTTCACACTAAAAACTGTGCCTTCACTACCATTTAACAGTTACCATCAGGCTTCAAATACAAAAGTGAAGATTTCTGCTCTCTCGAAACAGCTTCAGGAAAGTTAAGCACAAATGGAAGTGCACTTTCATTAACTTTTGAAAGTAAACCTAAGAATGAAAGACTTAAAACTAACACCAGCCTGTGCTAAGTGCTTCTATTTGTGCTTCTGCATACAGTCACATTACAATACGTGCTTTAAGCAGCAGACTCTGAATCTGCAAAGTTCAGTACAAGTTTTTGGCAAACTGTCTCCTGCAGAACAAATATCATATGTTTCTAGTTCTGCACTTGTTATCAACATTTCCTCCCACCAACATAAAATTGCTTTAACTTGAAAATTCAAGGTCAAGTCTGAACTATTTACAACCCAAGTACTCTGAAGCAGAAATTGCCTACAAGAAAGATAGCTTTCCTTGCTATCCTGCTTTCAACTCCTCCCATATTTGCAGGATTCTTCTGCCTTTCAGTTCCCAGTCAGTGGAGAGATTTTCACATTGTATTGTACTATTTATCTTGCCTGTTTTCAACCTTTCATTCAATGCCTTACATTACAGACGACTTTCAAGCTTTTAAAATCAAATTAGAATACAGTTATCCAGTTAGCAGCTTGGATACATTCAAAAGTCAATTATTATTATTTTAATAAGCTGAAGTAAAACACAGAGGTTGCAGTTTTCAGAGACACTGTGGGAAAGAACATTTAATACATGCTGCACAGCTGAAGTCCTAACTCTCTGTGCTGAAGAGAAACATAAAATGAATGCTCCTCAATAGCCCATACAAAAAAAAAAAACAAAACTGAAGAACACAGTTTCATTCTTCTTATTTGAAAAACACAGTTAAGTTTGTTGCAAATACTCAAGGCTATTTTAAATCTATGGTTCACCTTACAAGCTACAGTAGCTACACTGAGTTCCAGTCTTGACAGTTCTGGTAATTCACAGCAAGTTTGTTGGTTTTGGTGTTTTGTTTTGGTTTTTTTTTGAACAGTCAGGTACATCATAAGTCCGTGACACTGTATGACTGCAGTCAGTGAGAGGTGAAAATGAAAGGGGAAAGAAACAAGGACTTTGCTTTGATAGCAGTGCCTCCTATTTATTTCCATGGAAACAACAACAGACACAAAGAGCACAACAACATTTGATAGAGCAAACCTCTCAGCTACAAAATACTATTAGAAAAAAAAAAAACCAACAGACTGCCTTAAACTCAAATGACTTTTTTTAGTTGAGCTACTGCATGAATTGCTTTTAAGGACTTTTTTTTTTTATTTATAATAAAGACTAGAACATCAACAGTTGATGATACTTTCACCAGGAACACAATTAATGAGATTTATAAATACTCAGTACAGTTTTTACTTACAGAAGCAAGAAAACACTCCTCATAACTTGAGCCAGTCTTAGCAGAGCAATCCTAAATACAGTTCAGCCTGTCCTTCCCTGCCCCACTTTCTACAGTTATAATGGAATTATCCTGGTGACAGCAGCATTCTAATCTGTTGCTTTTCATTAAAAGCAAAATGTCACCTTTGGTTGATATCCAATTAGTGTTGTGGGTTGCCTTTTTTTTTTCCTGTTACATGAAAAACATTGCAGTATTTACTTCATATTCGGTTAAATTATTTTTGCTGACAAATCTCCATATACACTTAACTGAAGAAATCTTTGGCTTTCATTATTGCTATAGAAGGGCAGAACCATCAGAAGGCATGTGTCATGCTTTGAACTCATTCTACACACAACTGCTAGTAATGCTGTAGCCTGCCTTTATGTTCTTCTAGTGTGTAATCTGAATACATTTCTAATTAGTCAGAACACAACTAAAAAGCCTAACACTCCATCTGACTGCGGTAGAGTTCCAAACAGATCCCAAACATTCAAGGAAGTACTGCTTACTAATGTCTACATACCACAAAACATGTCAGTAAAACACGTACAAAACCTCAAAATAAAAACAACTTCCACTTGATCCAGAGATTCATTAATGACTTATGAGAATTAGATATTCCTACTGAAATGCATGCACAAATTTTTGTAGAGTTGAAGAATCCTACTTCATCTGACATACGATTTAATAAATGCAGCTATTTGGCAAGACTCTCAAAAGTATTTTATCAGACATTCAGCAAATGCTTCTAAATGCTTCTGTGATAAATGCTATCTACCATAGCATTCTTCCATTCTGCTGCCAACAAGAATATAAACGGGGATCTGAACTACTCACTTGTGTAACATTTTAGTTGTAGGCACACCTCTATGAAAGTTAAAACACAGCAAAAGCTTCTCAACACATCAACAGGAGGATAAGATGAACTCTCAAGTTTCTAGAAGTTTCAGAGGAACGGTGGAAATACATACAATAATTGACTTACTAGCCCTGACAGAAAATGAGATGAAATAAGCATATGTTTAACTTGCTGCCTCTTAAAGCAATCAGTTCACTTAACTACTAGAAGGGCCTTTTCTCACAGTGAGAACAATTGATGTTATCTGTTATACAACACTACCTGAAATAAAAGTGAGAGACAGACATTTTTTTTGGCAGCATGAAAACAAAAACAAAAAGAGAACAATGCAGAAAAATCATAATCTGTATTGGTGATGCACAGGAGGTAAACGTTATATAATAGGAAGTTTACTGGCTACACAAAAATACTGCATTTTAGGAGTGCTCTGGAATGCCTGCAGTAATTAAAAGTTACGCCTCAATGAATTACGAACTCTGCAGGTGTAAGAGAAATACTTGTGGACTGTTATGTTGGTTAAGCTGCAAGGAGTATGCAGTATAAAAACAGACTACAGAAAGACAACAAGTACTGGTTATAAATATACCCAGATGTCAGTTCTGGCCTCTAACAGAAGTTCTGGATAGACAAGTCTTGCAAGTTGATTTTAAATAAAAAGTTTAGCATTTGTCTATAGATGAGCCCACAGTTTTGATTAGGTAATCTAGTTTAGAGAGGGTGAAATAACATAGGTTAGCCACACAGAATAGCACATTGAAAATCCAAACATACAAATTTTTTCTACATTTTTGTCCTCGTGAATTTTCATTGAAGAAAATTAAGAGTATTTTACGTAAACTTACATATATCCTTTCAAAGCTAACACTCTGCCAAAGCCACAATTGGTGGCTAATTCACCCTCATAATTCATTTTGCTTATAATCCATCACGCAACAAAACTTTACTACTTTGTCATATGGAATAAGGTTGATGAACACCAATTATTATTCAAAACCAACCAAATCTCTAGACAGAATTTGAGATGCATATACGAACCTCCAAATGAAATAAAGCACCAGTGCCAACCTCTTACACACTGGGGGGAAAGCTGGTACCTTTAACAACATAAAACTCATTAAAAGAACACAAAAAAATTTAAAAAAATCAGATGCAGAGGGTCAATGCAGTGTAATGCATGTGACAATTTAGTTCAAATGTTTCATTTTACAAGAGCTGAAGTTAGAAATGTTAGCGTCCTGAGCTATTTTTAATTATTAGACAAAAACCTGTTCTTCTAGCTCCATATCTAGGAGCAATGCAAAAACTTCAGATTTTTTTCTTCTTCACTTGAACCACTAACATCAGTATATACACATCTAAATAAATACAGTAACTCTTAAAATAATTTTCCTGACAAAATAATTACAATGACCAATCATCATGACTTTTCACATGCCATCTCCTTACCATTAGAGGAAGAGCCCCTATTTGCAAGTGATGAAGTCGAGGAGGTGCGTGGTAGTGGGCCAAGTGAGGATGCAAGGGCCCTGGAGGGTAAGTAGCTGCAGTCACACCAGCTTCAATTCCCAGTTCCCTGTCATGTGAACAAAAGTGGCATTACAATATATGTATATCTTGCCTCCAAAACAATTTCTTTACTTTGGATAGCATTAAATTATAGCATAGATACCGCAGCAGTGTTAAGTAACATCCTTTTTTCTTAAATGTTTCTTTTCTCTTAAATGTTTCTTAGCAGAACAAGGGGAAATGGTTTTAAGTTGAGGGAGGGGAGATTCAGGTTGGATGTCAGGGGTAAGATCTTTACTAGGAGAGTGGTGAGGTGCTGGAACAGCTGCCCAGAGAGGCTGTGGATGCCCCATCCCTGGAGGTGTTCAAGGCCAGGTTGGATGGGGCCCTGGGCAGCCTGGTCTAGTATTAAATGGGGAGGTTGGTGGCCCTGCATATGGCAGAGATGTTGGAGATTCATGATCCTTGAGGTCCTTTCCAACCCAGGCCATTCTGTGATTCTGTAAATGTATTTAAATTTTCCTAAAAATATTCTTAGTCCTACCACCAACTAAAACCAGGTTTAAAACCAGTTATGAAGACTCAGTATAATTTAATAAATTATAAATTAATAGAGACAATAAAAATTTATGGTGCCGAGCAGTATTAGCATGGAGTCTTCTCTGCAGTTCATTTACTGTGACAACAGAAGTCAACGCTCACGCACTCCTTCCCTAATGGTGCAAAAGTACTTTTTCCCAGATGATATATAGCAGAACTTAAATCTAACCTCCATACTGAGCATGATGAAATTTTAAGTAAGCTTAAATATAGATGAGATGCAATAGATTAGCTTGTGACTCAAATCCAAATCCTATTTTACAAAGAACAGAAATACAAGAATTGTATTCAACAACATTTTACTTATTTAAAAATCGATTATTGAAATAAATTACCTACTGCTGGTGACACTCAATTCCATTTAAAAAGCAATGTATGTAAAGCCCTAGAAACATTTAACATATTGAGTGCTGTAAGCAACATTTCAAAGCCATATCAAGGTCTAATGAATTTCAAATTACAGGTGTACACAGTGCTTTCTAAAGTCACTGCAAGCATTTAACAGCAGGTCTGTTGTCCTAAGTCCCAAAGAACTGAAATTGCACCTGATTACTAACCAGGCAGATCTCTCTGGAGCTTGTCGAGGATGGGAAGACATTGTCTGAGGCACATGAATATGATGTCCATGACCATAGTTCGGGTGCATTCTGTGAGGATGCGGAGGAGGTCGTTCATGAGCACGTCTAAACAACATAAAACAAGAACAGTCAATTTAACATACTTGTTAGTGGTGAATCAGTGAGATTTTAATCAATGTCACAGCCTGAATTACTTGAATACATTGAAATTAAATAAAATACACAAAACATTCCTCAAACTGTTTTAATTTCAATTTACATCTAAAGTCAGAAGCTGACTTAATACTCAGATGTGAAATTAGCCATGCTTCATATACAGCAGTACACTGGGATTTACCATCAGTACACTGGGGGCACCAAGTCACCCACTGTGATCTGGTCTTCATGTGGTAGACAGGTGAATCATGATCACAAAAGACTGGCACAGCATTTAACCCTAATTTCAAACTGTGGAATAGGAATGTAATCCAAGTGTGCACACACATGGTGGCCATGTCAAGACTAAGAATTATTTGTGGCAATGCTACAGAACTGCATCTTAGTCTATTTCTAGTAAAACTGTAACAGCAAACATCATTAGGGGAAAAATATATACACTAATCAGGACATTTTCCTTGAAACACATTCGCATCATAGCTTAAGTAGTAAGAGTTGCCTTTGTATCAGCCAAGAGACCTGAATTTTATTAAGAGCAGTGGACTGCATTCCAATTCATCCCACCTTAAACTTTTGGACAGAGTAGATTAGACATTTGGTACATCTACAGAGCTAGAAAAGTAAAAGTGTGAGTTATTGCCAACAGGTTTTTATTTTGTCTGGAAACTACCTCAGAAGATGCAGTTAAAATCTTTTTTTGCAGCATTAACTTCTAAATCAGTTCCACGTTAGTTATCAGTACTATTGTTAGAAGAAACAACTGGAGAGCTTGTTCTTGAAATCTTAGCTATTTAAAAACATTATCTCTAAAATTAAAATAACTTCAGTCACAATGAGGCTGAATTACAAGCCAGTACTAACCCAATTGCTGTTGATACTAGCATCATAGGTCTAGTTTATCAACCGTAATAATATCTCCTAAACAGTATCACTAAAGCTACAAATCTACACTGGTCACATTCTTATAAGCATTATTCACTCTCTTTTTCTTCTAAAAACATGAAGGTACAGTAAAGGTAGGTAGGTACTTAAGATTAAATCTTTATTAAACCTCGTAAACCATCTCTTATAAGTTAACTTTATTTTAAAGTATTAGTTATGTAAAAAGGATTTTTACAATATCAAAAAGGCAGAAGACAATTTCAACAAATGTACTTGGAAAGAGCTTACGATGTACTTTCTGGGCTGTACAGCAATGAAAAGGAATTCCAGCTAGCTACCTGGAGCATAACTAATGCGCAAGAGAAACATAAGCTTTGCTTCTCTTCTGTGCCCCATTCATTGGGCTGCTTTCCTCACCTGTAGACATTAGTGAGAGTAGTAATGGAACAAGTTCAGTCTTAATGCTCACTCAACCACAATGGTACGTAAAGACACTTCTTACCATGGTTTAACACTAACAGTTCCTAGCCATGCAATTACAATTTGAGATTCACACGCAGTATTTTACAAACCTGAGAGAAACGCATTATATGTTTAGTTATTGTTCTGAGTACATTTGTGACATACGTTGGATGTTGCATCATTCTTCTTCTCTGGACCTCCATCCTCTGGATCACTTCATGAGCATGAAGCCTCTGTGCTGGAGGAGCTGTCGCAGGGATGTGATGGGATATAGCCTGGTGTGCTGCTGGAAGATGCTGGGGAATCGGAGCAGCTGCATTGGCTAAAGGATGAGTTGGTGGTGGAGGTGGAACAGGATGAGAAGATGTATGAGAAGAGATCGAAGGATGGAAGGGATGCACTGGATGAGGAATAACGTAATCTACTTGAGGTGGAGGTTGTGGCTGAGGAGGAGGATTTCCATGAGAATGGGGACATGCAGAAGCTTGATGGTGAAGAGGTCTGGTCAAAGAAGCATCTGCAATGAAAAAAATCAGCAACTTTTAAGCCTGTCAAAAGCAGTTTCTGGACTAAATTTGTAAAAACAGTATCTTCACACAAGTGCTTCAACATAATTACAACAACACAAACAATAGCAGCATGAGAATGCGTGATTTCAGTGATATATTCTATAAATCTACATTTTTAAATATTACTACTACACTTGCTAAAAAAATTTTTTTTACTGAAAAAAAAATTACCTGTGATAAATGCTTAGAAGATCGTGTATGAAAAGATATTTTACTTTATTTTATAAAATACTCTGCTTTTTTTTTCCTCAACCCAATATTTTGTAAACACAATAAAACAAAAGAAATCAGATGAGAGTTGATTGAGTCTGCTCAAGCAGAATTCACTGAAGACTAGGGGAAGGAAACAAAAAAAAAATTACTAAAATACAATTATTTTAATAGGAAACACATTTTTTGAAGTCTGAATATTAAAAAGACATGCCACTCAAAAACTTCCACAAGAAAATATTTTAACTTTCCATTGGTTCTGCTTAATTCCTTTATATAAGCTTGACTCAGTTTTAAGATCAAAGCAAGAAGGTAGTAAAACTTTTATTAGGTTGTTAGGGAAGATTATTTTTCCTCTTCCCCCCATACAGCCAGTACTTACAAGGAGAATGCATATAATGCCGACAGGAAGAAAGCGATGCCTGAGGAGGAGGTTGGGGCTGTGGCTGTGCAACCATACTTGATCCATATCCATCTATTGTTAGCGATTGGCTTGGGCCAGCACCAGTCTGATGCCCATAAATTGCAGTTCGAGATGAAGAACCAGGACAGCAGGGGTCAAAAGCAGATGTTCCATGAAAAGCACCACTTCCATGACTTCTTATACCATTGCTGCTTAAGTCTACTGGCAATGCCTGCTGCATAAACAAATTATCTTTTTTTCAAACAATTCTTCAGACACTGAAAACAAGGTTATCCTCAAATATAACACCCTAAAAATAGGAATAAATATGATCTGAAGCAATTGGAACCCAGCTTTTTAAGTTTTAAAGGCTTGATTCTGGAACATTCTTTAGATATGATTAACATTTATTATTTCTAAACTCTTGAACCTGACAAACGAGACTGAGCCAAAAAAAAATACTATGATAGATGGATAGACATGTATGTGGGAGCTACTGTGCATTAAATTATTTGCAGGCAAACAAGCTTCAGCATTTTCAGTTGTGCCTAATGCACTATACTTAAAAACAGAACAGATTGATAGTTCCACACATTGTGAATTACATTTCCACAGTATTGTTCTTAAGATTTGTAAGATTTGTAACCATTCTGTTTCAGAGCTGTGATTTTACTTACGTCTTAAAAATAAAATGATTTTAGAAGAGAGTTTTTCCTTTCACGAACAGAATATTAAAGGAAGAAACATTCAATTCTAAAGCAGCACAGCTATTTACAGAACTACTACAATCTGTACAGTGTACTGCAAAGTATTTATGGTTGTTCCGCTTAAGTAGCAAAATAAAATAGTATCATCTTACAGTCATCAAGAGAACATCAGTTGTCAGTGATTACTTATAGGGTTTTGACTTACTGTTAGAATTCCTTTTGTGCCCATACAGTATAACTCAATTTTTCCTTTTAGTTCCTTTCTAAAATATCTGCTACAGAACATGAAACTAACTCACGATTCAGCATCCTATTCTAGTCTTTCTATACTTAATTAATAACTTGGAATCACAAAGAAAGAGTAATGAAAATGAAACGTGCCTGGTCATGGTAACTGGTGCCAGAACTGCTGCTTGCTCCACAAGGTGCAGGCACCGGAGGAGGCCGTTCAACAGGGCAGCTGGAGTCACTGAATGAAGGAGACAAGGGAACTGCTGGGTGAGGGTTGTGGTGGTGATGGTGGTGATGTTGAAAGTGGTGGCCATGCTGCTGAAAGCAGCTTGTATGTGGATGTCCCAGCGCATGATGATTCTGTGAAGATCCTCCACATGGAGAATGCTGAGGGCAGCACGATGGTAATCTTGGCATGGCTGGAGGGCCAGTTTCCAGTGTCGTATTAGGTGCAGTTCTTCTTGTATCATCTTGAAATTAAAGAAAGTCAAGATTGAAGAAATCAGCAAAGTTGATCACAAAAAAAAAAAAAAAGCCTGAAAAAACTGCACTTCAGTATAAAATAATTAACTGATTGGGAAATAGATCTAGACTAAAACAAAAAACAAACTGGAATAAAGAGGAAAAAAAAAGATTTTACTATGCTTGCCAAATGAACCAAAAATTAATAGTTCAGGTAGACATATTCATGGGAATGAGTAGCGGAAGTAAAGTGACACTTGCCTTATTATTCCAATAATTTAAGATGTGTTATCAGTGGGGAAAGGAGGAAAGATCATCTCTGTGGCTGGTGTGAACAGATCTATTTTGATCCAGTGATATCAAATTCCTATGTAAATATAATCAGCTTAGCTTTTTTTGCACATCACCTGACTTGGAGGGAAGAGTAGCCATGTCTCAATAATGTTTTAAGTACCACCCACAAAATCAACTCTTTTATATGCCAGTTTCTATATTTATTTATTTATGTTTATTTATACAGACATGCTTTCATCTACAGGTTCAAGGAATCTAAATGGATCTTTCACCTCCTTGCAGTGCACATTTTTAAAAACTCTACAACACACTGTAATGGAAGATTCCATCCCCAGTGAACTATATTCTGCCTCCTCAGAAAGAACTTTACTGTTGTTCAGATATAATTGAGCCATCTCAATGAGTGAGAGCAGAATGCTCCTGCACAATGTTATTTCTCTTTGCCAAGGAAGGGAGCCAGGAGACCTGCATGGTTAACAAGGAACTGCTGGGCAAACTCAAGTGGAAGAGTCTACAGATCATGGAAGGAGAGGCTGGCCACCTAGGAGGAATATGAGATTGTTTTCAGAGGATGCAGGGAGGCAAATAGGAAAGCTAAGGCCTCCTTAGATTTAAACCTTGCAAGAGTGGCCAAGGACAACAGAAAGAGCTTCTTTAAATACCTTGCAGATAAAACTAATGCTAGAGACAATACAGGCCCACTGATGAATGAAGCGGGTGCCCTGGTGACAGAAGATACAGAGAAGGAGAGTTATTAAATGCCTTCTTTGTATCTGTCTGTACTGCTGGAGGCTGCCCTGAGGAGCCGCATACGCCTCAGGACACGGAGGAAGTCAGGATCAAGGAAGAGTTTGCCTCAGTTGATGAGGACTGGTGTTAAGGATCAATTAAGCAATCTGGACATCCATAAATCCCTGGGTCCTGACGAGCTGCACTCATGGGTGCGAGGGTGGAAGTCATTGCTAAGCCATTCTCCGTTGTGTTTGGTAAGTTGTGAGGACTAGAGGAAAGTAAATGCCACTCCAGTCTTCAAAAAGGGTGAGAAGGAGGACCCATGTAACTATAGACTGGTCAGCATCACCTCCATCCCTGGAAAGGTGCTGGAACAAGGTATATCAGGTATAAGAGGGTCATTGGGGGCAGTCAGAATGGCCTCACCAAGGGGAAGTCATGCTTAACCAACCTGATAGCCTTTTATGAAGATAATCAGATAGATAAATGATTGTAAAGCAGTGAATGTGGTCCATCTTGATCTTAGTAAAGCATCTGACACCATCTCCCAGAGCATCCTTGGAGCTAAACTGAGAAAGCGTGGTCTGGACAACTGGGTAGTGAGGTAGACTGTGAACTGACTGAAGAAGCCAGAACGTTGTGGTCAATGGGATGGAGTCTAGTTGGAGGCCTGTATCTAATGAAGTCCCTTAAGAGCTGGTACTGAGACAATATATTCAATATATTCATCAGCAACTTGGATGAGAGAATAGAGTGCACTATCAGCAAGTTTGCTGACATGCCAGAAGGCTGTGCCACCACCCAGCAAGATCTATCTAGGCAGGCTAGAGAGTTGGGTGGGGAGAAATTTAATGAAACATAAACAAGAGCAAAGTGTAGAGTCTTGCATCTGGGCAAGAACAACTGCAGGTACCAGTATAGGTTGGGGACTGACCTGTTGGAGAGCAGCATAAAGGAAAGCGATCTGGGGGGGTCCTGGTGGAGAGCAGGATGACCATGAGCCAGTACTGCACTCTTGTGGCCAAGAAGCCCAATGGCATCCTGGGGTGCATTAGAATCTGATCAGTAGGTCAAGAGATTCTCCTCCCTCTCTACACTGCCCTGGTTAGACCACATCTGGAACACTGCATCCAGTTCCAGGCCCCTCAGTTCAAGAAGAACAAGGAATTGCTTGAGAGAGTCCAGCGCCCACAAAGAGGATTAAGGGAATACAGGATCTCCCTAAGGAGGAAAGGCTGAGGGAGCTGGGTCTCCCTGGTTTGGAGGAGACTGAGGGGTGACCTCATTTCTTTTTATAAATATGTAAAGGGTGTGTATCAAGAGGATGGAGCCAGGCTCTTCTCAGTGACATCCAATGACAGGACAAGGGGCAATGTGTGCAAAGTGAAATATAAGAGGCTCCACATAAATATGAGAAAAAAACTTCTTCACAGTGAGGGAAACATAACACTGGAATGGGCTGCCCTCCTCCTCTGGAGACATTCAAAACCTGCTTGGATGCATTCCTGTGTGACCCAATCTAGGTGTTCCTGCTCTGGCAGCAGGACTAGACTAGATGATCTTTCAAGTTCCCTTCCAATCCCAGACATTCTGTGAAATCAATGATCTTTTCCAGATTCTTTTCCTCTCTGCTTTTCACAGTCACTCTTAATTCTTCACTGTTATCTGTTTAGCCTCCTCTACTGCCCTTGTACTGGCAGGTAATAAACCAGTTTAGAAAGCTCTTTTCTTCTGTACCTCCAGCTGAAGTACCAGCAGTGCTGCTATTGGGAAGACTAGAAGTTGTTTCTGGTGCTGCAGAGGGCTGGCTGGTGGAGACGTTTGGAGCTGCATCAGAGGCCTGCTCTGAGGTAGACGTACTAGAACTGTTACTGGAAGCAGAACTCACGACCTGGGGCTCCACTCTAGCTGATGTGGTTGGCACAACTGTTGGCTCTGGCAGAGGAAAAAAAAGTTTTCATGTTCTGTAAACTTTAAAAGTTGTTAAGATTTTTTAAATTGATATTTGTACGTTCAAAATTATTCTTACAATACATGTTAGTTTTGCCAGATGCTGAGAAAGTCAGAATACAAAAATGAGTATAAAATAGAAAAGTTGTTTTACTTGTGTGTGAACATTTGCTCACGTATTTGCTGAAGTCTTTCATAAATAACAGGCAAACTATTCTATGATTAAGTTATTCTATGATTTCTTACCATTCTTCAATGCCTACAAAGCACAGGAAAGCTTTTGGATAACTAAGCAAGGTCATAAAACATCTAAACTAGCTGAACTGCCTTACAAGCTTCAGACATTCTAGATGCATAGCATTGCAGGCCTCAGGAAGTTAAACTTGGTTTCTAGTCTCAATACACATTAAGCAGAGTCAATATATTTTACAGGATGAGGGAAAATACACTACTTGGTAAATTTTGGTCTCTACCTCACATCTGTGAACAGGCTAAATTTAAAAAAAAAAAGATATTTGGTGGTGTAATTCAAATTTAGTTTACAAAAATTTGCTTTTGACTATATTTGAAATTTCTCACTGCTGACAGAGTAACAACATGCTGAGGAATAGAAGATGCCATAGAAAGATGATCATTTTTTTTTTCTAGTAAAAACATCTGCATGAATACAATAAAAGGGCATTAAGACGTTTCAAGTTCTTCTCTTACACAAAGTCTTGAAATAAAATATGACTCATTCAAGACCTAGATCTAATAAGTATATTAGCAACTCAGTAAGGAATGGAAAAAACAACTCTTTCATAAATCATCTGTTATCTAGAGTTTAATGAACCATTCCAACATGCTGATTTCATTTAAAGAAAATATTTTTAGAAAAATGTAACACAAATTCTGTTTCACTGTTGCTTTTCTTTCCCCAGGATACATGTAGCTTAACATTGATAAGCAATCACACAACGAGGGATCAGATGTTCAACTTTCAGAAAGAGATTCTGCAATCACACAACTAATCAAAACACGACTAAAATCAAGACATTCTTGAAGAATGTGTTGTAAGATACTAGCTTCTGACACACTCAGAGAGGGAACTGTCAGAACAGAAAATTTCTTTTAAAACTTAACACATAATCCCTTCTAATCGATCACCACCAACATCACATCAGATTCAGACTTCTTCCACAACTTTTGACAATGCCTGGAAATTGATCATTTTCATCATCATTATGTTTGAATGCCAAACTTATTGGATATTAATGGTAGGAGACCACAGAAAGTTACAGTTTCAGAAACCTAGCATGCTTTACGAGTTCAGTTCTTTATGAACTGCTATTACACAGAAGCACTTAGCAGCACTAGTTTTTATGATGTTGCACTGAGGTGTGTATTTTTAACGTAGTAGTTCCATCTGTTCTGCAATTTCTGTCTGGGGAGTAACCTCTCAGACACACCCAATGCAGTTTCTGCAAGAAAAGTTAGATCTAATAGATCACTGGAATGGCTAAACTTTTAATATTGAAAGTAAAGTTGTAAGATTTTCTAACAGGCTGGGAGATCTGTTTGTATAGAATAGTTTTTCCACTGAGTGGTACATTAGAGTTGATACAATTCTACTCCTTACACTGATCATCCTGCTCCTAAAAAATTAAGAGACTTCTGAGACCAGTGTGGCTTACCATCTTCATCCACTGTAAGGTCCACAACCTCTGCTGCATTCTGTCTCAGTGGCTGTATGACTGTGGAAATCCTGCTGCGGTTCCGCTGTTCTTGAGGCCGTGCAGCATGAGTACTAGAGCTCTGTCCCCACTGTGATCTTGAGTGTCCAAGTGTTGAACGAGACCTTAAAAACACATAATGCCTTAAGTACTGACCCAAATCTTACATTTCTTATTATTTTTTCTCCTCACTGTTTCAGAAGTTTGTTTTTCTTTTTTTAGTAGCAAAAAAGCATTTTGGTTATGCTGAAATACACATCTGTGTGGCAGGGTATTTAGAAACATTATTTCAGGCTTTACCAGTTAACTTAATGGAAAGTATCTAACGTAGTCCTATGAACTCAGTACTGGTCATTTACTTTAATAAACCAAACCACTGTGAAACCCTACAGGATCAGTCATGCAGTAACTATACCTCATGCTACAGCTCTGTGAGAGAAATCTAAGATTCGCTGAATTCTACACTACTCCTATGCAGCCTGAAACAGCAGATCTACAAACGATGACAGAAAAGTAAAAATTACAAAAACCTGTAAATATTAACTTCTTCTGAGTATTAATTTGTGGCAGCGTTTTCAGAGGATCATTTCTGAACTTTTGAACTGATGTCCAGAGATTGCTTTGGACATTTATCTTGTGAATATTACTTCCCTTGTCCCCTCCAAGAATAAACACAGCTTTGTGTAACATTTAACAAAGCTCAAGTGAAATGCAGCTTGAGAAAAGGAAATCCTATGCCTATACCATTCCTGAGGAAATGGGTGATTTTTTTTTTCCTGTAGGGTAACAGCACCTGGTTCTACTGAAATTAGTCATATAAATCTGAATGCTCAAATCAATGATATTTTGAAGTTTAAGCTAAGAGATTACTACCTTTAATTAAGAAAAGGATATTTTACTATATGATATTTACCACTGACTCTCCTATGTGCACCAAATAGCTCCATTTTCCAATTTGGAAAAACAACATACTCAAACTTCAGTAATTCAGCAGCGAAGAAAAAGGAATGACTTTGCTAAAAACAAACAAAACTCACTGCACAAATCACCATGGAGTTCAGTCAACATTTCTACTCTGCCTGTATTCCTTTCACTTCACTGACAAAGGAGAGCAGGGTATTTTCCAGTAGTGCACAAACTATGCTTGCTGCAGTCTCAACTGGCTTACATTTCAATTGCGCGCAAGCACATTTTCTTAAGGTTTGCATTCAGAGGTAGTCTAAATAGACTCGTATGCACATTTGGTGTATCATACTGACATTCCAGAATGAAATTTACCCCCAAGTGCTTTACAATTTACTCCAGAAATTACATATACTTTTTCAAATCTAATCTTTTACATTAGTTCGCATTCTGCAAATTCTTCTGTTAAAAGCACATATACTGCCACTCATTTTTTGAAAAAGTTTTAGTTCTAGATGATTCAATGCAAATAACGAGCAGGTATAAAACTGACCCTTAGGTTTCACAGAAAAGAGCCAGTAGCACTACAGAGCATCAGAAAAGGATGGTTTTCACCCAAGAATGCACTTATACTTTCTCTAAAATAGAGAAAATTTTCTCATCTATAAAAAAAATAGATGAGAACAAAGGAAACCATTTACTTTGCTCTGCACATTATTCTGAATTTTTAAAATAGTAACCATAATGTTCAGTTTGCTTACAGCATTTACAATTTTATACTGAACTACTATTAAGACCTCCAATAGCTGCCTTTGGTCCTTATATTGTGGGCTGGCAAAACAGATGTGCTTGAACCACAAAAAAATCTGCATAAGAACTACTTCACATTCACAGCATAAAAGAGACATTTCTAGAAATTTTGAGATGAAGATTTGAACTTAAGACTCTTCTTTACCATAGAAAACCTCCCAGATTTTTTCTCTTGCTGTACTACTTTTTTTTTTTTTTTTAAATCACATAGAATCAGGACATTCTCCAACACAAAACAATTTCTTTAATCTTCTCACGACACCTTCAGCTGAAAGTTTCCACAGGGAAGTCCAGGAGCCTGAGGTAAAGGGTTTGCTTAATAGGCTCAAACTTTATTTGACCATTCCATTACGATCTTCAAATAGTAACAATAATAAGAGAAGTCTGCAAGTTACAAGGTCTAGCCATCTGAACAGACTAAAATTTAAAGTCATCTTAGGTTGGGTCTCCTCCGTGTTGAAATTAACATTGACACCAACACATCAGTAAAATTGACAGGAGGGATACTGCTGCTGTTTTGGTGGTATGGTTACAAAAGGTAAGTGAAGAAGCAAGTAATTTTCGTAAGTTTCTTGTAGCTCTTAAAGAAAAATATCTTATTAATGGTGGAAAGGGGGAATCTTCCAGAAGTGCTTTATACATCTCTGATAAGGTTTGAACTTATGTTCTATAAGCACAATTAGTTTAATATGCAATTATTTTTAACCCTACAAAGCTTCACAGAGTTATAAGATGCCAGTAAATTAACGTGGCTTAACTCAAGTTATTCCAAGCATACACATTTCCACAGGCTTTAATGATTTTTCTCAACACTCATGTGGGAAAGTGACTCCTAGAAACACATTTCCAACAATTTCCTGATGCTGCACCTGCTCATTCTGCAGCTTTTGCTTTCTGCTGAAAAGAGTGATTTTGCACCACCAAGAAACGTGGTGTTGAAGAAACGCATTTTAAAAATGTTGATTTCTCTCCCCTCTCCCCATTTCTTCTCTGATACAGAAGCAACAAGATGTACATCTTTTTTTTTCATGAGTTTAAAAAATAAAAACATCTGTTTCAACTGTTGATATTTTTCATGAATTCGCATTGTGCGCACACCCGATTTAACCATGAAATTGGCTTGTTAGAAATGCAATTTATTCCATCAGAAGTGATTTTTGCAGGAAAACCCATCTGTTTTTTGAATTTTAGGTTACATTAATTAAATCACAATCTGGTGAAAAACAAGGAATGTTTTTATACTGTACTGCCTATTATTACCTTTGCCATTTCTCAAAAATGTATAGTCATTCTTCATATTCTACAATTTTGCCTTCATGTTCACAAATAAACCTGTGTATTTTATTGGCATGCATCCCCAACTGTCCCATATACGCTACAGTTTCAAGTCTTCCACTCCAAAGAACTCCTCCATTGGATTCTATAGAATCTGACAAACATGGAACAAAACTTCCACCGGGGCATGGAAAAACATGAAAGAATATGAGCAGCAGTGGCTTCATAGAAGCAGGATGCTTTCCTAAGCCAATTGGCCTGTGATCTCACTAAAGAGCTCAACTTCCCCAGAACTCCAATTCTCGGTCACACTAAGCACAGCTACCTCCCCAAGTCCCTCCCAGTCTTACTGTCAAACTTTGGTAAAGCTGTGAGTTTTTGCATGTTTTCCTTTTTGAACCACAAATACAAAGTGTATCAGCTGATGAGAATTTCTGGAACACTACCTTATGGACTTTTAATGACATAGGCTCTCCCCTTGTGACAAACACTGACTTCAGCGTAACTGCATTAACGTAAAAGAGGCAAGTCCCACCTGTAGCTCTCACCAACGGTAACAATCTCCACTTCACTATCTGTTGAGGTAACATTTATTTCTTCATTAGCAGTGACCTGGGGTGTGGAAGATGCTTCAATCACCACAACATCTTCATCAATACTTCCTGATGAGAAAATAAGAAAAGTTTGCATACTTCATCTCATGAGCTGTCATGAAAAACCAGGTTTTTTTCTGCTAGACTTAAAACGTAGAATTTCATACAGTATGTCAAAATTTCAAGTGCAACTGTCATATATGTGACCTAACTAATAGAGGTAGCAATTATATTTTAAATAGTGAAGTGAAAATAAAAAGACCGAAGATATAAAGAGAGGAAATAATACAGCTATGTAAATTAACGTTCTACTGTGTACTACAAGCAATTCTGGTGAGTTTTATTAGCTGTAACACAGTGAATTCAGACATTTAATATAAATACAAAAACTTTCAGGCTAGCAAAGCAGGAGTGGTTTTTTATCTTTAATAGCTTTATTTCTTCCTTGCTCATAGGCATTCCAATCTCAAGGTTAGACAGTAGAAAAAACAAAAAGCAATGCACTGACTAATAAACATTCTTTCCAAAGCAAAATGAAGATCACAAATAGTGGTCTTACAAGCATCTTTAAATCTACATTTTCACTGACATTCACAGTCTTATACCAGACAAAGTTAAAATGGAACCATTAGCAGCAATAAAGCAACCCACAAAATCAATTCTGAAAGAAGTTCTGATAGGAAACCATTTCTGGAAGAGTGGCTGAAGTTCCAGCCTAATGACGAGACATGGAAACGTCTCTACAGCTACAATATTGGCAGTGACAAGTTTGAGCTACCTAAAACACTTAAATTAGGCTATGGATTTATTCACTACAGCAATATCACTGAGCAAAATGAGCTAGTTAGCTTAGAAATAGCAAAAGTCTACCAATCTGGCAGATCTCTTTTGAGGGCTGCCAATTTCCTTAAGAAAATTGCTTGAACAACTAGGTCTCCACCTAGTCTGTACACACTGTTCCAGCTGCTTTACCCTATGACAAGGCATATGCTCCTTTTTTCATCTGCAGTAAGCAACCGCTTCCTGGCCTAGTAGAAGGATGCACTGCTGTAGAAGAGCTTCACATCCGCTAAGCTACATCCTTGTTAATGTAACAGGAGAGACTAACAAAGGTCTGGGGTGGTGGGCAGGGCTCTACTCCCACCCTCAAGCTCTAAGGCTTCTTGGTTTTGGAAAAAAAAACAACAACAAAAAAACCAACATGAAATTGCATTTCAGATTTTCCAACAGTCTTCTTTTGTTACTGGAGATACTCACCCCAGAGAGACGGTGCCTGCAGATGGAAAAAGTCATGCTTCCAAAAACTGGTATTCACCAAAATGTCATGATCAGAAGTAGTATGCAACAAAATCAGTTCTCAGAACTTGCATGACAACTGTGGCAAAAACTGACATTACTAATACAGTGTCTACAAAATAGTCACATGCTAAAATTGAAAAAAGAGGAGCCGTTTTCTCAATATGAAAAAACTGCAGTCAGTCTTCAACACATTCAGAGGTAAGTAAACATTTGCCTGTCATTTCTAACACACAACTTCCTAACACAGATCTGTTCTAGTGACTTCTCAGATAAAACCAGCCAGCCGGGCAGCTGCTCTGGGCCTAACACACACTTGTAAGTAAATTTGTAAGAATTTTGGGAGTCTGAATGTCCTCAGACTCAACAATTACTTAAAATTATGACAGGTGAAAAAAAGCACAAAGATTTCAACCCAAGTGTGATCTCATTATTTCTGTAAACAGCACCTCTTGGAAGCATTGAATACCATGTAAATCCAGTGCATAGCCCTACCTCACCTCTGAGGCAAGCTTCTTGTGAAAGCAAAGCCCTCAGCTGGTATCTGTGCAATTTAGATGCTCACCTTTGTGGCTTAAGAATTGATTTTACATGCTCCTTTTAAAGTAAATCTTTAGCTGTGGTGTCATTTTACTGACTGCAAATTAGTCAGAGAACATCAGGATGGTTATTGGCTGAACAGTTCTAAAAACTCCAAAATTACTAATTGGGTCTTCAGTAAAACAGGCAAGGTTGCTATAAACATCCCCAGCTGAGCTGGATCTCAGCCTTCTACATTTCCTACCCTGTGCCTTTTAGCAGCATTATCAGAAGTCAGAAGCACAAAGTGACCAGGTTTTCATCCCACAGAGGGCTTTCAGCAAGACCAAACCGTAAATCAATAATATCCAATTTCTTCCAAATAGAGACTGATAGAAGTCTCTAAACTATAATAAATGTCTTACAAATATTTCTAAGATTATATTCCTAGCATAAAAACAACCAATGTAAGTTATGATCACTTATGATTTTGTGACTCATTTTAAGTAAGAGGATCGTTTGTGCAAGGTCTACTAGAAGCATACCAAGCACATGTGTTTGAAGTCTGCATATTTTAAAAACATATCTGTTTCTGGAAGAACAGCATGCAAAAAAAATAATCAGACAACGTAAACCAATCACTTTCCTCTGAACAATAATTATTAAAAGTCAGCAACACTGCAGGTAAACAAGCAACACAGGTGTAATGTTTATAATCCTCAGGAAGTAGTTCTGTAACTTACCTGAGAGATGCAAGTAAGAGTTCTGCCAAAGGCACTGAAATCTCAAGGCTGCTGGGTTGAAATACACAGACCCTAATCCTAGCAAATCCATGCTGTTTGTAAATTGACGTAAAGTAACTTCACAAGTTGAGTTGGCTTCTGAAGGTGAGCCTGACCAAACCGAGCAGCTTGTTAGCCAACTTAAATTTTGAGCTCATCACCCCACAAAGGCAAAGGAAACCTCCTTCAGTGAGATGACTGACATGCAGAAATAAAACAAATGGATTGTCAGAGCTTTTGCTATATGGTTTCTAAAAATACTTGCTCAAGAGAATTTTGAGGCACTCAGATGTGCCAGATGTTTACCACACACTCTTAGCAGGTACCTGGTAAAGCCATGGCTACACTGCAGTAGTAAATACCTGAACATACCTAAGGAACCTCCATAGGAGTATGCTTTGAGTATATACACCTATAAAGTAAACTTAAGTTTTTAAGCCTAGGTTTATAAAAGTAGCTCCAATTAACATTTTTATGCTGGTAGTGCATAAAACCAACAGAATCTGACATTTCAATAAATCCTAGTTTTTATTCACTGCATAATTTACAAGACATACCAACAGCCAAGGGAGAAACATAACAGGAATGTACTGGATGACAAGATCCTTGCATATCTTTCTAAGTATTACTTTTGACCTTGCATTTCACTGCACAGGATGTTTTTATATATTCCACTGTGATGAGGTACATACTATTTGTTTTAATGAATAAAACAGTCACTGACCAGTCATTTTCAGTCTGGACTGAGGAAACTTGACCTTATTTTAAGTATAAATATTAATACCTTACTCATCAATGCATCATCTCAATGCTCGACCCTGTAAGAGGCAGCTAAATCCGTCCAACAAGTGTTACTGGGCTAATGCTATCCTACTGCATGTTATTCTCCCTTCAAAGAGAAGAGACTAGACCAATGGTAGAAAAGTAGTTATCCAGATTTAAGAGTTTTTTCTAACTACTCTCAACATAATACCCATGGTTATACAGCAAACAAAATTACCCTCCTGCAGGTATATGATACTCCTCTCTGCCACCTCCTGAATCAGAAGGCATAGCAAGCAAATTATACTCTACCTGTAGTGACTAAATTAGCCTTTGGGCTACCACTAAAAGATTCATTCATTTTGAATGAGTTAGTTAAACCCAAAAATTCTATTGACAACCACAGGAAGAATTTTATTATTTTCTATTCTTTTTTTTTTTCTCTACCCAAATCCACAAATTTTATTTCACAGCACATGCAAAACACCAACTTTCAGTTTGTAAGTTTTGCAGATACCTCCAAACTCAGACTCACTAACAGTAGTTAGTAATTAGGTTTTGTATATGACCCTAATTTGAACAGGCTAAAAATGATAATAATCCCTTAACAAGCAAAACAACCTCCAATCTAGCCACCCCCAACCTACATCAAAGACAGCAAACCTGTCAGATTAATTTATTAACCTGAAAATAACTCAAATAGCATACTACTTTGTTGTCCATTATTTAGATCGTTAAACGAGCATATCTTCTCCCCAGAAAACTGTAAGATTTCAAAATGGTATCTGCTAAGAGCTGCTGACAGACCACAAGCAAGTTCTGGGAAGCAAATTTTTGTTTTAAATACTTCAGTAACCCAGAAGTGATAGGCAAGAGGTGAAGCTGTGTTATACACAGCACTGTTACTTACCTTCAGTGGACCATGACATGATCTGCATATTAATCAATCATCAATTAACACCAATATCCCACAGAGGACACAAGTACTACTACTCCAACATCCAAATTTATGGTAGGCCAACTAGTGTCCTTCCTAGAGGGTACTTTGCAATTAACACTGGGTTTAACTAGATGAAATATTACATGTAAAACAGTGAAGCAGTTTTACAACATCCAGTTCCCAATGAGACAGCTTGACCAAGCGTAAATGAAAAAAACATTTCAAACAAGACGTCCACTCCCAGTGACATCTTATTTTGAGTTCCAGGCTTTCAATGGATCAGACCAACACCCACACTGAGGCTCATGTTCAGCTGCAACAGGCAAAACCAAGCCATGAGAGCCAAAAACCCAGGCTACAATCCTGTGAAGGAAGTCTCTTACATCACCCAACAGCCACAGCAGTACAGAGATCAGAAAGCTCATCTTTGCCTCTTCATTCTTCATGGACAGCTGCGAGTTAAAGTGTCTTAATGCCTTTCTGAATTTGCTGATACTGCTTCTACAGCAGCTTGTGATGGTGAATTCAAGGTTACTACAAGGTCAGTAACTGAGCTTGAAATTGACAAAAGAATATCCTACTAGTGTTAAGGAGCACTACCTGAGGTTACTTGGAATATATTTTTCCACGAGCTGTGCAAGACAGGAGAAATTTTCAAGAACATACAAACTGTGTAGTACTCTGGTGGAAAAGATGTTAAACAACCAGAACTTAGGGGATCTCATCCAACCATAAGCTATGCTGATAGGGGTCATCTGAAACTCTACCTACTATTTTTAAATCATACACATAGGTCTTGTTCCTATCAGCAGCAATACAGCAAAGCAACTCCAACAGTTGCTTTCAGCACAAAAAGCTGCAGCAGCCATACGCTACTCAGCTCCTCCCAAGCCCTTTTCTACTAAGGGACACATCAGAAAGGGTATGGCTTCCACTTCCCTGCTCACTATTGAGATAAAAGCTCTCAATTATGAGCTGTATCAGTTACCGGGGGAAGAGGAGAGCTTTTATTTTCAGGAGGGATTAAGTAACTAAAAAAATCATTAACAACAGGCAGATCACTTCCATTTCATGCATGTTTATCTTCAACTGTTAATAGAAACCTGTTTAAATAAACAAGCAGCATTTCACATTCAGATTAGCATTTTCACCAGCCTCTGGCTTTTAAAGCACCAGATGTTTATATTCAATATTCTTGGAAGACATACAGTAAGTATATTAGTGGATTCAGGCTCAGCTTGCTCCAATCAGCTTTGAACAAAAACTGGAGCAGCTTCTCATCAGCATTACATTCTAAGGAAAGAAACAAGGCTTGTCTAGCACTAGCTATTCAATAGCACCGAGTAATGTGCCAGACTTGAAGGAATTTTAAACCCTGTTAGGCCAACAATTTATGACAATGTAAAATCCTACCTTTTTTAAAAAAAAAAAAACCAAACAAAAACAACAACAACATTTCTTGTGGGTCAGATTTACTGCCAGCTGAATCATGTAAAGCTCAACACCTGCTCCCAGTTCTGCTTTTTTGAGACTTCCCTGAAAGACTGGCTGCCTCTAAGTGTCACCCACAGCCTTTTTATATCCAAGCTGAAGTTTTACTGCAATATTACAGAGATCCAATTCCAGTACCAAGTTGAAATTCTGCCACCCTTGATATGGAAAGTCAGAGGATTTTCTCTCTAGACGTTTACACATGTCCTCCAAGGGCCAGAGACAAGCTTCTGGGCTACCTGAACAAAACACAGAACCAGAACAGCCATTCCACAACAAAAATGTTGCTGCTTGCAGTTATCTTATCTGTAAGCTCTGTTTTTTTATTACTATCAACTTACAAATTTGAATATATACCCCTGAAAGCACTGCAATTTCAACTGTAGCCATATCATTAACCTATACAGAGTTGTTTTCACATCATCCACGTCCCCAGCCAACCTCTCTCTCTCCTGAGAAAACTTCCTGTGGCCATCTTTACTTTAATGAGGACAGTGCCTTTTGTGGCAAGTAGTTGGTAAAACTGTATCATCTGTTCCCAAGTGTCCTGATTTGGCACTTCTTCAGTCCCCTCACACTCCTGTAGTACAGAAGTTCCACCAGAATAGCTGAAAATTTACAACAGAAAAGGGAGGAGAAGCTCTGTGAAGTGTTTGGTGTTCGTTTTTTAATTTTATAAAGACTTTTATAAACAGTTTTGTTAGAACAAACAAAAAACCCCACACCTCCATTCATATCATGTTCAAAAAGTAACCACAAATTCCGTTAGCTACAAGCACTGACTTATTATTTGTTGCAAGAGAAGTGTTACTTTAATTCCTTGCAATACTCAAAACGTTTTCCCTAAGAGACCTCAATATTTGAAGCAAACAAGTATTCTGACATATCCTTAATACAAATTGCTAGTAAGGAGACCACAATAGTGCAATGATGGTTTATGAAACGTTTAAGTATTACTAGATCCATTAAATTGTATTCTTCTTTGCTGATTATTATTTTCCTCCTTTTCTAAGTATCTCCTCTAGTGCTTTTACATATATGCTGCAGGCTTCATGCTCAGCAAAAGTTCTGAGTATTTGAAGGTGTTCTATGATTTCAGCAGATGCATCATGAAGGTTGTTTCATGTGCTGGGGTGAACTGTCCCTACCATTAACAGGCTACAATGGCACTGCTTAGCAACATCTTTTATAGATAAGAAGTAACATCATACTTGCCCATTATACGGGGATGTCACATATCTGTTTTCCCAGCTGGCCCCTAATTTCTGTCCTAATTAGCTCAATAAGCAGAAATGCATTATCTCACAGCAAAAAGCTACATAAAGCATTAATCACACTCTTCTCTTACTAAAAATAGGACACTTGCATAAAGGAAGTCTGCTCAACTTCCCACTCTATCTTCAGTGTAAACAAAAGGCTCAGAACTTCTCCATCTATACATACATCCACTGGAAAAATAAGAATACAGAATTTACATACTTTTAGGCAGAATTACTTCTCAGCTCACTGTATCAGTCCTGAAATACAGCTGACACAATACACATTCTTTAAAGCATATCTTGTTCCAGTTACAGCTTATATCAGTATTTCCATCTGAAATTAACTGGTGCAGAGCTAATCAACATGAACAAGAAAAGAAACACCACTTCATAAATGATCTGTATTTTTCAAAGTCTATTTCAAGTAATATAAAAATAAAGCTACCAGACAATGTACTTATTTTTCCACATGACTGGATGAAGGGCACTACAAAGTCCAGACTTTCTGCCACCACCATGACAGCACACCGAATGTTGGGAAGTTACCTGAGCAGTTACTCTTCAAGGGAAACTGGTGTTAATTACATTGAGTTTGAAGAGGGCAGAAGGTTTTACCAGCTCAAGTAGATACACAAAACAACCCTGGAAGTTCCCTCTCTAAATGCATTCGGTGTATTTGGAAATAGCTGGCTGCCTGAGAAGCCATAATCCAGGCTCTCATACATTCACTAGTTCAGTGTTGCAAGGGGAAGAGTGTTGCTAATGGTACTGTATCATTTTAGATTTACAAGAAACTTCATCTTCTCCGAGAATGAGAAGAAACAATTAACTAGGAAATAGGAAGTCCTGACACAATAGCTTCCCAAACTTATTCTGTTGAATGTATGCATGCCTCTAAGTTAATTATTTGCAAATTATGCCTTTCAATATGCTTAGGCATGCATTTCAGAAACATAACATGCTGAAGCTTAAAAAAAAGAAATAATAATAATAAATATGTTTCTGCCCCCACAAATATGCATAAAGATAGCTAAGCCTGCACAGTAACCCTTCCCTTTTAGAGTTATTTATGCCATTCCAACACTTCACGAGTAAGATTTTTGCATTACAAATTTTACTTCTCATATTAAAATAGTACATTAAAGAATAACATGCAAATTATTTCCTGTGATAATGAATAGCAAGTAATAATCTATTTAGTACCATGGCTCTGTTTAAGCATAAATCCTCCCCCATCGTGAACATACACAACTTTTATTTTTATGATGTGTACTTGCAATTTCCAAGGCTTTTTCCTCAAAGGAAAGATCAGCACATTCCAATATATGGTTTCACTTTCCGGAATGCACCACCAAACAGTAGATATACAAAACATGGCAGCACAGATTAACACTGCTGTGTCCTGAGCATCCACCTCCCCACGCTCTACAAACAACTGAAATGATTTGCAGAAGGCATAGCTGCAACACCATCAATGTAACTAGCCACAGGCTGGCAAATGCCTCTCACTCTGCAAATTTATGAAGAAAGGACTTCTAAGACAATTGGGAGAGGGAAAACAAAATAAATCAATATTCACACCTATCTTCAAACACTATCTCAAGACATACTAGAGAAGCATCTGTGTAAATCAACTGCAATATCAGTGCAGTGACTAGGTAAAGCATTTGGGGTATATATACACATATATATGATACAGTCCGTGCACTGATCGTGCAGTTGCTTTGCATAATTTCAGGCCTTAGAATTTTCTTTTATTATCATAATAGTAAAGCTAACATCAACTGAGTCGTATCTTACCGTCTTCTCACAACAATCAAGTCTATTAATTTAATTGTCAAGCAATGTTAACTGTGTATTGACAGGTGTGTTACTGATAGCTCTTTGTACCTTTTGAAATCATTCAGAATTGTAATTCCAACAATCTGTTAATAAACCTATAACAATTAAACATTTTAATGCAAGGTGAAAGCTAGCATCTTTAATGCTACTTAACAGATTTTAAAAAATGGAATGATTCCACAGCATGTGACTAACTAGATTCAGCACCTTCAAGTACTTTGTTTAAAAGCCATTTATTTCAACTTTCACATTAAAGGATTCTTGACTTATAATTTTTCTGGAAGTTCTGATCATCCTTTCCCATCAAAAACTTTATGGGCTAGTGTTTATATTAGTATTATATTAGGTTTATTTGGAGTATAACTTCTATAAAAACACAAAACCAACTGCTCCAAAGCACCTGCAGAAGAAAAAAAAAAAAAGCAAAGCATACTATAACAGAAATACCATAGGAATTCAAATTTACCTGAAGGTACAGCTGTATTGTTCTGGTTTTCACCAGGTGACACAAATAGGTCTTCCTCCCCTTCAGTGGATGAACTAGAAGAAGATTCACTACTGAGATCATTCTCACTTGAACTGCTAGAGCTGGGTAGCAAAGCATACTTTCTTCGAGCTAACACCTCCCTTTTTTTCCTCTGCATTAAAATTCGTTCCTTCTGATTCTGCGTCCGCTGTGAGGAACTGGTTTTCACAAATCTCTTTCTATATGGAAGTCTTCTTAAAGAACTGCTGTGAAAACAGGGCCTTTTCATTAATAATCCAGGTACAGACTCTGCCTCAGTCCGAGGCCACTTTTGTGACCTTGCACTGTGAGTTCTACTCGCAGCATTCAGCACTGCCTGAGAGTGTCTTACAGGAGCATCTTTTTCTTCATCAGATGTTACTGTGTCAGAGTCTCCAAAATGTAGGCTAGATGAAGGCGAAGAGATACAGTCACTAAAAGAAGAGTCATTGTCCTCACTCTGTGTTTCTAGATGCTGCCTCAATCCCAAGACTCCTTGGTTTTCTTTATCAGGACAGTTCTGTGTGTATGAAGGACCAGCCTGCTGGCTCTTGCGCTTTTTTCGCACCACAAGACTTTTGTCTTGGTCTGTACGGTTGCCATTCATATCCTTCTGCTTCTGAGAGTCACTGCATAAGTGAGAGAACTCATTCCCTACTTTGCTGGCAATCATCTCCACTTCCGCAGGGAAGCTTTTGGCTGCCCCAATAGGCTCAGGGTTCAAGAGGATCCCCTTCAGGCTCTCTTGTCTCTTTGGTGCATCAGAAGGAACTTCACTCTTCATATCCGCTTTTAGAGTATAAACTATATTACATTCAGGAGTCCATTTAGACATGGGAAGTTTTAAGAAAGGCCTAGAAATAAACAGACATACATCAAACAAATGGAACAAAACAACAAAAAACTCAGCACGTTTCTCAAAGAATGAAAATGAAGCAAGAAAAAAGTCATTTATTACTCAGGCTAACACCACCTCCTCGGGAAAAGCAAAACAGCATTCAGTAGCATACTGCTGTTCCATAATAATGTTACAAATCCAGCTCATCAGTGTAATTTTGAATTAAGACAGAACTAGCATTATTTGCATTGAACAGACGTTCTCACCATCAGCCAAAACACTATCAGTTTCACAAAGGAAATATCAATGTGTGTCTGTAAAAAGCTTGAATGATGTCTGCTTTACCAATGCATCAGTTTTACAGAAATTACATCATCTTTAGCTAGACAGCTCCAACACTTCACCTTCAACCAAACTGTATTCTCAAGGCCTGCACCTTCCTCTGCAACTGTATATGGACAGCAAATACCTTGCACACAATTCAGTGCGATGAAACTGTGCTACAAAAATCAGTTGCTTAGAATTCATGATTATTTTCTGAAAAAGTAAAGGATAAAACAGGAGATATTTTGAGCCTTAGTATTTTGGGGTAATAAAAACCCTTTAATTAATTACAGTTTCTCTTGCATATATCACATGTACCCCCTAATGGCTGGTAGCAGGCCGCTTCCCCTCTGGGTCAAACTATCAGGCTGCCAGCACATAACAACATAAGCCTCAAAGACCATTTCCAAGAAAAAGAAACAACTGTTCTACCAGAAAACTACTGAGAGACATCAGCAACAATAATGTCAGTAATGCATTCAGCTTCACCTGGCACCTCAGCCTTGTTTCAGAATTTGGTTCCCACTGGGATAACCCCCAAGCACTCTTTACAGCAAGAAATATCACTCTTTTGTTCCTCTGGTGAATAAGGCTATTGTAGACATTTGACACTTGCACTACTTCAGCAGCTCTTCATCACCGCCCACCTTGTTTGAATGAACATCTCCTGTGCTCTTCTGGCAGAAGTGTTACAAAAACTCTGAAACAGACTATGCAGCTGAACAAACTGAAAAACAAATCCCCCTACCAAATCAGACACCAACCTGATTCACTGCATGAGCATCCTGCCAGCAAAACCTGGCTGATGGCAGCCAGTGCTAACAAGACAGCTGCTGAAAGAAAAGAAACAAAACACACAGAACTGAACCTTACATGGAAACAAGACGCCTTGGGCAGCACAGCTGGAATATCCACGAGGCCACAAAAAAGCCTAAGTCAGCAACATGGTGGGTAGCACTGCATATTTACATCACTATCTTCTGCCTGAACCTCCAGATTAATTCTTCAGCATGCCGACATATGCTTACGTGTTGCCCATGTTTAAAGCTCATTTGTTTATATAGAAAGAATCAGTACAAGACTGGGACTGCAGAGTCGAACCAGCATGTCTGAGATGGCTTCACAAAGCAACGCTGCCAGCAGCAGCAGTGAGCGAGGTGCTCCTAACATCCCTCAGAATGACTTATCTGTTTTTGCAATAGGTATAAATGGATGCGTTATTCCTGTCAGCCCATGCTCTCCTCAGAGCCATAAGCAACCAAATTCTTCAAGTGATGCACTCAGGAATAAACATTTTGCACAAGGTATACACGTTGCAGTGCTAATATCTCAAGAAGGCACAAGTTTCACTGGATCCTTCTGCAGAGCAGGGATCCTGCAGGCTTCAGAACCCCAGCTGGAAAGATCCATTTGAATGTTCTCACCAGGAACCTTGCAAACATCTCCGTCAATTAGTGTGAGACCTATAACCTCTGTTCACTAAGAAAGCCTGCAGATGGTTATGCTTTCCATCAATAAATTGAAAGCTACTAAGAAATAAGTATTTTCAATGTCTAGGCGTAAGAAATATGCATATTGCAAACAAGTCCAACGCCTCTACAAAGAATTTAAGATAAACTTGATGAGGAACTCAAACAAAACAAAACAAGTAATTTGAACTCATTAAATTAAGATCATCTACTGTTCAACAACTACAAGATCCTATAAAAGTCTCCCACTAAGAGTAGCCTTGAGAAGCTTTTCCAGAAAGTAATAAGATGTAGTAAATGCTTCTCCTCCTTAATCAAAACATTTTCCTATTAGACAGTCAAGTATTCAAGGTGTAAGAGAAGCAGTATCTTCTTTTATGCCCCTGAAAGACTCGGACAGCTGTTAACAAAGCCATCTGAAAAACATAAATCTAAGTTCCTCTCTGAAGTGAATGACCTTCATTCACAGTCATCAAGTGCCCATGACTTATCTACTCATCTTGCAAAATAAAGGCTGCTGATATTAGCCACTTCAAGACATACAGCACCACAAGAAAATTCATGCAGACTGGGACAGTTCCTCAAAGCTGCTGTATCAGTCAAAACTCAAACACAAGTTGGAGATCTTCACAGCAGACAAAAGTTTATGATGACATACAAGCAAAATTTGAGTTATCACAGCAAGGTGTTTCATCATGAAGAACTAATTTCACTAGTAGCCATTGAGAAGTACAACGGCACTGAAGCCAGCACTATAAAAAAGTGAAACAGCTCATCACATATGAACTCAACCTTTTCTTGTAAACTTGATTAATGCATGTAATCTCTCATCATTTTGAAAATATGTTTTCACACAGGCAGTAAAATAGTCATCTTGCTTTACTTAATGAGAAATTACCTCCTTTTTACATGTTAAAAAGCACCTTGCTCAACTCCCTCAAGGCTGGCTGCAGTAAGCACACCATGCTTTACACACATCCACCACCTCACAGAACGCTGGCCTATCTTCAGAACATGCCTCTTACACGACACCCAGTGATGGCTCTGCCTTGTCAGTGTAACACACCTCAGCCCAGTTCACCACGCAGAACATATCTGCCAAATAAACTATTCTGCTTAAAGCCAGCTTGATGGAAAGCAGAGAACAGATCTTCATATACAGATGAGCAAGTTAGCAGTCGATTTCCTTGCCTTCTATTTCCTCTCCTCTCTGGTTACAGTCATTCCCTTCTGACTGTACGCACTCCCCACGCACTTACAAGCGATGCAGGTGTGTGGGGTTAAGCTTAGAGAACAGCGCAGCTCAAAGTCTTCTGAACACGACGGCTCTGGAGAGCACCAAGAGCCTGCAGAGCATCCTGCTATCATCACCTCTGACAGCATGCTGCAATTTCACTGCTGCAGGAATTCTCTGCTTACACCATTTGTATACCCACGATCACAAAGCGACATCCGACAAGCAAAGTTATTTCACATTATTTCAGAAAGGAAATTTCTATCAAGTCCTAACCTGTATTTTCTTTGAAGTTAACTAAACTTACCTTGTTAAAACTTCTAAAGTTAAATCCCTTCCCTAAAACATGGCTTCTACGAGATTAACATTATTTTTACTATGGTAAGCTAATATTGGTACCATCAACTTCATCAGGAAACTTCTCTGTTAACCCCTGATACATACACAGATCATCTTCTGTACACTGTTCCTACCCCAAACTTTATTGAACTGGCGAATGTAGAACAAGCCAGTAAATGGAAGTATAATACACACCGCATCTTGAAAAAACAGCAGCCATTCTTCTCCTATCATTAAAAATACACCTTTTTATTTTTTCAGCAAGGCTATTCCATCAGATGAATCAAGACACCAAAAAGTGGGTAAACAAAAAGCCTAGAATCTGTGCAAGATCTTGAGAAAAGCAAGATAACCTATGGGCTATTACTTCCCGTTCTCAAGGGCAGAGAGCCAAACCAGACTGATTCATGCATGACTCTGATGCAATGGGAGTTGACAGAGGACTTTTAGAGCCATTTGAGAAGCTGCACCCACAATGTAAGTCTATGAAAAACGAATCTCAGTGCTACTCTGCCCTGCTCCAATGAAAACAAAGAATTCCCTGGAGCAGCCCATGAAAAAGAAGCACCTATTAGCCTGGAAAGGGGAGTCATTCCCTATTCCTTCCTGCCTATCAAGTAGGAAAACAACACAAATGTAGTGTAGCAAGAGCACAAACATCCAATATTCAGTTCCACTGCCAGCAAAACAAGTGCAATCAGATTTCAAAACGTTATTGTGCCTCTGTTTCTTCATTTTAACCACATAATGATGAACTCCATGCTTTAAAAATTTAAGAACTAGTTTTTAGTATGCTGTATTTTGACCTTCTACTCTTCACTCAAAAATAAAACAAGCAATTGAGAAAACAAATTAAAAAACGGATTGTTTAGGATCTATGCATCTTTACAAAACAGCAACAATCAGAAGGTAATCTGAATTTGTTTGTTCTGATGCTATTGAGCACTATACTGAAGTTTTTATTCATGGGGCAATATTAAGTACTCCTAAAAACCACCTCCTTTTCCTTTTCTTTTTCTTTTTTTTTTTTTTTTTTTAATTATTATTATTTTATTTATTGCATCAACAGCAACACAGTTACTCGAGAATTCTCCAGACACAACTCTTCCCTTCTGCCCTTCAGGAAGGTTTATCAGACGCACACGCGCAGTGCTAGTTAGCAACCACACGACAGCATTCTGGAGACAGGTTCTTGCCTGCAGCTTCCCAAGGATGCTCCCTTACACCCAGCCATGAAGACTCGGCCAACGCTTTGCAGTGCAGTGCTACAGTTACCAGCAGAGCAAGGCAGGCTGCTTACTCCAAGCAGCCAATTCCAGGAACCATTCCTGGCTCCACACTTCAAGTGAAACAATGTCATTTCAAGTACAAACTACTCCTATTGATCTTCGCAAAGATGTCTCAAAGGCAAGTCAGACCACAGTAACTGCAACCAGCAGGAACCCGCCTCTGGACCTGCAAACTCCTTGATTTCATGGCTGACAAAGATTCCTCAGGGACCTCTAAGGGCGGTTTTCTCATACACAGCACAATTCAGATCAGTAAAAAAGTAATTTTGCAACAGAAACATCAAGCCGGCTATGAAACAGGCGCAGGAAAGCTCTGTTATGCCACATTACATAATTCACCTCTCAAACTTACTACCTTGGTCTCCCTTAGCTTTAATTTTAAGAGAGGCTACTGAAAGCATCTCGCTGTCTCTGACATCTTTAACAGAATCCAGCACAGGACAGCTACAGCACAGCAGCTCTTCCCAAGGACTGGATGTAGGGCCCGGTTCCAGCTGGAACACAGGGAATGCACGGAGCATGCGCAGCTGGAAGCATCTCAGCTAGATGAGCTGGCAGGCTACAACAATTCTGCACCGAGTCCTACCAATAACAAGTTCCCTCTCCTGCCATACACACAAGCTAGTCCCAGCCAGTTAAGGCACCCACTGAAATCCTAGCACCAATCAAGCGTCAGTAAAGCACCAGTATGCACCTACCCACTTGAGCAAGGAACCTGCTTGGCTCTGCACAAGAGATGCATGCAGTTGTACTGGACAAACAGTGTCCACAAGGCACATCCTTCAGTCTAGACATTTCTTCGCTCTGTCCTAGGCTTAAACTCAGTTAACTACACATAACACTGTATAAATCACAGTTTTAAGACAGACACATTATGATTTGGTAATCAGGAATGTTTCAGCTTCAGCAACTTCCAAGACAAACATAATTGCAATGAATTTGGGAACAAGGACTTGCAGTTTTATAAAAGAATGACAAAATAGGATTTTTTTTTTTTTTTTTTTTTTAACTGGAGCTTAAGATCTTAACCAGGAAATCTGGTGAAAATCCGCCTTAGTCAATATTATGAGTATTTCCAGGGACAGTTAGAAAAACTCTGAATTACAAAGCCACAAAAATTATTTGGAACATTCCTTTTTAGTCCCTTCGGCAGTTTTGACCTTTCAGGTACATGTAACTATTCTTAACATAGTATCATTTTGCAAACACTTTCCTGAAAAAGCTTTCAGGAGCTAACTATGACACCATCTCTGCTCTTTGCAACTTCAGTTCACTAGCACAAAACCTAGGCTGAGGCTGCATTCTGTTGGTTTCAACAAAAGCATGGCAGACTTAGCAGCAGCTGATCACTGCTACTTGCAGTGATAAAACTTAGGGGACTATGACTAGAGATGCTTATCCCACTCATATGCTGTGTATGTCTCTTATACTTCATTACTTAACGTACGTTTTTAAAGCTTTGTACTTGACAGCAAACTATGATAAAACTGACCTCAAGGAGGCTGTGCATTAAATATAGCTTTGAATAACACCTGCTTATGCTGAATTCATCTCTCTGTACTATCCCCACTGTTAAGTGAATTAAATTGTCCTGATTTTTCCCTCACCCCAGTACTTTCCCCCCATGTATTCAAATGCCTGACACTTGAACCTGTGGAGTTCAGGAGCTGGGGTGACCTTCTCAAACAAACGTACCTTCTCAAACAAATGGTTTTACTGTTGGAGAAAATATGAACAATTGAAACAAAAAATTATTGGTCTTGGAAAAAATACAGCAAATGCTGGCAAAATAAACATTACTGCAGCATGGACACCTCCAGTGAAAGACCCGTTGGTACAATTGACCTGGTTACAAAAATCTACAAAACAGCAATTTGCACAGGGAATGCTGTGAATCTTGTAAGATATATTCTTACTACATTTTACAAAGATGTGAAATATGAACAAATACTTTGAGCTGCTGGTCACCCTGTGCTCCCAACATAGTCACAACTGCAGCTCTAGCTGTGAGGGCTTCAATCTTCAATAAAAAGATGTTTCAACATACAGGACTTGAGGAGTTTTAAAACTGGAAGCTTAGTGTCATATATTTTTTATTTAAGTAAAAGGAAAGAAAATAAATACACAGTCTTTCTGTCCTATTAACTCATGAGGAGGTCATGCTTTACTGTGGATAAGGGCAGGAGAGGTGACTGGCTGCTCACATCTTCCCCCATCAAACCTCGCACATCAACAAGAGATGATCTGAACTGGGAGTAACTTTGGCTAATAGCACTTCTTGGCCTCCATTAAGTCCCTCTAGCCAACAAAAGGGAGAATTAAATACATTTAATTTGCTGGAAAACTACTTGGATAGCAAAACCTGTATCTGTTTTTTTTGTTTCTAGGAGTGACAAAAATATTCTAATTCTTTTTGTCAACAAAAACAGATCCAAAATAGTTCCATGGCCATAATTAATCTACCTTTGGAATTTTCCACTAGTTACAACAAAGACAAGAGAAGTCTTGATCCAGCACCTGAAAGCCTAGTGTTTCTTTGTTAATTTGTAGTAGATACTCCCCAAGACATTATCAAGGCTCTCCGTGCCGAGCAGTCAGCTCTTCTATTTGTGTCACACACTGAAGTCACTGCATTAGAATTCAAAGAAGGTTCTACAACGGCAGCAAGCGCTCACCTTCTCCATAACAACTCCTTTAGGAGGAATACCTCAGCACCAGGGTGAATCGCACAGCTGAGGCTCCCAGCCTCCCTCATCGTTTCCCACAGCCACTGTGGGCTTTGGGAGCGCCGGCTCCATCTGACAGAGGGGAGACCTTGGGGGTGCTACAAGGTCGCTCCAATCCCCCACATGAAGCACCCAAACCAGCCTCTTGCTACCTGCGGCCCCGTTCCCACCTTACAAACCTTCACACCTCCGCCGCTCCCGGCCCACAGATCCGGACGAGCAACACGGCAGGCCAAATGCATCCGACGGGTTTTGGTTTTTCTTTAGGGGTTAAGCGGCAGAACACCAACTCGGCGGCCAAAACAAATGACGTTATAACAAACCCCACGGCACACGCAAAGAAAAGTCATTTCCGTCAGGGAAATATTCGTGACGGGCTTTCAAGGAGACGGAGCCCCCCGACGAGCGCCGGGGCGGCCGGCAGCGGAGCGGCGGTTCCCAGCGGCAGCGCAGCCCCGCGCTCCGCAAACCGCCGGGGTCTCCCGCCTCGCGCTGCCCCCACGCCCCGCAGCCCGCCCCGCAGCCCGCCCGAGCGCAGAGCGGCCCGCCGGAGGCAGAAGGCGGCCCGCAGCCCCCGCCGCCGTGCCCCGCGCCCCCGTACCTGAGCAGCGAGGCCGAGGAGGAAGAAGCGGCTGCCGCCGGCGCGCCGCTCGGGGCCAGAGGAGAGGAAACGGCCCCAACGGGCTCCGGAGAGTACCCGCGGCCCGGCACTGCCCGGAGCCCAGCGCTCGCGCTCCGCCCGGCCCCGATGCCCCGCCGTACGACGGACGGCGTTCCGCTCTTGCGCGGCCCCCTCCGCCGCTCCCTCCCAAGGCGCAGCGCGACACTCGGCGCTGCTTTCCAGCAGTCCGCAAAGCGCAGCCTCGCGGCTTCCAGCCCCTCCTCCCGGCTTCCAGCCCCTCCTCCCCGTGTGCGCGGCGCCCCCTGCCGGCCGGAGGCGGCACCGCTCGGAGCCGGACGGCGCCCGGTCCGCCCCGCCGCGTTCCGCAGCGCTGAACGACGCTCGCGTCGTTACCGACGCCAAGGCGGTCACTGCGGAACGACGCAGCGGGACAGCGGGGCCTGAACGGCTTCTGGGAAGGATTTCCTCAACGCAGGAGCGGAAAAAACAACATGAAACTATGTCTCAAACAAGGAAGAAGGAGGTAAGGCAAGAGTCCAATAAGTGCCTCCTAGACAGCGCAGTTCGGCCGGCAGGAGGAGAGGAGCCTTTGGGACAGCAAACAGCGGCTGGAAATGTCAGGGAGCGCAAAAGGTGCACGGCTGCGTAATCGGCACGGAAACAGCAAGTGCTGCGTCTGTGTGTAAGGGTGCGAGCGAGGGAGGAACGCGCAGGTGAGGGCAGAGCAGAGCGGCTCCGGATGGGCTGCAGTTCTCAGTACCGCAGAAACGCAGATCAGCCAGCACTGCTTGCTGGGGTTGCCAGCAGGTTATTTGCTTTGCTCTTTCAGGCACACAAAACACGGCACGCTGCATCCCACCGGAGCTGAGTAAGCCCTCTGACACCGTGCCACGTCTGAAACAACCGCTGAAACTGGGGAGAATGGGGAACGGTGCAGAAATAGAGCATGAGTAACGCTGGGCAGAGCTGGGCTGTGCTCCGACGGCACGGCGCCCAAGGCTCTGTGCAGTCACTGCTCTTTGTTAATGAATATCGGAACTGACAGGCATTGAGAAAAATTCTGCTGGAAAAAAACAGGAATCGAAATAATATGTGGTGAAACCTGAGTGAGCTTAAGGGGCAGAGTAATAGGAGCGAGGTCAAAAAGGCATGGAATTAAATATTCGGACTGAAGGTCTGGGTACACACTGGGTATTACCAGGCAAGATGGACAAGAATGTGAACGTCAACATGCCGTGCAGTCAAGATACTGACCAACAGCCAGCAGTGTAATGCAGACATGGAAATACACAAACATCCTCAGTATTTCTCAGTCAAAAGATTTTGCACAGGGAGAGGAACAGTATAGCAAGGGGAAGAAAGCAATTTGGCTGATTGACTTTAAAAGAAAGGAGAGAAGGGAGCTGGCTAGAGCCTCCAAACAGCAAAGAAATCCACCAGCTGGTTTTGTTTGCTTATTGACTCCTCCTACTTAAACACTGCTTTGAACACTCACCAAAGATGGCACTGCCTAGCAGGGAGAAGTACAGAGCTGCTCTGTGCTCGCCAGCAGAGACATTCCTTCAGGGAAAAAAAAAAAAGGGAGAGAAAAAGATTGTCCTTTTCAGACTTGGTATCTGCAGAAACCCAAAGGTTAAACAGGTTAAATTGAGTCTTGCTCGATGTCTGAATGACTAATTCCAATTTCAGAACAGCTTGCAGCCTACACAGTTATCCATTTACACCAAGATCCTCAGCTACTTCTAACTGAACCGCTTTGTGCACACCTCAGGACCAGGCAGAACTGAAGACAGAGACAAATCTTATCTAAGATCAAAATAATGCCAAAAGCAGGAGAGTGCACTTCACATTTTTGGGAGGGGGGGGGAGAAGGGGAGAGTAAGAAAACCAACATAAAAAAAAACAAACTAACCCCCTATACTGAGCTCAGCCTTCCAGGTGGACACAGCTCTGCACAGAAGTGCTGCCTCAGTTTGCTCACAAATAAAGCTAGGCACAGCTTTTTCCCATGCAAACACCACCTTTTGGCACGCAGTCCCTTCCGGGCACTCAGAAAGAAATGTCCTTGCTCAGATCTGTGCTAAGTGCAAGCCTGGTCGTGTCCAGAGTGATATGAACAGCGTATACTTCAGTTCCTATCACAAATACACAGAAATCATCCATCAAGGAGCTCAAAATCACGTGCAGTCAAGGAAGCAACCCAGCTGAAACAGCCCATCCATGACCCGTAGACCTCCTGCGGCTGCATAGATTTAATATGCATCATAATAATGCAAATATTGAAGTGTTGCATCAATTTGTAACTATGATTAATACTAATCAAAAGAAGGCCTCTTGTGGTAATGTTGTGAGGATGAGAGAAAAAATAATCACACAAAATCTGTGGGATTCATATTCAGGTGATAAAAAAGGTTACAGCTCCCAGCAGCCCAGGTGAGGAGCTTACCAGTGAAAACCACAGACATGGGGATGATTGTAAAATCTGCATGAAAATTCATAATGTGAAAAATATCTAGTGGGAAACAAAAAAGAGACTGACGCACTTGCAGAGTCAAAAATAAAATTCTGCAGCTGGCTGTGAGACATTTTATGAGGATAAATAGAGGAATTAATGTGATTCAGCTTGGAGCTTTTGAAAGCTCTGGAAGATAACGTGCACCACTAGGAGCTGTTTGTATTTTAGACAGATGGAAATGTAAAGTATCCCATGTACCTGTCAACCTTAGATGCAGGAAGGCCCCTCTACTCACCCATTTCATGTTATCCAGCCCAATATGGCTTTGAAAGGTGAGATGCACTTCTGTGCAGCGCATTAGGACACATAATGTGACCAAATACATGGCTTTTAATTATGAATCAGCAGCTATTTTTAGGGCAATTAGATTTTAAACAAACAGAAGTACCTTGCACTCAAAGATCTCATTTTACACTAAGAAATTCAGTAGTCACTTCCTAGCGAGTTCATATATTTTCAAGCAGACACAGAAAGGAAAATATTGGCCTTTGATTTCTGAGTGGATTGTGTTCCTCTTCCCTTGCTTGTCAGTATGAACTGTAATGGAAGTGACTTAAGATCAAAAACTCACTCTTGAAGTCTTCTGACTGCTCATCATACAGTGCATCAATAATACATCAGAAAGAAAACTATACATCCGAAGTAGAAGAGCTATTTTTCTAGCAATTATGTGTATTAAATTAGCAGTGAGCCTTCATTTCAAAACGCACCTACTTGTCGGGTATCCACTGAAATACCTCAAATGGAATCGTTCATTCTTGCCTTTCCCTCCCTCTTCCCCAGAAGACAGAAATAGTGCAGCCAACAATTTTTAAATGTAAGCTTGGTCAGAGGTTTAAATACAGACTGATACGAGAATTACTGAAAAGCAGAGTCTGAAATTGTGGCAATGTAGCACAGGAATCAGGAGATGGTGCCTTTCAAAGTAAAATGGACTCTTCCTGTTGATCTCAGTTAACTTACATCACTCAAAAAAAGCTACATCCAAAAAGGAACTGAGTCACTGCATCATTTACTGCTGAAATAACTAGCTTTGATGAAGTTAGCAACAAACGCAGAATGCAAAATATTGCATTAGAGCTTCAGCTTTCTGAAGCAAACAAACAAAAGCCTGAAGCTGGAATGAAACCTTGTGTAACAAGATGGGCTTTTGAACCAACAGTGTGTTACACCGTATCTCCCCTCTCCATCTTTTCGTCAACCAACACCTTTTCTGAAAGGCGTCCCGACAAACTGCAGCTGTGGGAAGAGAAAGCTGGGCAGAGACTGCTCAGCTCCAGGTGAGCACTCTGCCTGTGAGGCTGCCTTAAAGAAGGAAGCAAAGAAAGCGGCAGAAACTTCTGCTTGTCTTAAAAAAGTAACACTGTTTTTAGAGCCCAATCATTTGAACTGCACGGGACACCCCAAGTGCATTAAGCCATAGAAAATACAAGAGCTGGCGTTCGGTCTTTCATTATGTTTCAGTGTGATGTAAGGAACTGATCAGTCAGCACTGCTGAAACTGAGATAATTTTCTATGCAGAACTACAAAGCCCATTAAAAAACACAATAAAAAAATCTAAGGGTGGTCAGAACTCTCATGTGTCTCACAGGTAAGACAGACAAAAATGAATTTACAGGAGCACAGTTTGGGAGTTTTATCATTGTTGCTATTTAAAAACCAACATCTGCAACAAACATTTCTCCTCTTTGAACAGATACTATTGTCTCTTAACCAAACTTGACCACAAACTTCAGAGTCTAACTGTACATAACAATCTTCTCTTGAAACACCTACTGATTTTCAAAGAGATTGTAAAAAGACAGAGTATTTATACTTTTTTTTTTTACAACCAACAAATCAGCCAACCCCAGGAAGTTAGAAGCCATCCAATATAGACTTAAATTCCTCAGCAAACTCAAATATACCTGATCATGAGAGGTATTTCTTGAAATAATGTGAAAAATGCCAACCAACATGATTTTTCATTGACAAATCAAACCAACTTTATTTTCAGTTATGTTATACGAATATGAATAAACTGAAGATCTCAGCTTTTATTAAGACTTTTGACATTCTGTTCCATCGACATTTTTATGAGGAAACTTCCTTTTATAAGCAACTTTATGAGGAAACTTCATCTGGATAGAAACCACATAAACCTGGTCCCAAACCTCTCGTACCCTGAGCATCGCTGCAAGTAGTTCAGCATCAAACCTGCAGTTTATATCCCATAAAGACCCTCATATCTTTGCATAACAGCTTAGACATTGTAAGTATAAACCCGCACCTAACACCATGTTTAGAGGTAATACAAACGGAGCAAAAGTCAACAGTGAAGTCTGAAATCATCTCAAAAAATGTACACATGTAATGAACAGAAGTGCAAAGTTCTGCTCTTAGCAAGAAATAAACTGCAGAGAAAGTTCTGTAGTAAACGTTCAGGAAAGAAACCAACAGGTAGAGTGGATCATAAACTGCACACATTACACCTTTGTGAGTTGAAAAAAGCGCCACAGCTCTCAGATGCACCATTGGAAGTGCTGTCACTAAGGCAATTTGAAGAATGGAGAAGAGCTGGGGGGGTGCAACAGAAAAAGGTCGTCTGTTCTGGAACTCTGATCAAAAAAAGAAAATAATGTGGATTTATACTCCAAAAACAGTGAACAAAGAGTGAACAAAACAGTCATCACATAAGAATGCTGCAAAGCAAAAAGGAACTCTGTCCTTTAGAATCAGAGTAAGAAGGCAAAACTGCAGCAAAAGGGATTAAAATGAGGCATATGAAAAAGGATAGTTAAGGGCTAGACTAGACCGAGGAATTATTGGCATCCCTATTTAAGGCTTTAGGAACAGGTTAGACGAACATCAGTCAACGCTGTTTTCCTAATAGCGTACCATGCCTCGAGGCAGGATAACTGAGACTATGTTTTAAGGTCACTGTTGGCTTTTTAAACTAACAGCTTTGACATCTGCGTGACATCAACCGACAAATGAAGAGGTTTAGGTGAGTAGAGATACTGCTGCAAAAGCAGGTGAGCACTGCAGGTGTTAACCTGCTGGTCATTCCCAGGACTGAGGACAGAACCGAAGCAGTGCGGTTTGTCTCTCCTGGTATAATGCTGCTGCAGGGGAGCTGGCAATCCTGGCTGAGATTGTGGTACATGGCTGAACTCAAAGCAGAACTGAAATAAAATTCGGACTTATTCATGTACTGTTTGAAAGTCACACGAACACGCACAAAATCTGTTTCTGTGGTCTAAAGTAAAACTAAGGAGCTCATCGGTTAACCTCACAGTCATTTCTGATAAATTAGAAGTTAGTGCAAGTGTTGTCACAGAGGACAGCATGAGCAAGAACATACACTCATCTCCCACTTAAGACTGCTCTTTTTACTAAATCTCTACCATTCCAAGCTCCACCAAGAGATGTTTAAAATACACAGTCACAGAATCATAGAAAGCCCTGGGTTGAAAAGGACCACAATGACCATCCAGTTCCAACCCCCTACTATGTGCAGGGTCGCCAACTAGCAGACCAGGCTGCCCAGAGCCACATCCAGTCTGGCCTTGAATGCCTCCAGGGATGCATCCACAACCTCCCCTGGCAACCTGTTCCAGCGCGTCATCAGTGCAAATTCCGTTTTAGGCTTTACCATATGCTTAACTTTTAAATGGATGGATGTCAGCCTTTGTTAAACGATATTACTGAAGTAATATAATGATAATGCTGAAGGATTATGCACGCTCTGGAAACAGAGAAGATGAAGGCATTACCAACCAGTCCGTTGGATTCCTGGCACCAAAAAAAAAAAAAAAGAAAAAAGAAAAAAAAAAAAAGTTCGTAACAGATTTATTAAGTGAAACGAACACATCCTTCCAGTTTCATCAGCACACAATTTCTGAATGAAGACAGCACAGAGGATCGCTGCGACAAAGCGAAAGGCACTCTGTTTACCGCGAGCGAGACCGATCGCAGCCGGACCCCGCGCTTCGCACGTCTCCACACCCCGACAAGCCGGGACACGGCGGAGCTCCGACCCAGCCCGGCACCGCGCGGCTAACAACCGCTCCGCTTTTGTCTCGGCGAACCCGGAACGCCGCTGGGGCCGAGCGCGGCGCTACGAGCGGGCGGACGCGCTGCAGCCCCGGCACGGAGGCCCGCGACCGCGAGCTCGAACCGACAGACGCACGCAGACGCCGCGCCGTCATCTGCTCCTGACCGAGGCTTCAAAACGCCCGGCGGGGCACACAGCCCGGCTCCCGGAGGCAGACGCCCTCCCCGCCCGCTCGGCCCCGCCCTGCCTCGGCGCCCGGCCCCAAGCCTCCCGCCAGGCCTGGCCCAGCCCGCGCCGCCCCGGGGCACCTCATGGCTCTCAGCGCCGCTCCCTGAAGAAGCGAGGGCCCGGCCAGCGCCGAGCGCTGTCCCGTCCTCCTGGGCGGGCTCCGCGGGGCCGCACCGCGGCCCTCACCCCCGCCCGCCCGACCCGCCCGCCGCCAACCTCTCGCGGGGAGGTCCAGAGGCCAGGTGAGCCGCACCGCGCCTGCGCCGCGCCTCAGGTCGGCCGCGGCCTCCATCCGGGTACCGCGCGGCCCGGCAGGGCGGGGGGGTTTCATTGTGCGTGCGGCTCCGCGCTCAGTCGCTCTAAGATGGCCGCCGCCGCCTCGTCTCCCGCCGCCGCGGGGGCTCCCGGGGCGCCCACCGCTCCGGCGGCCGCGGCGCCGCCTCCCACCGAGAGCAAGAAGATCAGCGACCTGCGCGTCATCGACCTCAAGTCGGAGCTGAAGCGGCGTAACTTGGACGTCACCGGCGTGAAGACCGTGCTCATCTCCCGGCTCAAGCAGGTGAGAGCTCCGGCGGGCCCGGCCGAGCGGCGCGGCCCGGGCCGGGGGCAGCGCCGTGAGGGGGGCGGGGTTCTCCCGGCCCCGGTGAGGGGGGCGGGGCCGCTCCCGGTGCCGCTACCGCTGCCGGCGGAGGGCTGAGGGTCGTCCTGCCCGGCTCGGCCCTGCCCGCCCGGCGTCGGCACGCCCTGCCCGGCCGCGGGGAGCGGAGGCGTCAGGCGGGGCTCGGCCCGCGGCCTTGAGGCCCTCCCGGGCGGCTGCAGCTCGCTGCCTGCTGCCTGGCCCTTCGTGTCGCTGCGGCTGACCGGCGGCCCGGCGCAGTGATTCCCGAGAGAAACGTGCCGATGTTCGATAAGTTGTCCTTCGGAATGTCACGCGAACGGCTTAAACAAACCGCTGTCACTGGCGTCAGTCTTTCCTCCCTCTCCCCCGGCTTTTGGTGGGAGGTTTAACGTGAAGTGTTCCGTAAGACACTGTTTAGCTGAAAACGTAATGACTTGGCTCGCCCGTATCCTAAAGTGACAGCATCTTGCTTCCAAACGAACTCCATTAAGAACTGCCATTCTGTATCTTGTTCAGGCCATCGAAGAGGAGGGAGGTGATCCGGATAACATTGAAATAACTGTTTCTGCTGACACACCTACCAAGAAGCCAGCTAAAGGCAAAGGTGAATACCTGTTGATTAGATTTAAACAAGTTTTTGTTGCATGCAGCACCTTAAGAAAGAAGTAATGAACCGTGGCCCCACCTGTGCCTGTGCTTTACTGTTTGAGTTCTGTTGTACATAAATCCTCCGCACTTGCTTCCAGTCATGGTATTTCCTTCCTCATCATCTCTGTTTCCCCCATCACCACCTGTTGCACCGGCTTGCTTCCTTTTCCTGCAGCATGCTCTGTCTGTCTCCCTGTGTCACACATCTGCTTATCACTGAGGGTGTGGAATGCATTGGGCCTTGCAAAGTATAGGGGTGCTGTGTATGTATGGGATGTGTTGGTCAGGTGTTTTGTCATAAGGTGGTGGCTGTAGTCTTTGGATCCCAGAGATTTGTGCCATGCTCGTTAACATTGTAAATGTTCTGTAAGATTTTTGGGGATGTGCCATAGAATGGGATCCTGAGCATGGAGTGTTCATGGGTGGGTGTCAGTGTAGTGGCTAAGAGCCTGTGCCAGGGCAAGGGGTGAGCTGGTGGGTTGCTCAGCTGTGAGACAGTACCTGGCCCATGTTAGTGGTGAGTGTGGAACAGTAGGTGGTCAGAGCTTAGGGAGGGCTGTGTGCTGTGACTTATCAACACGATTGTCGCTGAAGGTTTATAATCGAGAGATTCATGAATATAATCAGAATGTTCAGTGTGACTTAAAATGTCATATTAAGAGATTTCTGTTCTTATGTTGTGAAAAATGATTATCTAGATTATAAACTGATATATTTGGCAGAGATTTTGTTGGCACTGTTTACTTATGCGTAACTATTTGTGTTTTGTGACCTTGAGTTTTGAGGGAGAGTTGTTTGTTTTCTGTTTCTGAGGGTGTCTGTAACCTGTCAAGTAAAATTGGGGAAGAAGGGAATGTCTGCTTTACACATAGTGTTCTTCACTGAACATATATATGCTATGAACATATATCTGTGTTCATAGATACCTGCTTTGGAAATGGTTGACCTTATACCACTGTCACTTGTCTTAGGCTGGGTTCAGTGGTGGAAATGGTTATTGTTGTTTCTGTCTGGTGCTGTGAGAGGGCAGTTTAATAATAAAATGTCTTTATAGAGAGTTTGAGTGACATCCCAGCTGTGCTTCTGGCACACTAGAAAAGTGAAGGCAAATAAGCTGAGAATATGATTTCATTCTCTTCTGCGGCATTACTTTGTTCCTTACTCTGAGGGTGGTAACCAATGCTTAAGAAAACAACATGGAAGCTAAATAAGGACATACTTCCACAATTTTTAATGTAGAGATCTGAATGGCAGTTAGTTCTGCTGTGATGAATGCTTTTCTAATCTGCTGCTTTTTATCCTCCTGGTCTCCAAACTAGACTGACAACGTTCTTGAACCGGCTTCTTGTGTAGTTGTACTGTTTTGCTTCCACAAAGATAGTTTGCCTGCTAGTGTTGCTGCTGCCTGAGCCAAGACTTCAGTGGCTGCTTGTTGCCACCTCTTCTGTGGAATTAAATTGTAAGGCTCATATGTATCACGTGTACAGCCTTAGTACAACTCAAAGCAAAACATGACCTTCATTAAGTTCTTATCTGCTCACTCTTGCAAACTCAAAACTTTCTCTTTACTTTTGGGAGTACAAAAGTCTTAGGAGCATATTTTGTGCCAAAACAGAAAGGTTTATGCTTCACTAATCTTCCAAATTAAGAACAAGAAAAAAAAAAATCACTAATTGGTCAAGGGAAAATCTTTTAGGATCTCACTGGATTACTGCTGTTTTTTCTGATCTGTACCTTTGAGCTGGAGAGAAATGCATTCTACCAAAGTCAGACTCTTTCTTTTCAGCTATGCATTCTTTGTATTAACTGCTGATTTTGATTTTGTCTTCTCTATCTGTTGTTATTTTTTTTTGTTAAAATATGTTGTTGATGGCCAGGACGTTTCCCCCCACACCTGGAAATCTACCACTTGAAAAATATATTCCCTAACTACGTCACTAAGAAACTTTTGAAGGCATGTAGGAGATGCATGCTAAATTTTCTCTTAAAATGAAGTATCTTGATCCTCCTTAGGCTTGTATGTACTCTTCATTATGTGTAGTGTTGCATCCTTTACTGATTTTGTTCACAGATTGTTCCAAGCCTTGTGCTGATGTTTCACCTCCCAATAACTTGAGACTAGTTCTAGTGGGTTTGTAACTTCAATTATTTTACTGCTGCCTAGCAGTAAAATGAATGACACTATCAGTTCAGCAGGATTTTTTTTTTGTTCACACTACTACTGCTGTACAAAGCAGAGTAGGAGGAGTATTGAATGTTTCTTGAAGTTAGAAAGAAAACAGAGCCTTAGAAAAGGTAAGAGAGTGGGAGTAATGGATAAATTTTCTCTCTGCAGACAGAGAGGTGAATAGGAGGAAAGGTTTCTCTGGGGGTGTGGGTTGGAAATCAGCTGTATCATCAATTTTAGATCTGAATGTCTTTTGTAGTCAAGAATTCTGCTGCAACTCTTAGGGTCTGTGGAAGAAGTGAGGTGGCTTTCTGAGCACTGTCTGTTAGGAAAACTCGATATGGAATATTGATATAGGTTGAACTGTTGAAGACTTGTCTACAATACACAGTTAGGTAATTTTGGATATTCAGTCTCAGCTCCTTATGTAGAGGGCCACAAATGGGTAGGGCAAAGTTAAACCACTGTAGCACTTGTAAATGGTAGAAAATAAACCACATATTGTTAAAACAATATTTTAAAAGATGTTCTAAATCTCCTACTTAAAGAGGATACCCATTCTCTGGGTAAATAGTCTGTTGCAATTTTATGGTGTGTATCCGTTGCCAGAAAAGTGATTGAGCACAGCTTACAAAGGAGTGCCATCATACCAAGGCAAATTACTGTTTGTGTTGTTAGCTCAGGAACCCACATTTGTGGTGAGTACTATTTACGCCACTGACATTTTCAGTAGCCACTGCGTAGATAACCGTACACATGAGATGTTTCAGTTTGTTGACAGCTTGTATGAGTTGAGACTCACTGCGCCTGTTTTCAGAAGGCTCAGCTGTCAGGACAGTAGTTCTTAACATACCTTCCAGCCACGGTTATTTTCCTCTAAGTGAGACTGGTTTTGAGCACATTCACAAACGTTGGTTTCTGAAGGATGTTGGTTACAGTCTCACTTTGGCAGTCTGCAGTGAACCAACGGAGAGAAGTTTTGAATTTTCATGAATGCAGGTTTGGTTTTTTCTTTTTACTTTTTAGCAAGTCACCGTCACTGATGAGCCTGTGCCAACATCAGTCCTGTGAAGTAAGTAACTGATCAGGTCAAAGTAACCTGAAACGCAACTCTGTTACTGAAAGTAAACTTCCTACCTCGAGCCGCCAGTGCAGAGTGATGGGACGTAGTAGAGATAGCAGCGTCAGTTCTTTTTTATTCACTGTAAAGTTCACCTGCCAGATTTCCTCAGGCAAAACGAATGAATTTAAATAGTTTTCAAGATCGTACATGCCAGCTGGTTGCTAAATGTCTGGCATCAGCTGTACGCATTGGTATTTCTCCGTATGGTTAAGTGGGTTTGGACACAGGAAGAACTTGGACCTGCGGGTTTAACAAACTGAAGAACTGAAATGGGAATGTTAAAGCAGAAAATAGATGGATGTGTCCTTGCAGTCTCTCCACTTTTTACTTTTATTGAGATTATCGGCAGCTATAGGTTATATTGTAGAATGGTGAAATATTAGTACAAAGTTTGGGATACTCTTTCTTCAGACATCAGCTGTGAAGCATATCAGAAACTATTCTTTGTCATGCCAGTCTGCATCTCTTTCTCTGGAAAGCTAGCTTTTCTCAGTATACCTGTGCTTCTGAGTTTTTTTGGGTTTTTTTTTTTTTTTTTTTTTTTCTCCTCTGAAATCTCACAAATCTATTGAAATTTACTGCATTCCAGATAAAAAAAAAGAGAAATTTTGTTGGTTTTCTCTATGCATTTAGACTGGAACTTTCTTATGTTTTGTAATCATAAACATAACTTCCACCACGTGTCTTTTCCTGGAGACTACAGTACTTCTGAGCTGAAAACTGCAAAACAGTGTATGCATGCTGTCAGTGTTGCCTTTCAGTGAGAACAACTCATCTCATTTGCATCTTGAACTGATACAAATTTTCAACAGAAGATAGCAACATTTCTTCCCAAAAGAGCTGTTTTCTAATTGAGCTGCTTAAAATTGTAACATAGGCTCCTGTTCAATAGAATGAATTGGACAAAAAGCCCTAAGAGGGGCATGTTGGTATGGACTTGTCTGTATTTAGTGTTCTTTGGTCTTGTTTTTGCTGAAGGTTTGAAGCTGGCAGCCATTGCTTGGACAGGTATGCTTCACAGGGTACGAGACAGGCTGGAGGGCTGGGCCCAGAGCTTGGAGTTAAATCCAACTGGTGACTGGTCACAACTGGTGTTACTCAGGGATCAGAGTTGGGGATGGCCCTATTTAATATCTTTATTGATGATCTGGATGAGAGGATTGAATGCATCCTCAGTAAATCTGCAGATGATACCAAGCTGGGAGGACGTGTCGATCTGCCTGGCGGTAGGAGGCTCTGCAGCCAGCAGTGTGCCCAGGTGGCCGAGAAAGCCAATGGTATCCTGGCTTCTATTGGAGACAGTGCAGCCAGCAGGAGCTGGAGGTGATCATCCCACATACAGAGCAGCTCTGGTGAGGTCTCAAGATTTTAAGTAGAGTTTTGTTTCGGGTTCCTTCTTACAAGAAAGACACTGAGGCCCTGTGTCCAGAGAAGGGCAATGAAGCTGTGAGGGCTCTGGAGTGCAAGTGTTATGGGGAGCAGCTGAGGGAACTGTGATTGTTCAGTCAGGAGAAGAGAAGACTCAGGGGAGATATTATTGCTCTCTACAGCTCCTGTAAGGAAGTCGTGGTGAGGTAGGGTCAGCCTCTTCTCACAGATAATGGCAATAGGATGAGAAGGGATGGCCTTAAGTTGCACCTGAGGAGGTTCAGGTTGGATATTAGGAATAATTTCTTCTCAGGAGTGGTAAGGTATTGGCATGGGCTGCCCAGGAGGTGGTCCAGGGTCGTTGTCCCTGGAGATTTTCAAGAAGGGGGTTGATGTGGCACTGAGTGACATGGTTTAATGGGCATGATGGCGATGGGCTGACAGTTGGGCTAGATGATCTTAAGGGTCTTTTCCAACTTTTATGATTCTGTGAAATGCAGTGGGTTCCAAAGGGCAATCTGTCTAGTTGTCATCTTCACTGAACCATCTTTAGTTGAAAAAAGCACGTGTGTACTAGAATTCTTCAGTGAAATGTGCCCTGTGTAAATTAGATGCATGACCTCATTTGTGCTGCTGATTATTCCCTGCAGTGATGAAAAGCTGTCAATAAAGGTGGCTTTGAGAACCTTCCAGACTTGCAGATAATCAAAACCATAGCTAGATGAAACCTTGAGCAACATGATTGTAACTTGGAAATTGGTGCTCTCTGCAGCTCTCTGGAGGTTGGGTGGCTAGACGATTGTCAGAAGTTCTTTTTAACTGAAGTTGCTCTGAGATGTTAGCTATCCTATAAAGACCAGTCTTTCCAAAATCTTAAGTTATAAGGTATACTTTAGCTCCAGGAATGCTAGATGTGTATACTTAATGTTCTCTTACATTTCATTGTAGCTAAAAGTACAGGACTTGATATTTTATCAAGTCACTGACTTGGATGTATCTTCTTGTTTATGAAACAGCATTAATTGTTCATACTCACTCATCTGACTTTTTTTCTCTCCTCATCTTAAAAAACACTAGACTTCAGGAGAGTTGAACAGTAGTGAACAGCTCAGATAAACTGGAACACATAGAGAATAATAAAGTAATGCCCTACATGTAATCAGTATTGAAAGAAAGCATGCTATACTTAGCAGCTTTTGTCATTAGCCTGTCCTGTTTTGTCAGGTAAAAAGCAGGAGGCTGATGAATCAACTGGTGATGCTTCGGTTGAAGATGATTCCTTTGTCAAGGTAATAAAAGTATGTATTTTTTTTGTTTTGTTTTCAAAAATTGAAGTATATTCCAGTTTCTGTTTAAGTTCATTGTTTGGTTTTAGTTAAAGCGAAAACAAACAAACAAACAAACTTTGCAAAAACACTGATTTGTGTTGGTTTTTTTTTTTATTAATATATCCAGTGACAACAGTAATGTCAAATATTTGTTGTTTGCTCCAAACAGGAAAGTGAATTGGAGACTCAAGATACAAGCGATCAAGATGGAAATGATGAAGTGAAGGACTTTAAAGAATCTGCTGAAGACGAGAACTTGAACTCTAAAGAACTCCCCTCTGCAGAAAAGAAAAAATACCTCAACGTGGAGCCAGCAGAGACAACAGAAGATGTAGAAAAGGATTCTGAAAATCAGGTACTGTGTATTTTAAGTGCATTGTTATCAGCAACATGTATTCATGGGAAGTCAGAACTAGTTTTTCCACTTCATCTTGCTTTCTTATCTCTAGAAGATAGTTTGGAAATCTTTTTCTTTCTGTTTTTTTTTCTTGCTTTGTATCTGAATAGGCCTGAAATAAATGTGGTATTAATTGATAAAATTGTACCATAGTCCAAAATTGACTTCCCAGGTGATTCTTTTCCTTGTTATTAGTAATGACGTAGTTAGTCTGAACACTGAACTTGATTGGAGATGGAAGTCATGAAAAGTTCTCACTTTTCGATTGTATATTGATGTAGCTAAAATGTTTTGAGTTAACTGACTCTCTCAGCTCTGCTTGTTCTTTTTTTTCAAGTGTCGTAAAGCAAATCTCTTGCTGAGCAAGTTCCTTTTATGTTATTATAGGAAAATGAAGGTCAAGACATGGAGGATTACACTTTTCCAAGTGTCCACGTGAGTTCCAAATAATTTCTAATTGTTTTGCACATTAGCTAATTTTAGACTGCCTTTTGTTCCAGCTTGCATCTTAGGATGTTTACTGTTTGTTCTCATCTTCATTGTGCTGCATTAACAGAGCTTTTATTTGTTTGTTTGTTTTTAATAGAGCAAATAATTGTGACTTCCAAATAAGGCATCACATATAAATGCAAACTCCCATGTGTAATCTGGGACTATTCATTGCATAAACTTAGCAAGGAATGTTTTCTAAACTGTCTTAAAGGTGCTTTAGAGGGCTATGACAAATGATAACATAGTATATACAGCTGTTAGGCATGGAACTTCTGGTTTAAATTGGAAACGTGTCTCTGGGGAATGTTATTGTTTTGTTTTGATTTTTTTAATGCTAACATTTGTAACATCTCTAAGCTCAGAAATACAGTCTGAGTTACATGGAACTGACATCTCAAAAAGGGACATCTCATACATCATGTCTTATTAGAGGTGTTAGATTTTGACAAGAATTTACTTATTGTGTTTCACCTTGAAATACTGAATGAAAAGTCTGAAATGAGGTAGGCCTCCTTCTCATAAGCTTTCAAAGCCAGTGATGGAGTACTTAATTTTCACTGAAAATAGTGCTTAGAAGTGTGACATCCATCTGTTCTAAATGCTATAGCAGGACAGGGGACAGTTTGATGTTGCAGCCAATTGTAGGTGTTGCAGACAGATACTAGTGAGCTTTGGTACAAATTTTCAGTGATTTGACAAGGAAGGAACACAGTCTTAGTTTCTGTATCGTATTTTCTTTGGAAGTAGTGTCTCACTTATTTAATTAGCCTTCATGTGATTGAAGTTTGATGGAAAATATGAATTGTTCTACCTTAAGATCTAAAATAGAAGACATTTAGTCTTGACTTCCTTTTTCTTGCAGGATGGTGAAGATGAGGAAAATGAGAAAGGTATGTTTGAAGTTTAATATAGTTCAGAAGTCTTTAGCCTGGTAAGAGCAGGCAATTTTCTCTTGTAACATTTGGTCTCTTTACTAATCTTAGTCTTGTCTCCAGTATCAGTTGTTTCCTTATTAAGCTCAGCACCTGGAATCATTGCAGTCAATGGGTTTATCTCACTCTTAAGAGTTATTTTACTTTTAAGAGTTAATTACAGTACTTATCAGTTACTGTGGTGGATGTATAGTATAGTTGCAATACCATGAATCTTAAAAAATGAAAAACAAACACAAAAGCAACCATAGTATTCAAGGACTCTGATTCTAGTATACGGTAAGTCTTGATGCAAATGCTTCCAACTTGCACTGCAGTAACTGATGTTTAATTGAGTTGAAATGATACTCCCTTACACTGAACCTAAGCACCCAAAAATGTGTGGACCATCATATGCTTGGCTTACTGTCACTTGGAAATACCATTTGTATACAGAATGGTAAAACAAGTGTTTGGAAACCTGTGGAGTGGCTACCTTTATTTTAAAGCTGTACTCATTAGTGAAACTATGGAAGGAATATAATGCATTTGGGCAAACAGACTTTCTGGACAGAAGTCTTAAGGATTCTACGTACTGTGGACTAGAAAAGGACATGGAACATCACGTTACGCAAGATGGAATAAACACTGAAGTTACAGGATAAAACTACAGACTTCTTGTGTACGAGGGACCTACGACTGAAATATGTCCAGTGCAAGCTGAAGAACACCGTCTGAGGTGCCGGTGTAGGACTGAGATGGAAAATCTGTCCAGTGGATGAAGACTGAGAACCATCTGTCTACGAACTCTGGATTAAAGCTCACTCCTCTATTTTCTGCAGTAGCCTTGTACAGTTAACTTGACTGCCAAATGACAAGCTTGGAAAGGAAAAGCCAAAGATTACCAATGTGGAAGACTGACTGAAATTCTCCAAGACTGTAATACTTTTGGATTTGGGAAGGTTGGAAGTCTCAAAACCAGGAAGATTGAAAGCTGGATTAAACCAAACTGTGAGCATCCAAGGCAACTATTTTCTTATGACATGCTAAATCCTAAACTGGAAAATGGATACTTCTTATGAAGAACGGGTATCTCCAGGATGGAACCATATTCTGACTCCTAATATTTTGGTATTTGTCTCTAGGAAATGTGTTTTGCCATGAAGAATAAGTGATCCTGGGTAAAGGATTTATATTTGTGTTAATACACCTTGTGTTTTTTCCTAACCTTCCATCAGTGCTAATAACTGGCTTTGTATTTTCTAGGTCCTATTCTAGCATATGCATATGAAATTGTTTAAACTTCTTGTTTTGCCATATTTATTCCTGTTAAATCCTCTTAGATAAAGCAGGTTCTGGTGATGGTACACAAGAAGTATCTAAACCTCTTCCTTCAGAAGAAAGCCTAGCTGAGGCTGATCACACGGCTCACGAAGAGATGGAAGCTAACACGTCTGTGAAAGAAGCTGAGGATGATAACATATCGGTTACAATCCAGGCTGAAGATGCCATCACTCTGGATTTTGATGGTGATGACCTCCTAGAAACAGGTAAAAATGTGAAAATTACAGATTCTGAAGCAAGTAAGCCAAAGGATGGGCAGGATGCCATTTCACAGAGCCTGGAGAAGGAAAGCAAGGACTATGAGATGACTGAGAACCATAAAGATGGTAAGAAGGAAGACTGCGTGAAGGGTGATCCTGTCAAGAAGGAAGCCAGAGAAGGTTCAAAGAAAGCAGAATCTGGAGACAAAGAAAAGGATACTTTGAAGAAAGGTCCCTCGTCTACTGGGGCCTCTGGTCAAGCAAAGAGGTTTGTTTTTCTATGTCAGTTCTTTACGATACTGAGTGCCAGCATTCAATAAGATCACTCTACATTAAGGGGGTAGCAGCAAGAATCTTGTAATTAGTATCCTATGCTCCTGCCTATAGATTTTTTTGACCGCCATAAGTTACTTTTTAAAATTCAAGATCTTCGTATAGACACTATGTCCTACTGATTGCATTGTCGAATTGTCAGCATTTATTTATTTTTTTTTTCCAATTTGACAAGTTTTTTAAATGTCCTTGTGATGATGGTAATGAACAGCTATCAGTTCTAAGAACACAAAATGAAGTCAAGTCCCCGTCCTGAAATCTGGAGAAGATTGCCATATATCCACTGAATAGAGTTGTCAGAAAATCTAGATCTTCAGGCATCCTGGGGAAAATCAGTGCAAGAATCCATGAGGGAATCATTTGTTCAAATACACAGTCTAGCCTTTTTTTTTATTTTTTGAAATGTTAACTTGTCTGTTAGTATAAAATGCAATGCTTAGCAAATTCTGTATTTTCAATTTTCTTCTGATTTTTAATTTGCTTCTCTAGCTCTACTAAGGAATCTAAAGAAAGCAAGACAACGTCAAAGGATGATAAAGGTAACTATTACAAGTTAGGGCAGCACTGTCTTGAAGTCTTTCCCTTCGAGAACATCCTTGCTATGTATTAAAATGGCTTATATGATTGAACTTGTCTGTAGTAAATTGTGCCAGGGGTGCAGTAGTCACTAGCTCTTTGTGTGTGTCCTTCTTACAATGTCAGATTTCTTATAAGATCAAAAATACCTATTCTGGGGACTCAGTGGAAATATATTCTTCTATTTCAAAATACCGTTGTGAGCAAACTCAACATCTCCTAGGTGTTTGTTTTGATAAGAAGGTATCATTGTCAGATATGCTTGCTGTGACTTGACATCAGCCTAAAGGACTGATTGTATATACGCATAAAAATGTAAAAAAGCCACATGCAGTTACTAAATGTAACACCAGTTAAATTATTTGTTCAGACCTCAATTCTTGCTCGGTTTTAAATAAAGTGAACTTTCAGCTGCAGTGTAACACAGTTACATAGTTATACATAGTTATGTTAGCTGCAGCTAACATGCTGGCTAGCAAAATGGTGCATGTGGCTGTCAAGGCAGTAACGTTGGAAGCTCTTTGTATACCTTGGTGTTTCCTTCTGTTACCACAAAAACCAGGTTTACAATGAAAAATTCATATTGGAGCTCTGGTGTGCATTAATGTCGACAGTTATATGGATGCTTCAGAGCTGAGCAAATATATTCTTACAAGCTGATGTGCCTCCTTAATTTGCCTTTTTTGCTCTTTCCCAACAATCTTTATCAAAAAATCTCTCGTATCACAAAGGATGAATGGAACTTCACATGAGAAATGAAGTTTTTAGGAGAAATTTGTATGACAGACATAATTCAGTCATCTGTATATGCCTGTCTGCTCATGATAATTTTATATTTATGATGATTAAAGAAATGGCAAATCTGTTTCCATGTAGCATTTACAACATCTGTAATAGTCACTGTCATAAGGCTGTCTTAAAAATATAATATGCAAAGCCAAGATAGTTGCTACTTAATGATAAACTTAGTATATCACAGTTTATCAAGATAATCCAGGATTATAAAGATAAAGAAGATAGCTGAGGTTTTATTACCTTTTGCTCTTGGTCCATCTTGATGCGTTGAAGAAGGAAAGCCAGCTGTTTCTGAGGGTGGTTAAACTACCTTTGAAATCTGCACACCATCAGAGTTTCCAGCTGTTTAACTGGAGCTCCTGTGCTTGTCCAGCCTGTACAACCAGCTATGTTTGAACAGAAGCAGTCATACACCTAACAGCAAACAACAAGAAGCTGAACAAAACAGTACAAGAGATGTTGGGGATTTGTATGTGACTCTTGGGTTCTCAGTTCTGAGTTGTTACAATAATGGCTAAAACATGTTTGTTTTTTTCTTATGGATTTTTTTTTTTCTTTTTTCTATTTGTCCTTATTATTTTCCTTTATGTGCAAAATAACATTTGGTAAGCTACATCCAGCAGTGTGTTAAAAAGCTGCTCTGGATGGAGGGTAGCCACCAAGAAGCTGTGGAAGTAAACAGATTCTGGAGGCTAGGAAAAATGAGTTATGTTGAGGATTAACTGTCTCCTCCATTAACTCTTCAGTCATTGCTTTGGTAATTTGATTAGTGTAAAGACATAGTAACGAAAAGCAAATGTTGGGTGCGTTTCTAGATGGAAGTTACCATAAGAACCAGAAGTTGAAGCTTAATAAACTCACCTAAATAAGAAGTAAAGCATGCCTTAAACAGAGTGTTGTACGATTTCCTAGCTCTGTCAAGTAAGCCAAGCTGTTGGTCTCATTACGTGGGTGAATGAATGAATTCTTATGGTGCATATTTTTTTTATATAGAAGTCTTTTCAAGAAAGGTAACCGGATAAACAGTTACTTAAAGGTAACAGGCTAAGTTTCTCTTGTCAGCAACAGTTTAGTTCAATATTCATTGAATCTTTGTCTCCTTAATTCTGTTGGCTGTTTTGCAAAACTTGTTTCAGGAAGTGGAAGCAGTGCTAGTGGTAGCAGTGGAAGTTCAACTAGAAACCTGTGGGTTAGCGGACTCTCTTCCAACACAAAAGCTGCTGACTTGAAAAATCTCTTTGGAAAATATGGAAAGGTATTTCATCTGGTGTGATATTGTGTGTTGTGTGTGCCTCCTCCCTCATAACCCCTTGTTGTGGTTTATCCCAGCAGGCAGCTGAACACCACGCTGGGATGGTTTTCTCACTCCCTCCACTCCCAATGAGAGAGAATCAGGGGAAAAAAAACAACCTAAAACAACTACATACAACTTGTGGGTTGAGATAAAAGCTATTTACTAAGAGAGAAGAAAGGAGGGGGGGGAGGGCAGGAAGAGTTACAGTTATTACTATATATACAAACCAAGTGATGCCCTGTGCATATCCTCACCTCCTGCCAACTGACGCCCAGCCAGTCCCCAAGCTGCAGCAGCTCTCAGACCAACTCCCCACTGTTTTCAGGCTTTTCCCACATGATGTCATATGGAGTATCCCTTTGGCCAGTTTAGGTCAGCTCTCCTGGTTCTGTCCCTTCCCAGCTCCTTGTCTCCCTCAGCCTCTCTCACTGGCAGGACAGTATAAGGATCTGAGAAACCGAAATGGCCTTGGCTCTGTACAGCACTGCTCAGCAAGAACTGTAAACTGGTGTGTTATCAGCACTGTTTTTCTCCTAAAGCCAAAACACAGAATTCATACCATACTGTAAAGGAGAAATTAGCTCTGTCCCAGCTGAAACCATGACACCCTTACTCTATGCAAATACAGAAATTGACTATTACTTCATTTAAACACAAATCTGAGATGAAATATCTGACCATTATAACCTAAAAAAACCCGCGGTACATTCAGAACCTTAAGCTAGAATTTGTACTTACAGGAAGACCTATTACTTCATAAGTTGTTTTCCTTTTGAGGTAAGGTATAAATGGCACTAACATTGAGGTCAGGACTGATTTTAAGCCTTGAGATTTTGTTTTTAGTTGAATAGCCATGGCTAAGTTCTTCTGCAGCAACTGTATCTAAGATTGAAAAACTTACTAAAAAAATAAGTGTTCTAAGGGCTTCTTAGTGGGGGAAAAATAAGCCAAGATATATGACTGCTAATGTCTACTCTTCTGGGGACTCTTCTTATGAAGTTTATTACAGACTGCTCAAACTAAGTCAGTTTTCCTGGATTTTGGGTTAGTATGGGAATTCTATGAATCTGGTTTTTATAATAAATTAAGAAGGCAGTTTTATTTAATGACTTCATGAGTAGTGAAACGTAAGAGTCTGTTTTGTTAAAATTTCCAATTCTCTGCTTGTTTTTGCTTGATAGATGTTTAGCAGCTGTATGTACTTCTGTACCCACTTTTAAGTAAATGGGGAAAAATGTAATGACTAAATGACTGCAGGCTGCTAAATGATTGAATTAATGCACTATAAATTGTGTCAACCAATAAGACTTGCTCCTGTTGTTACTGAAATTCTAACAAGGAGCCACAACACAAGACTTCATGTTTTCTCAAGAGGCACATGTCTAAGAGTTGGTTACCAAAGCTGCATTTGGTAGTTACCTTTTAAAGAACTTTTTGCCTCAAGGAATATTAGGCAGCAATTTACTATACCTTCTTGTGATTAATTGGCAGCGGCTGACCTGTTTCTTTTATGCATGTTCATCCATTATAGATGAAACATCAATTTTAGATCAGCATGAATTTTGATGGTGGTTCTCAAAAAAAAAAAAGAGAGGTGAGGTAACACGCGTGAGGTTGTTACTGGCCAAAACATGACATACACTTTAATTTGCCATAATTTGGAAGTTGGGATAAAGGTTTTGAAAAGGTGTGGTTGTTTGCTTTACAAAACTTGTAGCGTTTTTCCTTCTAATAGGGTGAGGTTTTTGTTGTTGTTGTTGTTCCCTATATACTAGGGTGAAAAGGTTATTGGCATATCATCTGTTCCTCACTAGAAATCTATTTCTAAAGACCTAATCTTCACCTGCTTATGTAGGTACTTGGTGCAAAGGTGGTCACAAACGCACGAAGTCCGGGGGCAAAATGTTACGGCATAGTAACCATGTCTTCTAGTACAGAAGTGGCCAGATGTATCGCCCACCTTCATCGGACAGAGCTGCACGGACAACAAATTTCTGTTGAGAAAGTAGGTTTAATAAGATGAAAAGCTCACCCAAATAGACCATCTTGGATAAAAATCTGTATTAACATATTTGCTTTTGAAAAAAATGTAGGTGAAAGGCGATCCCTCCAAAAAGGAGCTGAAGAAGGAAAGCGATGAGAAATCCAGCTCCAGTAGAAGCACAGGAGATAAGAAAACCACATCAAGTGATAAAACCAGCAAGTAAGAACATTCACATGTCTCCTAAAGTTGTGAAAATCCCTTAAGTTGAATTTCCTCACTGTGTTTGTGTGTTTCTCTCCTAACAAGAACACCGTCAACCAAAAAAGAAGAGAAGAAATCTGAGAAATCTGAAAAAAAAGAAAGTAAAGAAGCCAAGAAAACAGAAGGTAAAGATGAGAAGAGTGATAATGGAGCAAGTGGCCCTAATCAAGAATCCACTAAAAAAACTGAAGAAAAGAAAAGAATAAGTATGCAATATAGCCATGTTTCCTCCTTGTGAATCTGTGTCTGACTTGTTTGGGGGGCATGTTCTTGCTTTTAGTTGGAAAGAAAATAATTAACCACTGATTCATCTCTACAATCCAGCAATATCTATTGCTTCAGACCCAATGTGAAGTTCCATGCATCATACTACTGCTTAGCTACAGAAATGTGCTGGCATGCTTCTGCTACCAGTAGCACTTCAGTGACATTTCTGAATCTCCAAGTCAATGAATATCTGTAATAAGCAAATGAAGACTCTGTTTTAAAAAAATCCCCCCCCCCCCCCCCCCCCCTTTTTTTTCCTTCTTTATTCCCTAGGTGGTAAAAGCCCAGGTCATGTTGTAGTTCTTGACCAAACAAAAGGAGACCAAGGCCACTCTAGGACAGTGAGAAGGGGAAGGTTTGAGAAAGTAAGTATCTGTCAATTTACTGGAATCCTTATGATTTGATGCTACCTTACACACATATCATTATTATTTTTTTCCTGATGAGTCTGTGAAGTATCATAAACTACTAAGCTTAGATAGAAGCTTTCTATGCTCAGTAGTTAATGGTATTTGAACGTAGCATCCAGAAATCTCCCTAAGTGAATGAGACTTCTGAAATAACCATTGTAATCTCTGTCTATAGCCACAGATATTGAGGAACAAAGAGCGTATTATTCAAGATAAAGTGAAATTCAGGGAATACAGGGGTAGAAAGGATATCTTGCCTTTTGAAAAGATGAAGGAACAGAGATTGCGAGAACACATGGTTCGATTGGAAAGAATACGACGAGCTGTTGAACTCCGAAGGTAGTAATTCAACTTTTTGCTAAAGGCTATTTTACACATTAATTGATCAGATACTTTATTTAGAAACCTAATTAGAATGTATTCCGTCAAACCTTTCACTCAGATGTTAAAGTCTGAGGTTGTGCCTAACAGTACCCTTATACAAATAAAATGACTCACAATTTTTTGTTTAATACTTCAAAAGCCATATGTGTATGTGCATAGCTTAGTGCTTGTTAGTGGGGGTGTGACTGCATGCTAGTTTGCTTTGTGAAAGACAAGAAGTTGAATAGGAGATGTGGCCAAAAATAGTAATTTTTAGAGATCTATTACATGCCTTAATGATGAATCGAGCATAATACCCTCTTGTCTCTTACATAAAAGGACTAAATGGCTACTTTCTTTTATTCTGTTTGTTTTATGTGACAAAAAGTTTGCAGAGAATAGTCAAGTGTGCTTTTAATTGGATTTCCCAAAACAAAGGAATTTCTAGCAAGCATAGATCTTACAGGAGAAAATACCTTTCCTGCTTCCTGTAAGCTGTTCCATTGGAGGTGGGGATGAAGGAAACACACAAGAATACTGTCTGTGCAAGTCGGAACAGTCATGTTTTTCTGTCTCATTTTTGGACAGAAAGTAATTAAAATTTTGTTAGTCTGAAGTGTGCAGCAGCTTAAAGTATTCTTAAGATCAAAACGGTATTATTTGCTAGGCTACTGTTGTACCTGCCAGATAACAATGCAGCAGTATGAATCATGGAAAAAAAAAATAATCGGAATGATAATTTATGACTTAAATGTTTCAGTAGCTGTTGTCTACTTAAGTGGTTCTGTAGAATACAGTTTGGCTACTTAGAGCTAAAAGGAGTAGGCTTCTCTCAGTACTAGCCTTCTCACAAATAGTTTATGAATGTCTGTGCCTATGGTGATGTTAGTTTTAGAGGAGAAACTTTTCCAATTCAGTTTCTGCTACCTCTTTTTGTTGTTTTTATTGTCTTTCTTCAGGAGAAGAGAAATTGCTGAGAGGGAACGTCGGGAGAGAGAACGTATACGAATAATGCACGAACGAGAAGAATGCTTGCAGAGAGAAAGGGAACGATTAGAAATTGAAAGGCAAAAGCTAGAGAGGGAAAGGATGGAACGAGAGCGTTTGGAAAGAGAGCGTGTTCGTATTGAACAGGTATACTTCTTGTAGTTCAGACTATAATGCACTGTCAGTTGAGGACTGTAACTCACTTTGCACTTGGTATGAATTTCTCTTTGGCCTTCCACTCAGGCCTGAAAAGAACCACCCCAACAATAAATAGGCAACATTGCAAAACAGCAGCAGCAGTCTTTACCTTGTTTGACTAGTAATTTGATAGCAAGTTCTTGATACAGTAGTGTCTGTCAGAAACACTAATACTGAAGTTCAGTAGGTGACATTGCTTCTACTAGCTACTCTTAAGTAATTTTACTAGCTTTTTCCTAGAGAACAGTGGTATAGCAAACTTAATGAGCTGTATTTCTGGGCAGTGAACATATTAGTAACATGAGGAAGCACTTGGAGATTTTTATACCTAACAGATGCATTGTCTCTTCTTCAGAGAAATATTCCTTCATGCTCTTGAGTCTTGGATGCTATCCAAGCATGAATTGTATCAGACAGCCTTTAGTAGAAAACTGTCAAACGTTAGTTCTGTATACTTACTGAGTGTTTCATAGGAATCTCTAATTAGAGCTCTTGTGTCTGATGTGTTTCTTTACCCATCCCTTTCATGGTAGGAACGTCGAAAAGAAGCAGAGCGTATTGCTCGTGAAAGGGAGGAACTTCGTCGACAACAACAACAGCTTCGCTATGAACAGGAAAAGAGGAACGCTTTGAAACGTCCACGTGATGTAGATCACAGGTAATCTAGTTCTGAAAGCGTTGTTTTATAACCCTTACAAAGAGCTGGGAGCTGTTTGTGACTTGAAAATGTGGTTGTATCTGAAACAAGTCTAAACAGAAGAACTGAATTTCTGGTATTTATTTTTGACATCAGTGTATGTCAGGTGTGAAACGTGGTATCTGTATCAGAGAGCTTTGACATAGAAGCATCCCATTAATTAATTCTTACTGTACCAAAAGTACAATTGAGTGCATTTGCTGAGAAAAGCTATTCTTCTGCCTTAACGGCCAAAATTTCCAGATTCTAATTCATTAAGAATTTACTTTCCTGATAAATTAATGGTTCAGAGGAGCCAGTGTGCTGGCTTTTTGTTTGTGCTGAAATTGATGACTTGTACCACTGGCTGCTTGAGCCACCTGAATCAAAGCTCAGAAGTAGTTTCTATAGTTGAGAAAATAGGTCTGAGATCTTAGCCATGAAGTTGACTTAAGGGAGGCACAATAGAAGGCAACTGTAAGGTCTCATGCTAGAGACAATAGCAGAACACTGAAGTACATGAAAATGAAGCTGTCTTTATTCCCCACATGAAGTAACAGTGTCTTGCCTTCTCATCGTGAAGACTGCACCTGAGTGCTTCTGATGATCAAGGAGGTGATGCTTTCTGCACTGTTCCTTTCTGAGAAAGCTGTTTTGATTATTATTTTTTTTTATCTAGAAAGCTGCTGTTATTATTTATTCTGGAAGACTTTTGATGGCAGAATTTTGGTTGGATTCTTCTATACTGATGGTATCTAAAATCTAAGCTACAAAATACTGTTGATGGGTAGTCTAAAGAAACAAAAAACACCAAAAACATTTTTCTTACATTTATCAATCTGACACAATCTTATTCCTTTAGAAGCTTTACAAGGGTCCAAATGCTTGCCTTTAAAGCAGACGACTGATGCATAATTGAAACTATTTTCTGTATTATTAGGCTGTGATTTGGATACATGTAATTGATGATGGCTCCTTTGTTTCTCTTAAAGGAGAGATGATCCTTACTGGAGTGAGAGTAAGAAGATGGCTCTTGATACAGATGCACGTTTTAGTCATAGTTCAGATTACAGCCGCCAGCCGAACAGATTTAATGATTTTGATCACAGAGAACGGGGGCGATATCCAGAAGGTTCTGTTCCATCGTCGTCTTTTGACAGGTAAGTTATGATAATGGGGCAGCAGGTATTGGACTGCCAACATCTTTAAATTTAGAATAGTTAAAGATGTCATTGTGCAGCAACAGAATTGTATCAGTGTCTAGAAATCACTTCAGGACTGGCCATTTATATGTTTTTTTCCTGGAGATGTTACATTGCTGCATGGTGATCTTTTCATCATGTTACAAAAGAAATTTTGCAATTACTCTTCTTTTATACCTTGTCACAAATGGGTTCTCATGAATTAGACCTTTCCTGCTTGGTTAATTAATCTCCTTAAGAAGCAAGGCTAAATCTAGCATTCCCTGTGCTTCATACCAGGAAGGTAAAAAGGAGACCCTACAAGAGCTTCAATATTGTAGACGCCAAACTACACACAGAAAAATCCACTGAAAAATGTTCAGATGGATTTAAGAACTCAAGCTTAAAATGCTAACTGTAAAGATAAATGTAATTCAGTGTGTAAGGATTCTTGCAATGTATACCATGTAAAAAGATGAATAGTATTTTTAAATATGATTATATGAATAGTATCTCCTAACCTCTGAGCTTATATTTAAGGAGAAAAGGGAAGAATGGAAGACAAGCAAATGACTTTTTCCTGCTTTAACAACCTAGGCGAGAACGATTTGTAAATCAAGGTGAAGCAAAAAAGACTCGCCCAACAGCACGAAGAGAAGAACCAGGGTTTGAGAGATACCCAAAGAATTTCAGTGACTCCCGAAGAAATGAGCCGCCACCACCAAGAGGTGAACTTCGAGATACAGACAGACGGGAAGTGCGAGGAGACAGAGATGAAAGAAGAACAGTGATCATTCATGACAGACCTGAAATACCACACGGTCGACATCCAAGAGAGACTGGTTCAAATCCACCTAGGCAAACAAATTGGAAGAACGAGGGAAGCATAAGCACAGACAAACGTGATGGCAGGTAAACTTCCTGGATATACAACTAGTGAAAGTAGTGATTCTTGTAGAATTTATCCATGGTAATAATGCCTCCAGAACTGATGGGTAAAGAGAGAACAGTTTTCCTCCTAAAGACTAGCAAAGTCTCTTTCCAAAACAGTAGGAAAAGCTTGATGATTACTCTGTCGCATATGCTAAACATCAGTAAACTCTATGCTGACACCTAGCAGTCTATTCTTATTCATATGAATATGCATAATTATGCATAGAGATATATAGGAAGGAGGCTTTTTATGTGAGAATGCTGATATAAACAAATACATGCAAACTTTTCAATATTTAGCGAGCCATGTAGATTTAAAACAATGTTTCCAAGAATCCAACTGCAAGTTGCTAGCAATATGGAGTTTTACAAGTCTGTTAGGTTTTGATATCTATTATATTATACTGAAACCACAATTTTGATAAAAGCAACTTTTACAGAGGTGAGAGGCCAGATCGGTCAGGAAGAGAAGTGTCTGGACATGTAAGAGGTGCACCTCCTGGGAGCCGAAGCAGCGCTTCTGGGTATGGAAGCAGGGAAGGAGAACGAGGAGTGATGGGAGAACGAGGTGGTGGAGGACAAGTAAGTAATTCTTTGTTTATGCACGAGGCAGGAAGAAACTGAGAAATAAAAAATCATGCTGGAAAAATCAGCTGACCACATAGCATCAGATAAATCATAACAAGCATTCTAACTAGCTTAAAACTGCTTGTTTCCCTTTAAATAGTGTTTGTATTGCTTTTTTCCTTAATTAAGCTAAAGTGTCTGCAGAAAACATACCCAGTTCTTAAGTCTAGTTTCTTTCAGGTGGGTCAGAACAGCATGTGAATGAGTTGCTGATTAGGCTTTTCATAATGTGTTACGATAGTATTTTCAGGTTCTTAATCTGACACTGCATGTTATTTGCAGTGTACTTCTTAGTGAGAAAACATTCTGTATGATTTGTCTTGAGAGCCAACAGCCTAAATTTTTCATGCGACTCTCAACTGAAGCATTTAACGTTTCTTTCTGCAGATACATGGAACATACTTATTTAGTTGTTATGTGCTTGGGGTAGAACTGGGAGTAAATTACAAGCTCATGAAACTTCACCCTTTGCACACTCATTACTGCAAAATAGTTCCATTTTGATATCTAGAGTTACTTTAACAAGACTTATTTTAAGATTTAGATGCTTATGGATTGAAAGCCCAAACTACTACATTTTAAGTAGTAACGCTGGAGAGTTCTGGGCTTAGCTTTCTTGAAAAACTCACTTCATGTTGATGATGAAATAGGCCTTTCATTCTTAAAATAACTTTCTTGCTAGCACTACAATGAAGACAGACATGTTGTTGAACGGCACAGTCGTGAAACTGGACCAAGGAAAGAGTGGCATGGACCTAGTTCTCAAGGAAGTGGGTATCATGATGCAAGGAGAATGGGAGATGGCCGTGGAGGAAGTGGCATGATGTCTCCACACACGAGGTACAAAAATTGTTCCTTCCTTCGACTTCCCCACTGAGCTCCCAGTGTGCACATTATCCTTTAGAAGTGCAGTAGACTCAGCGTAGCAGCGAGGGCTTGCTGCTGTGCAACATGCAATCCGTCCTTAAATGCCAGAACTTGGCTCCACAGTTCTTGTTCTGCTAGTGCTGTTCAATTGCAAACTCAGAAGCTTCCTGTAAAGCCTCTTGTCTTGAATGGTTTGAAGATTCCTTTGAGACTTAACAGTTAAGTGAGATGAGAAGTATGGATGTTCTTATCTGTGCACCAAGAGTGTAGACTCTTTTGATAACACTTCTTTAACACCTTTGTTTCCAGTAACTCGTCACCAATAAATAGAGTTGTACAGATCACAGGGAATTCCATGCAGAGGGGCAGTGGCTCAGGATTTAAGCCATTTAAAGGTGGACCTCCACGAAGATTCTAAGATCTACAGCTGCTTGGTTTCAAGATAACTTATTGAAATTTCTTGTAAACTTTCTCTGATTAAAAACAGGAAATCTTGTCCAGAACTCCTGATTAAATTTTTTTAATTTAACATGCTTACTTTCCTCTCAATTTTGGAGGCATTTTAATAGTTACGTTGTAATTTTGGATAGTTTTTGTGTATCTTTGATAAGCATTTTCCCTGAGGCACTAGAGCTGTATAAAGACAAATTGGAACCAAAATATTTGTTAATCTTGTATAAAAGAATGGGTTGCAGCTGTGTGCTAGTTTGATTTACCAGCATTAGCTCTGTGGTGTCATGCTTTAAAGTTGGCTCCTTCTCACAACATACACAGCTATAACCTCCGTTTTGAAGGTTGTCCAGGCTATTCTCTCTGCTTTCTAATTTGTAGAGAAATAAGATTGTTCTTTCATTACTGGGTATTATGTAACCTATTTTTGCAGAAGGTACTGTTACATTGAGTGCATTTATGTGTATTCTTGCAAATGTATTCTTTTGAAATAAACCTTCATATTCTGTATAGCTTCTATTAAGTCTTTGGAACCAGTCTTGGGGGAAAGAAGAAATAATGAAACTGACAAGTTGGCATGGCAAGTCAAAAACAATATTGACAAGCCCTTCTGAAGAACATGAATATTTAAAGCTCATTCAGTATTTATACATCTGAACACTGGATCTTGTAAAGAAAAAAAAGTGTCTTTAAAGTAAAATTCAGATAAGGGCTAAAAGCAGTTACTGGCTCAGACTGTCGTAGCTATCGAGTTTAAGGGAAGGGCGAGTAAGAGCAGCCTGCTCTTGGCCATGCTGTTACTCATTTGGTGCGTGCAGGGACTGTTAAGCATCTGGAACGTTCCAGAAAACTGAAATAAAGTGAGTTACATTGTTTTCCTGTAAATAACCTTTCAGGAAAGGTGGGAGGGAATTGACTGGTGCAACAGTTTCTATAATTTATCTTTTATAAATATTCCTTACGTTTAAATAAAAAATGCTATATTAGCAAGTGTTTGGATATTTATCTGAAAAGTAATTTAATGCATCTATCTCAGTTCTTATTACTATTGGGTTTAAGACTTTTTACAGTAGATTATAAGTACAAGTTACTAAGCTAGAGAGTACTTGAAAATTATGCAATTTGACTGTAATATGTGCTTCAAAAGTGACAACACAAAATATGTAGCTACTGGAGGATGAGTTTGCAGTCACTGATGGATTGAATAAGAAATATGAAAGTTAAAGGCAAAGCCAGGCAAGCAGCACAGAAATAAAACTAGAGGGGTGAGTCTTCATCTTGCCTGCAGTAGTCTAGATGTGCACTGAAGCCTCTACAGGCATAATGTTTCTTAGTGTTATTTTGCTTATTTATTTTAAAAACTGCATACGTGGATATGCTGAACTGAAACTAAGTGAAAAATTAACTACAAACAAATGGCCTCAAACTTTGACTTTTGAAAGTATTTAGGTAAACTGAAGTCTGTCCTTCTGCACTGTGGCTTTTATTTGAATACTTCATCCAGCCTTGACTACTATGAATGAGTTTAAATACCTAAATGAAATTTATTTACAGATGATGATTTTCAGAAGGCTATTAATCAAAATAGATCTTATCAGGGTAAAGATTTTAAACTATAGTGACATTCTTTAAAAAGTAACTTAGCAATATTGTTCTTGTGGTACAAAACAAAAGGGGTATTAAACTTTACGAAGATTTAAGTGTTCAAAATTAACGATTTACAAGGAAAGTGTCCATTCCTTATCATAGTCTCTAAAAAATAAATACAACATAAACAATTAAGGCTTTGAAAATACAAAACAGGCAGTAGGTGATAGCATCGCAATACTGGGTAATGGTGCAGCATCAAAATGGACAGGTTTTCCATCACATACTTGGGTATGAACGATAGTGTGTGAATGGATTTAGTTGTGTCATACTTGTAAAACACGTCTTTACAACTTCAAACTTCTTCCCTTTTCCAGTACATCGATAGTAGATTCTGTATATTTCCTGTTAAACCAGACCATTTATATTACAGATAAGCTTTGAGCTCACAACTAAATCAGAAGTTTAAGACAGCTAAGCAATTGCACAGTTGCAGTAGGTCTACGCACAGCAGCTTGAACACAGGGATCTTTTTCAAGACGGAAATCTAGTGCTTTTCTGAAGTAACTTTTGGCTTTGAATTACTTGGTTAAAACATAGTATCAAGACAACATGGTAAGAAAGTCAACCGTGCAGAATTCACCAATTCACAATTCACTTGAGTTTCATTCTTTTATAGGTTTTTAAAGAACATGGGCAAAGTTAAAGTATGTAAGAAACACAGAAATGCAAACATACTGCTGTAATTAGAGCATATCAAATGAATATGTAATTATTACAACTACTCAGGATAAAAATGCAAATTGCTGAATTATAAGTAGTTTAAAAATTCCCAGGCAGGTTCACTGTATCTGTAATAGTCTTTAAGACAACCAGCTAGTAAACTTTTGCAAGTGAAAGAAAAGTTTTATTTCCAAAAGCAGTAATTATTTTTTTTTCTGTAGTAAATAGAACTCCATTTTAAAGTCTACCACAGCTGTAACTGGCAAAAAAAAAAAACAAAAACAAAGCAGAACATTTTATTTATTCACCTCATATAAAATCTGCTTTGAAGCTAAAGGACTCCACCAAAAGCCAGCTATAAACAAAAGCAGTAATTAACATAAAACAGCTTTTTGGCTGTAGTTAATCTGCCATAAAACAATAATGATGAAAAACCAACCTACAGTTAAGAGAACAGTTGTTGCCTTAGCACTAAAATACTGAGGAGAAAATAAACTTTTCTTTGATATAGGCAGAGTACTGAATATGCACACTAAAAACACAAAGGGCAATTTGACAGTAGACTTGCTTAAAAAAGTAAACTCTTGTTTACTCCAAGATTTCCCAATTGTAATTAATTGCATGACTGGCGTGCTTAAGCCTCCACTGAAACGCCATGTTTCAGTTTCTTCCTCATTCATTTCAGTATGAGGTTGGACTGGAGAGACAATCAAAAAATTTGGGGTGCTAGAAGTATTGAAATACTGCTCCTGAAGTTTAAAGGATCCAAGAACACATTCAGCCACCAGCAGTCACTGTAAGGTAGTTTTGAACTGTTAACTATAGCAACACACAATGATAACTAAAGTTGAAAAAACAGCATTTATAAATAAATCCGTTCCTAACTGTATTTCTAGAGCAAAGGCTTGTTACTGATGAAGCAATTTATCAATTCTAAAAGGTGATTGCAACATACATAAGCAAATACAACGTTTTCATACAAAATTAAATTTCATAGTGTTTTCCCCCCTCAACATTATCATCCCTATAACTGTACTACAAAAGAAAAAACACTGTGTCAAATTTCATTACATTTCCTACTCAAAGTTTTTTTTATTGATTTCCCAAGACTAAAAATTCCAAAAAGAACAGTTTAAGGTCTTTTGAAAGTCTATTAAGAAAGCAGTCATCTAATTGTATAGTTTGTTTTTTTTTCCCACAACAAAGAAGTGCACCTTTGGCATGGGCTGAAATATTCATGCTATCAGTCCAAATAATGAATTGCAGTATGGACTTAGCACAGTCAGATACTTGGATGTGACACATTGCATGGTGAAGCTCATACTGTCCTGTCTGCAGTAGCAATACAGTATTGTTAGTGCTACTTCATCCACCTCTCTGGATTCTGCTCAGGAGATCTCAGTTTGTGTGAGCTAAAGGCACTGTCTCACATCACTCGTAGATCACTTTCCTTGTTTAAGTGATGCATATTGTGAAATTCATAAACTGCACAGGACTTGAACTGAAAGGACATTCTCAATTAATTGAAATAAATATAAAACTTGTGCAAGTTTTTATGCCCCTACCCAGCACCAAGATTTGGCTCGGTGTTTGGCTGTAGCGTAGTCAAATTTCACTCACTTTTGGCCTCAGTAAGGCTGTTAGCCACAGCACCAGCACCTACTTCCTTAGAAGTGTGACTCAATTAGTGACGTGAGCACTGACAGTGCCTTTTCATACTGTTACAAAATAGTTTGTTCAAAATAGTTTGTTGTTAAGTACACTGTTTAGGCTAAAACATGCTGAGTACTGTTGCTAAGCTGAATCATTCCCCCTATGCATTTCCCAAGCCTAGCGTCTTGTTCAAAGTTGTTCTTTGCTGCCATGTAGAAGCACACATGGTATTTTGACTTCTGAAGATAATCAGGTACTTCAATTTCTCAGAAAATAATGAATTGTTCATTGCAACCTTCAAGAGCAAAAGTAAAAGTATAAACCAGAACAGTAACGTTAAAGGCAGTAAAGAACTTAAAGCAAGTTCTCCAGAGGTAATTCTTCAGGTAAGAGAGCTCAAAGTGGCACAGCTGACAAAATCAAAACTCACCAGTAGGCAACAGACATTTAATAAAAATTCTGAATCATCAGAGGGGCTGAACAGCTAGCCTTGGCCTAGAAACACTATGACAGTGAAGAGGAGATGAACTGGGACAGACACGGAGCAATTATGCTGGTCATTACTTAGGTGAGAAGATTTGGCCAGTCCATGCTGTACTACAGGTATTTATTATGCTACAGCAAAATTAGGGATGAATCCCTTCCCAGTTTCAAGAAAATTACGTGGCACAGAGAACTTTATGTTCTAGTCACTTCACTCAGTTTCCCCACCATGCTTCTTCATAGGAAGTGGTAACTGAGTGTCAATACATTGCTCTTCTGCTGGACAACTACAAAAACAAGCTGTTAACAAGACGGAGCTATATAAAAACACAGTGAAAATTAACATCAAAGAGATTTCTGTGTAGGTGGATTTGGATGAGTGTTATTTATCTCACCAGATCATCCTCCTCAACATAACACTGCAACCAGTCTAGTGCTGAATATGCTTAACAGAAAATAAAGTAACTGCACAAAACAAAATACACACATTAATAAATTGACATTTGTTATCACTGGACTATGTGAACACATATCAGTGTCAGATTTTTCTTGTTACCAAAGTCTTAGAGGATAGATGGAGAACTGTGAGCACTGCATTTCAACCAAACTAAAGGCTGTTATTTTTGCTTTTCTGCAATATGCCTTCTAGCAAGGACACTGCATCAATTAGCCTGCATTTGTTGAGTCATCTCTTTAAGACTTCAACCTCTCAGAGTCTGTTTCTGTATAAAATACAGTTCTTAATTCATTACGTTGTATTTAAAGATTTACATAGTATAAATTTCAGCTACTGCAGTAAGCATCCTGACAGTAAAAAAAAATTGCTTTAGGCAATCAGTTACCTTTGGGTTATAGGACTATCATAGGAGGGAAAAAGGGCTCAGTTACAAGTATATCAGCTTCACATTTTACTGTGGTATTTCCTGCTGAATACACTGGAAGATGCAATTTCAAGAAGCTGAATTACCTTTTATTGCATAACTGGAAACTTTTTTCAAGAACTTGTGTATACAATTTTGAAGAATTATGTGACAGTGATGTGAAATATCGAGTGTAGAGACTGACTATCAATCCAATGCAAGTGTATACAGAAGAGCATATGCTGCACTTTTGAACTCTCATGTCTGTGATGCACAAGAAGAGCTCTGTTAAGACAATCTGAATGCATTCTTTGTTATATTAAGTGGATTGCTTGCTACAAAAAAATGTTTTTTGCATTGTATTTTCAGGAATGTTAATTTCTCGTTACAATCTTCACTTGGATCTGCTTTGTTGGGCCTCAGATTACATATTAATGTCACTTAAGAAAAGTGATAGATTTGAGCATTTATAAAGTGCCTTTTAGAACAACATTTAACACTATGGCAGTGCTCGACTTTTTGCTAGTTTCAATACCTGTACTGAGCTTTATTACACAGCTGTAACATAACAAGAAGGAATTCTATGATTCTGTCTTCTGTGCTAGCTTTTATCTAGTGGAAAACAAGCTCTACTCTACTTTTATGACACTTTCATATACATTTTGTAGGTAGTTGTAGTGTGTACATGCTAAATTCTACAACAAATTTAAAGCCTAAGTCAAGGATAACTTTTTTTGCCAGAACATGAGCTTTGAAAAAGAGCATAAGTGAAGTAAATAGAGCCAGAAGTACACAGCATCTTTGCTGGTGCTCCCTGCTTACTTTGTGATACTGTTTTCCAAGTTCACTACTACAGATAAAAGAGGTTCTGTTCAGCTTTTAATTCATCACATATTGTCTTATATACCAACTGTGACAGTTACTTTTGAAGTAGTTAGTCACAGTAGGCATTAATTAAGCTTCCAGATGCTTAAATTTTGGATGTTAACAAGCTCACCTTACTTATAACTTTTGCCACTAGCAAACTCAACCCATGCAGAACGATGCCCTAGATCTCAGGAGTTCTTTAGCTTTTCTCCAAAGCCTTGAGTCCTGTAAAGAAAACAGTGTATTAACAGAAAACTGTATGAATAGCATCCCTGTCATCTCAAATAACCTGAAAACTTTACTCTTATTGAAAAAGAAACAGAATTACTGGGGAGTCCAGACTTACTTTGTGATGAACGATGACATTTAACTTTTCTTTCATTGTGACCAAATGGCACTGTGATCACTACAGTACATAAGGCTTCAGGCACATCTGTCTGAAACTAGAAATACTACAAGAATTATTCTAATGCAAGCAAGTATTTCAGGCAAAAAGCATCTACGACAGCCACAATGCCTGTTCAAATCAAATTTGTTACAGAACTTAAAGTGGCAACACTGTACTGAAAATAAGAAGATAACAAACACTTAGCTTGACATATTTATTTTTCAAGGGTAATAAATAAATGTAAATACACAAATTTGGAAAAAAAATCTTAGTAACAGAATGTTTTTAAACAACATTCTGCCTTTAAGTCTTCATTACTGTCACTACTGAAATATTCTGTAATTTGCTTAATGTAGACAAGTCGTTATGTTGGTGATCCTCCATCACACTAGTTTGTTTGAATAAGTTAAGCTGCTGCAAAGGAAAAAAAGTGGTCAACCTTTGCTTTGACGTAGAAATTTATCTAAACTGCATATATTATGTGTTAAAATGACTTTTCTGGGCATGACTTTACTAGAGAATATAGAGAATTTTTTTTACATTTACAATTTACATATTAGAGACCTATCATTTGTTACTTCATCTTTATAAAACAAAAATTATAACAAAATTGAAAAACAGAAAAGAAAAAAAAAACATGGAATAAAAAAGTGGTAAAAACTGGCTCTTCATTTAATAAGACATTCTTCCTTTACACATCTAATTTTCATTCTAGGATCATCTCAGCAGTTCTGCTTGAAATAGTTTTAAAGCAGCTTTTGTTGTCAACTTGTGTTTAGACAGCCTCTCTCTTACAGACATTATCCAAGGCCCTGACTGCAGGAATGTCATATCCCACCCAGCTACTTCAGCTGTCCCAGACTCGTGCAAGCAATTGGCTTGTCCAGGAGAAGCAGCTGTTTTCAAAAGTATCTACAAATTGTGAAATACAAACTTTATCAAAAAGGTTCAGCAAGAAGATAACTGTTACTGACTTAACAGAAGTGGAAGAGGAGTTGTGGTCCCCTCAAAATTCAGTGAGCATCCCATTCCTGTATTCTATAGATACCAGAAGATGCAACATCTTTGTTTGGTTCCCATAAATTAGAAAAACCTGGTTTCCAAAAATCCTAAATTAGCTATTTAAAACAAAATATTACACCTGGCCGCCTTCCCAAACTATCTCAAGAGATTAGCCTAGCTTTTCTCTCACCCTTCTTAAGTGTGCTTTGTAAGGATATATGATTTAGAAAACAAAGTATGTATTTAATTACATTACACTTGCTCAACTGTACAAGTGAACGTGTTAACGCCATGTTAAAGTTCAAGGTACTTCTGGAAAAAAGGCAGATAGATAGTTATTTTAACTCTGCATTCTTAGACAGAATAAGGATTATTATGGACCTTCGTGCCCTCTCACTGTTTACCTATCATATGGAGAGGTCAATAAATAAGTTCCTATCTGGTCCAGTTTACCTACAAGAGGAAAAAAATACTTAAAGGAAAAGAAATGACCTATAAAATTACTTGTTTAACCCTGATAACATCTGAGTTGTCATAACCCAGTTTGTAATTGCAAGAAAAACAAACAATATTCATCTTGCTCATTAATAAATGCCCCATTTTTTAATAACAATTTTTGTATGTGATCAAGTCAAGTATTCTTGGGGCAAGAAAGCTGGCAAAGAGATGCAACAACAGCACTAACACAGTATAAATCTGGGTTCAAAAAACCAAACGTACTAGATCCAGAAGCAAAGATATCTGGACACATTGAGGAGGCAACACCCATCTGTTATTTGGGCGCTGATGTCGTGAAGACTATACCCAGCCTAAGATATAGTTTCATACCATGAAAGTAACACAAGATTCTGTTGTGCTAGTGTACATACTTTAAGAAAAGAGTCTTAAACAAAACCAGTTACCTTCTTTGTTTAGAGTGGAAGATAAAATAGCTTACTGATGTAATATGTAATGGATGTCACTATGACACAAAACTTGCCATAACTTGTGTTTTCAGCTACAAGGTGCAGTATTTCTTATGACTAACTCAAAGCACAGCCACATCCAACTGTGATTTGGAATTCCATCTCAAGCAGCATACACTATGACTTTGAAGAAAGTCTATATGATTGTAACAAAGTCACCCATCTTCTCCTGAAACGTGAACAAAATCTGTGGGGTAATCAGGCACAGGCGGCATGTAACGGGTTTGTCTTCCTTTGTACTCCTTGTTTTTGCTTCTGAGGACATGCACTTGGCTCCATGCTGTCATCCATTTACTGTTACAAGAGAACACAGCTATTCTTCTCTTTTTCTCTCTCTTTCTCTCGAGGCTCCTTACGTTTGCGTTCATTGCTCCCAGATTGTCTTCCACTTGCTGGAGAAGGAGCACCTTGCACCTGCTATGTAGAAAACAAACAAACAGCATTCTGAATAAAACACGATGCTGTAATTGTAGTTTGAACAGTTTCAAGTATTACACTTCCATGAACTTGAATTTAACTAAAACGCAAACAGCAGAACACAGAAAGAAGGTCTTTCAGTATGAATTCTACAAAGCCCTCATGGAAGCTTATTTCTGAAAAACAAAATCAATTGAAAATACATTTAAAGTCCTGTGTGTCTCTTCTATTGTGCTTATATATTCAGATCAGTTCTTCTAATAATACAATTTAGAATCAAACATTTTATGGCACTTGAATATTTACTATACTGGAAAATTTTCCCCATTTCATTTATAAAAACATAATCTACATTTGAGAAGTTGTGGAGTCAAAATGCTGACTGATGACTAAATGTATTAATGCAGAGGTTTTTTTATAGCCCATTTCCAGAAAGGACTGCAGAAGTTGATGGGTGGTATACAACAAAACACAGCAGAAGTTTTGCTACTTCATTTAATTTAGCTACTATCCACTCACAGCTGCAAATGCCACTACATCCTGTTAAGGAGATTTTTTCTGCCAGTCTGCAATCAGCAGAAGTGAATCTCTCCTTGGACCCCGTTCACATCTTAGGAGCAACTACTGCTACTACTGATATTAAAGCAATAAGCTTAATATAGCAGAAATAACAGATCTTTTAACTGTCAGAAATTCTCGTTGTGTGTTTAATAATTAGTGGCAACAGAGGGTTCTGAATTGGCACAGGCCATCCAAAGATTCTTCAGATTGCTTCTATATACAAATCCGTAATGCATATATTTTGATACAAGAGTGTGTGTGTTTAGAAAGTCTCAATTAGTTAAGAAATCCCTGATTCCAGAACAACTTTAATACTGTCTCTTGCATTGAAGTTCAGTTATATGACAACTTATACGCTTGTGAATGACATTTTCCAAGCATTCTGAATGGAGCTGCTCATGGAGAGGGGGGCTGGGAAGCCATACTACTAGCAACCGTTAATTTCCTATTTTGAAACAGGACAGAATAAATTCACAAGGTGTCACAGACTAAAAATAGTAAAACCACAACCTTCCACAAGACAAAATGAAAACTATCATTGAAAAGCTTCTGCTTGAATACTGTTTTATAAATTGTGTATTTTTAATACAATCTTTGTAACCTAAAGTAGTAACGCATCCCATCATTTTAACTTAAACTGCATAAATGCAACTTTGATTTAGGTTAGAAATGAAGAATTTAATTAGCAGCAACTGCCATATCTGTGTGCATGGTCTTAAGTTCTAAAGGGCTCTTAACAAATACTGCATATAACGTGAACAGCATCAGTCCTAATCATCTGAGACACTGACAATGCAGATGTGTCTATATAAGTATGAAGTTAATACTCATTATAACTAGTGGTCATATTCTGTGATAATGCTTCCTTACCTGGACCTGAGCAGCTGCTTGCTCTTGTTCCTGATAGTACTGAGAAGCTCGCCTATCCTCCTCTTCTTGGAGCTTCTTTGCTAGCTCTAGATCGCTGATTCCTTCTGGTATCTGTTCCCAGTTAATCTCTTGATTTTGCTGCTCTTGTTGTAGAGACAAAGCCATCAGATAATCCTAAACAGTAAATCTGTATATTAATGCTTTTTCATATAGAAAAGAGCCAAGTCATGTCAAGTAAATTTTTCAACAAGGGCAGCCATACAGTACCGTTCCCTTTACCCTAGCCATCTACAAATGAAGTTCTGTTTCAGAACCTGCTTGTAATCTGAACTGCAGAAATGCTGGGGGAGGGGGAAGGAAGAATAAATACAGTTACTTTACAATTTTCCCCTCAGTGTTCCTATGTCTGAAAAAAAAAACAAAAACCACAACTGCTTTCAGGTTTAAATTCTTTTACCTTGACCACAGTAAAAGGACAGTGTTTAGCTCATGCTAGTTCTAGGTAGAAGTAGCGATTTGAATGCTGTCACAGATAGAGCAAATTACAGATTAGAACTCTGTGATTTGTGATCAATACATCATCTGTCCCCATTGGACTGAACAGTGTTGAGTGAGAATCAATAAGAAACACTGATTCCTAAACCAAGAAGAAAATAATCAAAAATCTTTTTGGTATGTTCAAACAGACAGACAGCACTGACTACTCAAGATACTACCAGCCCTGTTACCTCTACTAGATTTATTCCACAAAAAGATGTACAGTGTTGGAGTCTTTTCAAAAGCATTTGCTTATTCACATCCATTTTAAAGTATTTGATAAAAATAACAGGGATTATGAATTCATTTTCCTTATTTAGAATATAAGATTTACAAGTGCTCTTGCTATGCATTTATGTGTTAGCACAAATAGGTCTCGTCTCAGACAGGACTTCCACAAACTACTGCTTGTTAAAAACAAACAATGATCACCATGTGCAACCTGCTATAGCTCTGACCTACATTCAGCAAAGCAGGCATCACAACACAAAGTTCACTTATGACAACGTACTCAAATGAATTTATTAGACAGGCTTATAGTTTCAATACTTCTCCTGTTTCCATACTTAAGGCAGATGTGAAATTTCTACTCAAAGTTGTTTGAAGAAAGGGATTCTCAAAGATTAAAAGCAGGTTTTCCAAACTATTCATGGTATCCAGTCCTCCTCTCCCCTGAAGTCACGAGAGTACTACAAAGCAGCACTTTTGAGAACCTCACTGTGGGTGTATAAGGCATTCTTTTCTAGTTCATAGGTTCATAACATGTATGGCTAGAAATACGTGGTATTTACTATGTATAATCACAAGAAAACAGAAAAATACAGTAGAGAGGCACAAATCCAGTACTTGATCTATTTGATCCTGCTGCCCTCTGTAGACAGTTTCAGGGTCTGAAGGAGGCCGTAGGTGGAACTCGGAGTCACAGAAATTTCCATCACCATCCACATTGTGCAAGCTCTCCCAGACAACTTTCTCTTCTGTAAGAAAACCTTGGTCTGTTACCAGCAGGTAAAGTTGACCCTACGCAGAAAGATGGGAAAACGTGTAAACCTACAGAAATGACTTTTCAGTGTGATAAATCAGCTAATAATTTTTGCTAATTATAACTGTTTCATTCCAGTAGAACATTAATTTTGATTTTTTTCAGTGAAATATAAATTTAAATGGCTCCATATATAGCATTAAGAGACTAGATACTAGTATTCATTGCTAAAATAGCAACCATATTTAATTTCTGTATTACATATCTTACATTTTTTTCCGCTATTACATTAATTTATACTGAATATTGAAATTTAATGTAAAGAAGCAAACATAACCCTTGTCAACTCCTTGGAAACACATCTGAGAAATAGGACTTGAGATTGACAATGTTGATTGTCCCAGGACAAATCAAGTTAAATTTGAAAGGCGAGATCTGGAGACAAAGGTGATCTTTCCAAATAATCCAAGAGGCATTGGCTCAAAGTGGCTTTATCTCAAAATCTGATCGTGTCTTATGATGATTTTTGTTTTGCTTTCTTAAATGCAAGCTGGGGTATAGTTCAATTGGGGGAAAAAAAACAATTCTTGCTATCATTTGTCATCAACAACTGCTTTTGTTGGATTTTATCCTTTTCACAGTTCCACAAAGTGAAATTTCTCTATTAGTTTCAAAGTCTGAAATTATAAAATGGGCTGGTCTGGAAGTGAGAGGCAATACTAACAAATCCAGAAGTTGAAGCAGAGGAAGGATGAAATACAAGCTTAGGTTGAAAGAATGGGAGAGTTCTGAAATCAGATAGGAATTTCAAAAGCACATTTTGAGATATTGTGGCATGTTTGAGGGACAGCAAAGCAGCATGAAAAAAAAAAAAACAAGTTAAAATTCAATTTAGTTGGATTTGAATCTAATCCTAATGCTTCTAAAGCTACATGTCAATGCAAGATTGTTATTACTGAGTATACAGCACACATGAAGATCAAAGTTTCCATTAACATTACCTAAAATATTCAAGTAAATACAGCTAATTGCAGTATTCTAGCTGTAAAAAAAAAAAAAAAAAAAAGCAAAAAACAAAACACTTTATTGTGACATGCATGTAAGTTTGCTGTTTGTACTACAGCACCACACAGAGTAGATTAAAGATCGTGTTAAAAACGTACTGAAGCAAGAAAGGTGAAAAATGAAATCACCACCTCTGTTCAACGAGAACAGAACTATCCCACTGAGTTCTGCCAGGACACAAGAAAAACTGGATCTGAGATAAACATCTCCAGCCCCAGTAAGACTCTTCAAGCTTACAGCCATCTCTTCTGTAGCTGAAGAGTGCTACACAACAAACACATGGTTTGAACCCCCCCCACAGCATCTGTTTTAGTATTATTACCTAATACCACAAGACATGCTTACACAGAAGGCCCGACAGAGCAGATTAAACAAAAAAAACCACCACAAAGGGCACTATGAGATATGTTCAAGTTTTGGAATACTATATGATATAGCATATATAGATACATGAGCATACATGGATATTCTAAAGTTTTGGAAAGCACAGGTAGGCTTACAGATAAACCTGTCAGTAGCAATTCTGATCACACAGCACGATCCATTAAATCATCTTTCCCTTTGAAGCCAACACAAATTTGCTTCCTGATGTTTAACATCACCCAAAGAAATTGAAGAAAACTATTTCACACCACTTCCAGTTTGCACAGAACACCTATTTCACAGCATTCAATGTATGAAGTGCATAAAAGTAAGAAAATAAAGATGACAGAATCTAAGGTAAGTGTATTTGAGTCTTTAATGTTTATTTTTATCAGTAAATTGATTCTAACAAAAACAGAAGAAAAAAATAGATCAACTTTTCCTTTAAAACACCATATACTTTGAATGAATGTTTAAACAGTTCATAAACTGTTTTTTAATCATACTGAAATTGGAAAATGTTAAGACTTAAAATAAGGAGTTGGGAGATCATGAAAGCTGAATTTTTCAAAAACTAATATAAAAATGTATTGTTGCCTTCATGGAATTAAAATCTACTACATTATTTAAAAATACCTTGAAGCTTTGAATAGAAAACGACTTGAATCTGAAACAAATTTTAATAGCCTTACCTTCTAAGTCTTGCTCAGCTGCAAAACTCAAACTGAACACTGATTTAAAAACTATTATATCTTAGGAATAAATTGAAAAAAATTAAAGATTTCACACAGCTCTCCAATGAAAGCCAATCAGCTTATTACATATCACCATGTTACCTAAGAACAAAACCATTACAATTCCAATACTAACTGCATTATTCAAAAACATGCTGCTTCACACTACCAAAAGGATGTCCACCAACACACAGACTCCCTCATACTTGTGAGGAGACAGAATACCTCATCCCGTCATCTGAATGAAAGCAATGGAAAGCACAGATCAGAGATCAACTCCTTCCCCATTTTTGATCTGTACTTCATATTAGGATCATTTTTAACGACATTGAAAAAAAAAAAAAATCCAGCTTCCCAAGGCTGGCCCTGTTACTGCTCACATTCACATCACTTCTGATGACAACTGGAGAACTTCCAGTTTTATACAAGAAATAAGTCAGTTCTTTGTGCACTAGCTGCAATACAGCCACTTGTTTCTAAAGAAAATCAGTCTTCCCAGAACTTGATTTTTGTGCTCTTTCTATTCATAATAAGCATATCTACAGACTTGCTACAGGCACTGTTTTAATGCCATGTGCGTTTCCTTCCCAATCCCAAATGCTTCATCAGCAAGTCCACTGAGGGCATCTGTGATGCAGGAAAATATGTTTAGTCATAGACTGTTACACTGCCTGTACATTTCAGCTGTGCTACGTACGGACATGCACGGTGCCAGGAACCAGTCACCATTTTCCAGCACTTACTAGATGATGGATGAGATCAGTCTGACTGCATAGCTCTTCCTTAGCCTTGGGAAATGCATAGAGAATAAAATGGCTACAAGACAGGAACATGCAACCAACATAACACCACCAAGTTTCATGCAACCAACAACACCAAGTTTCTGTGTCCAATTGTTTTACACTACATTTGTTCACTGAACAAGATTTCTGTGCTTTTCTGAGCTCTACTCAATATAAATACAAGGAGGAAAAGAGAAAAAGGGAGCACAGTCAGAGGATCAATAAGAATCATTAGCTAGAAGCATTTACAATGAACTTAAAAGTTAGGAAAGAGTCTCAAACAAACAAACAAACAAAGGTACAAAACAATGTTTCCTACCTAATAGATCATGGTCCTGATTATTTGTTTTCTAGCCTGTAAAATCAACACAGAATGATCTGCACTCTGAGGTCATTCAATTCAGCTTGTGAACATACTCAAGTATGCTTGTCAAGTACACCATGCCAAGAAAACAATATGGTTTATGAACTAAGAGTTTTATGAAGGTAGAAATGTATTTAATTGCTTACCTCTAAAGTATTATTACTTTTAGGTGTTTTTTTCACCTAAATCACAGGTGATTGTTTATAAACAATCTTATGGACTAATACTGTCCCCAAGGAGGTTAGTCTGTACTAACAACCACTGTCAACAAGAAATAAAAGAAAGTCTCAAATGCATAACTGTTCAGGTAAGCTTTGCCTACACTAACATTACTGACAATTAAACTATCTAACCTAAGAATCGAGACCCACGTATTGTAGACCAATGCCCAGATTTTATAGTTTCACATGTAAAAGGCTTAAATAAAGCCAAGGATAAAAAGATTACACTCCTGTATGTCTCTATCAATCTTCTGGTGTGCACAAAAAAAAAAGAAAAAAGGTATTTGAAAGGCTTACATATGTAGGCTGCAGGTGTCACTGGTTGTTGTGAAACATCATTTTCTAGGTTAATTTCATGATCTAAAAAAGTGATTGAGATGAATGCTTTTAAACTGCCTCTGAGGCCAATTACCATGTTTTCAGTGGTTTAGAAAGCTGAAAACGAAAGCCAAAGTGCATTAGCTTCATACAGGCATGACAAGCATTTTGGGCGCTATCCTTATGGGCTACGTAAGTGTTCTCTCGGACTTCTGGATCAGAACCTTTGATTTTTACAAAGATGTTTTATGTTCATCTGTATGCATGGGTTGGATTTTTTCTTTTTGAGAATGATCTATCTGAATATTGTAACTGTTACTTTCTTTCTCTTTTTTTTTTTTGTAATAAACACCAATTGATTCAAACTGCGTAAAAAAGAATGGTTACTCAGAATAAAATCTGAACACTTACCATGAAAGGGACAGAATGTTAAAACCTGTTTTGAAAAAGCTGTATTGCCCCTAGCATCCCAAACTCATGCCTTTTTCACAGGGAAAAAGTGAAGTTATTGGCATGAAAATACATCTAGTACTTCAACAGAAGCCCACCTTGAGTTCTGAAACAGAAATCCAACATTTATAAACCTAGAGAGCATCACTGCAACATACATACTTGACAATCCAAACAGGCAAACTTCTTGTCACTTTTCAGTAAAGAAAACAGACAGATTGTATAATAGTCACATCAGTGGGAGAAGAGTTCCAACTGAACTAAGATATTCTTACCAAACTGATTCCCTCTTTACAGTCCTGTTTTTTCTTGATCTAGGGAATTATCATTTGATGTATTTATTATCTGTGCAATGAAAAGCAAAGGCAAAAAAAATCACATCTTTAATTGTTGAAAGTGATTACTGTATAATCACAAGAGCTAAGACTATTAATATGCAATTAAATTGATAGGAAGTAGGTTAAGTGATCACTTGGGAAATGGACAAACAGCAAAAGGGATTAAGTATGTGATAACTGAAGTGCCATTAACAAACATCCACCATACTTTGACAGCAAACACATCTGCTTTCATTTTATATGAAACAAACTTTAAAAAATATGCCAAATCTTCCTATTGACATCATCTCAATACCAAAACCTTTCCAAATTAAGGATGACAATTTCATATTGCATTATGCAATTTTTATTCACTTTTTGGAAAAGTAAAATTATAATTATCCAACACTATAATAAATAAACTAAAGCTGAAGAAATGGACTAACACTGTGTTCTAAAATGCATTCAGTGAATCTTCAGTTACACTGTAATGTCACCTCAGCAGCTTTTTAAGAGAATTGAAGCCTTGGAGGAAGATTATTTCTTCAAAATTATTCACATTAACTTCCAAAATTAAAAAAAAGAAAAAAAAAAAAAAAAAAGGAATTATTGTTAAATGAGTTCTTTCCATTTAGCACTTACTCCCTGAATAAGGAATGAAAAGAAAGGTAAGTAAAAACCACTCAGTAATTATCTGCCTGCAGGTGAACATTTTAGAGCTGTCTATATATATCACACTGAACAGGAATATTTCAAAACACTAACAAATGTTTTTGAATTCAGTAACAGACCAAACTAGATAACCATTCTATTTTGCTTCTCTTCTTGTCTGCAAGTCAAGTATTCTTCTTAACACAACAGATCTTTTAAAAAGCATTCTAATACAACTAGTCACCTCCTGTTGCCTACCTGAGAGCCCAAATTACTGTCTTTATCCCCATATCTAGCAGAGAATCGCACTGTACAGACTGAAAAGCAGAGCATTAATGAGCTTTTGCCTACAGTACGTAACAACACTGACACTACACCCATCTACACCAGGCATTCAGAATCATTCCGAATGTTGCTTTATGTTAGTAACAGCAACTTTATTTCTGATGTTGTAAGAAGTACTTCACAGTAATAAGAAAAAAAAACGGATTTGGAACCCATGCTGCTACTGTTAGCTTAGTAGCTGGAAAAAAATAAAATAAAATAAAAAAATTAAAAGGAAAGCCAGGCAGCAAGGAGTCACTCCCTTCCCCTTCCTTACATGCGATGAATTCCTTCACTACACATGCAAAAATGTTGCTGCTGATAGGAACACTGGATGAAAAATAAGGAGATTATAAAACAATGTGTATTAGCTGGCCTAACAACCATACTAGTTGGGCACTAGTATGTCCTGTAGCTCCAAGCAGTTCTTGCCAATATCCAGTATCTTGTAACATAAAATATATATAATAATAATAATAAAGGCAGGAATTGAGAGCACTGGGATGTTTCTTCATATTTCCCCTAAGTCATTTCAGTAACACAGCTCTCCAAAATAAGTAATCCAAGAATAAGATGAAGATCTTTGATCTGACACCGCAATGCCACTCTAAACTCAGAATTACTGGGTAAAGTATTGCCAGCATTAGTAAATCTGTTCTTAAATTGACAACGCATCACAGAACAATAAATGCCATAAACTCTTTGTACTGAACATAGATGTTCAGATTATACAAGCTAGGGATGTCAGCAGTTTCCAACTCTCCCATTTCTGCATTAAAACATCCACAAAATAATTCCTTATTAGGGAATTACCTTACAATATGCACTCAGTGATAATAAATGTAAGACAGAAAACATCAATTACCTCTAAAGCAAGCTCACTAGATCAGATGTGGAGAACACTAATGCAACTGAAAAAAAAAATGTACTGAACGCAGCCCCAGATAGAATACAAATTTCTCAATCGCTGTCATTATCATCTATGTGATAACAACACAAATCAGAATTAAACTGATTTGTTCTCAGAAGTTTTACTCCTTTGTCTTTTCTGGCATGTTGCATTTTCTCTTTTCCTGATTAATGGACTTCTCACCTTTACCCAGCTACTGTTGAAAATGCCAGAAACTGAAACAAAAGAAACCCCATTAAAACTTGCAGAGCTATCAATCTACTAAAAGCAAAGTGTAAAGAAAAATAGATAAAGATAAATCTCAGCCCAGAGAACACTGCACCTAGCACTCATGAGCATCCTATGATCCAAAGTCTTCAGATAGCTAATCTTGGCTAAAAGCCCAAGTCTGTTTCTGACTTCCTAGTTAAATCAAGAACACATACTCAATATAGCTACTGCAAATAACTACAAAACAAAGCAAAGGATACTGCTAACTTTTAAAAAGTAGATTAATGAAGAACTTGTCTTTCTTAATAGTTTCCTGATATCTGATATGCAGTAACATACAGTGCAACAGATACAGAAGGAAAATTGAACACTGACTGCAAGTGAGGTCATAATAACGATTATGAAACACTTCTGACCCATATTACGAAATTTCTAATTTCAGAGGCCTAAAATTTCTCAGAAAGGACAAGACAAAACCAATGACTTTACTGCTTCTAAGATGCTAAATTGTAGAACTAAAAAATAACACTCATCTTCAAACAACTGTACTTTGTAGGACTTGGGTTTAGTTTTTACAGTTAAAGTTCAGACAAACTTCTACTCATTGTCTTAAGCTGTTCTGTATTAACAATATTACTTAAGAACAGAGCGCATGAACTGTCATATTTTACTTCTTTAAGTAAAAATATCTCAACAGAAGTAAGCAGTTACAAGTATGAAGGTGATGAAGTACTAACTACAGCCAAATTTTGACCTTTGTCTACATACTGGGTGCAGCAGAAGACGAGCAGTCCATCCTCTACAGAAAACTCTGTACTCATAATTCACAAGATTGAAGTGATCCACTGACCTTACTTAATATAAACAATACTTTAATATTTTAAGTTTGCAATTACAGCACAGCAGTGAAGCGTTACAATTTCCAAGATTAAAATAATTTATCCGGAATATTCTCCAAATTAGAAAAAACTTTCCTGCACTTCTACGTCTATCTAGAGCCATAAAGTACACCTGTACTTCTATTTACATTTCTACTTCTATTTAGTCTTTTCCTCTTATGAAAAAAAAAAACACAAATCCTGTCATTTTTTCCATCAAGAAAGCAAATACAGAAATGACATATGGCCTCACATAATAAAACTACTAGCAACTATTCCAAAAAGTAGATTTAGAAAATAAAGAGAAGCAATACAACAATGCCTCAAGCATTCTTCAAATGGGGTGGCGGGGAAGGAAGAGAAGAAAGATAATTTTCCCAGTCTTATTACTTTAAAAATACAACTGCCTCAAACCACAGACACACTCTAAGCAGTTATTAGCAAACCAACTGTGTTACCTCCTTGTGGAGTTAATCCATTCTTCATCAGACATAAACCGAGCTAAAGCTCTGAATAAAATAATTATTCAAAATGCTAAGGATAAGAATATGACAGTCAAGGTTAACAGATGGGGGAGAAAAAAAAGGGCCTGTACTGACAAATGGAAAAGTACACTTCACATATGAGATATGTGATGTTACAAAATAATAGGTAGTTTAAAAAAGTGGTCTCTAAAACATTTTTTCCCTCCAGTTATTAGCATTACATACAAGTGCAAACATCATGGAATTAATTTTATATTTCAATTAACTGTTACTAAGTAATTTCAACAGTTCTATAAAAAAGGTAAGAACTAATTATATTTATGTTCGAGAGGAATGTCCAACCTACACGTTATTTGGTACTGTAAACCTAACAAATTCTACCTCAGAATATTTGAGTTGTTCAGTGAGAAGAGATTGATTAAACCTTAGGAAGCAATTCGACCGAGGCCTTTTCTGCCTAACACTCGTATGAGTGATACAGAGAAATAAACTACCACTTTACAACAAAGTTCGGTCAGAACAAAGCCATTAAGAATTTGCCCATGGTAATTTGCCCAGGTAGATTTTCTGGCCCATGGAAGGAGTGTGAGAAACATGCACCACGCAGCCACCTGCTTTCAGCACTCTGCAATACTCCTTTCACAATTCACACCATTTTGCGTTGGTCCTGTTTCAGATTTAATTGCATTCCTAACTAAGGGAACCAATACCACAGTTCATCTGAACTTCTCCAGATATTTGGTATTTTGAACACTAGGGTACCTATAGAGCTATCCACCTTCCGGTCCAAACAGGAAACAAAATTTTTTGTCTTCAGAAACAAGAAATTAAACAAATCCATTAATTTTATCCTTGCCAATTACATAATGCAAATAAATTCAAACCACATAAGAAATTTACATCATTCCACACAATTACAAAGGGAGTTAAAACAGGGAAGAAGCTGAACATTAAGGGAGACCTACAGTAAGGTTTAAAATGATTGTAGACTCTGACACGCTAATCAATAAAACGTAAGTGGTATTTGCTACCACAACCAGTTGTTCATCACCAGTTGTTCACCACAACCCATACTTACAATAATAACAAATTGGAATTTACTTGTATTTCACGACAAGGAAAAAAAAACTTCGCTTTAAAATGTGAACATAAACCATAAAATACAAAAACCAATAAGAATGTGGAATATACCTTATATTTGGTCATGGTGCTAAAATGGTTGTTCCTGAAGAACACGCAGAGCTCTCCTTCCTGGACAGCTGAAGTCAACTCGCACAGCCCATGGTACGTCAGCTGCGTAGCCGTATTATTTAGGAATTGCTCAGCTACAAATCCTATAAAAGCAATACATACTTTTGTGTGCCTATTACATATTCCTAAAAATACAGAAACCTGACAGTCCTCTTACTCCAGTTTATGCCAAGCAAGAAAAATATTTTTAATGTGTCATTACAGCAAAGAAAGAAAAAGCCTTGCAAATTTGTTTCTCATTGTATTGTCTAACTAAAACTGAGTTAAAAACAAACTCCACTTTTAAAGCACACTTGCTAAAGTATTTTACTTACTCTTCATTAAAACAGGACTTAAGGAGATATTCATCACAACACCATGCTGTTAACATGCAAAACATCATCTAATTTATTCCTCACAAGTGATCGTTAAATGTGATTACAAAATAAGGATGGGAGGTTGATGTAACAGGTTGACTGAAAACAATGGCTTAAAAAGTAAAACAAAATACCACATTTACCCTAGCAAGTTTCAGTAATCCACATCCCCTTTCTTCTCAAGTACAGGCAGAAATTACATAGCAACAGAGAAAGAACCAAACATGAGAAATCAGAGAAACAGATGTGGAATGGAAGCATGGAAGGAAGCTATTGCCATTTAGTACCAAACTTCTCAAAGATAGGAGAATGCATTCTAGGCTGTATCAAAATTCTTAATGAAAACTGTTATTGAAAGAGACCAGACGTAGAATGTCAAAATATCAAACTCTTTTTATGCTCACCTATACATACTCAACTACCAAGCCCTTGTGTCCTTCTAAGCCATGTAAAGATTTTTAAGAACTTCAGACCAAGGCACCACTTCAGATCTCATTCACCAATATTTAAGATTTATCAGTTGTTAACATCTGCCAAAATGCCTCCTTAACTATAAACCAGTCAGACTGGAAGACACTTGTTTGAAATTTATTTTATAAATGAATTAGTTCAGAAAACACCACCACAGTATTTATGTGACATATGACAACGTGCTCAATACACTTCTCAATAAACTACAGTAAACATGGACCTCTGCAAGGTAGAAACTCTCACACCTTGGGTATTTTCTCCACAGAACAGCAGCCAAACACACAACTTACACGGCTCAACAATACCACATACTAGCCTTTGGCTTCAGCTGTGGCTTAGCCTAGAGACCCAGCATTATAACTGCTGGTAGTGGAACATAGGCACAGTACAATATATAAAAACATATATATATATAT